ATCTGAGCGAAACGTTAACTCTTTTAATGATGAATTCCATAGCTATTATTAAAGTTTATAATTTTTACTGACAATGCCCCCTTATATACATATCATTGAGGCATGTAAAAATGTGACTAAGCAGACTTTTGAAAGACTAATTATATTTGATGCATTGTCAACGTCTCCCGTGTTAGGACAAAGGATCTGTCTGACTAAAAGTTAAATAAGGGTTGACAAATCTATCGTTTGACGTTGAAGATCTGCCAGCTAAAAAACGGTGAATGTAATAATTGTTGATGTTTATTTAACTATCAATAAGTAATGTAAAATGTGTTAAACAGGAATTATTAAATCTGCCTATTCGAATATTTTAATCATTCCTCTTTTCCTCGATAATGGGCGGTGGAATACCATGAATACGTACACGATATATCTCTGTGCAATTCGGATTACCCCAATTTGATTTTATATGCAGCTGGACAATACCATATACAATTGGGGATTCATTTTCTTTGGTAGGATTCATGTCAAAAGTTTGTATTGCATGATCATCATAAATATCATACTCTGCTGTCCCCAAAGACACATTTGCACCCTTATTAATACCAAACAATTCTAGTTTTCGGGGTGCTTTGGACATATTACCGGCCATCATTTGGGAAGAAGGATAATCTATAGAGATACTTTGGATGATGATGGGTTGGCTAAGTCTAATACCGAGTGTGCCGTACGATCCGTACATGGACCAACATTCGCCTATATGTGTGCTCGGTTTGATGGCCTCGTAGGGCGTGTTTTCGAAAGGAGATAGTGCAAAAAATCTCAAGATCGATTGTTTCCATATGGGATAACGACTATATGTATGACTGGTGAGACTATGAACGATGCGTGCATGACGGAAAATTGAGGCAAAGTCAGCCTTGTTCAAGACATCCTGGTGGTAAGTTTGAAGAGCGGTCTGAATCATGTCTTCGGTTTTTTGAGCGTTTAAAATATCTGTTATTAATCGAGAGAGATTTTCAAGCGATACAGTGTTTTTATCATCCATAACATTATCAATTTCTTGTGCCTTGATGGTGTTTTTTACTTGTTCGCTTATAAATCTTTGAAGAGCTTCGATTTGAATTTGTCTGTGTTGAAGTTCGGCCCAGATAGCTGTTTGATTGACGTCGTAAATTGCTTTATGTTGTTTGAACTCTGCTTGAAGTTGTTTTATTTGTTCATCGAGAGCGCGTTTCTCTTGCCGTATTTCCGACCATGCGCGCTGGTATCCTTCAACAATGGATGTCCGGTTGTTCCTACTTTGTGGATGATATGCATTATCTGTTAAATAAGCACGATAATTAAAGAGCATATATATGACGGAGGACGAAACAATAATGTAGGAAAATGTTTTGACGAAGCTTTTTACTTTTCTGTTAGCTTCTGATATGGCTTGTGGGTCACGAATGCGGTTCCATCTAAACCAGAGAAATAAAAATGGTTGTACTATTACATATCGAATAATTTCTTCTAACAGCAAGATGCAAAAGAGAGCAATTCGTGTGGGTATCCAATACGCCAAGTATAAATTAAACAAGATAAATTTAAATGCGACCGAAAAAATATTTTTGATGTGAGGGTTCAAATCAAACTGATTATTATCTTGGTCGGCAGGTTGATCGTTATCGGTGGTAACATAACGGTATATAGGATCAAAAGGGTTAGGTATTGCTCTAATGGCACGGATGGGACCCCCTAACATTTTTTTTTTTGTTGGGTAATGGGAAGAGAGAATCCTAATTATTGTGAAAAGATCTTTTCCTTTATATCATTACTGGTTTTTTTTGTCTCATTGTTTGTAACCCATAACAATGATTTGAAGAATAGAATAAAAACAATGATTCTCTTTTCTTTAATAAATGTACTCAAATGGCTGATCTACTTGATTCTGTGTTATTCAGATAAATTATGCATCAATCCAGCGTTTTATATAGTGATTTTAGAAAAGCAATTTAATATGAGAAAGGGGTGGGGGCGTATAAAGTTTAGGATTGATTGAATCTTTCTACTGGGTGTAACATCCGTGTTTCGTTTTATTGGTATTAACTCCCTTTTGCAATGCGGTATTTGAACCTCCTCCCATAAATAAAATCAGTCGTTCTCCCCCTATTTTCAATCTCTCTTTTTTTCCTTTTGAAAAAACAAAATAATAAAAAAAAGAACGCCTCTTTTATCCTTCAGTCTATGCTAAAAATCTCGACAGTTTCGGTATTGCTTTTACTATTAAGAAATATTCTAGCACAGCCTATTATTGTACTAGATAATGAAGTGATTACCTATCAATCCGCCATGTTTTATGAGCGACTTGTCATAATTGTGGTATTGGTCCTTTTAGGCGGAGTATTTGCAGGTAACAAAAAAAAAAAAAAAAAAAGGGAGCTCACTAATGGTGAAATTGTGTAGGATTAACGATTGGGCTTATGGGACTTGATCAAACAAACTTGCACGTCATGGTAGAATCGGGTTCTGCCTCAGAAAAGGAGAATGCTAAAAAGGTATTAGCTTTATTGGAACGCGGAAAACATTGGGTTTTAGTGACGTTATTATTATCCAATGTGATTATCAACGAAACGTTACCTATTATCTTGCACGATGTTTTGGGTGGAGGATGGCAAGCAGTTGTTACTTCCACTGCTTTGATTGTGATTTTCGGAGAGTAAGTTTGTTATCCTACAATTTTAAAATCGCATCATTAAACTCTTTTTTTTTTTCATCATAGAGTAATTCCTCAATGTAAGCATAATAGATCGAGATCGGAAAAATTAATCTTGTACTGACTTTATTTCTCTTGTGTAGCCATCTGCGTTCGTCATGGATTGGCCATTGGGGCTAAGACAGCATGGTAAGTGAAAATGAGACAGAGATAGGGAATGAACGAAAGAGACTGATGATAATTTGACATAGGATGGTGTTGGTTCTGATGTACATTATGTATCCCATTGCCTACCCTACTGCTTTATTGCTGGATTTCTTTCTTGGAGAATCACACGGTACAGTGTATAAAAAAGCTGGACTCAAATCTTTGGTGTCATTACATCAAGCCGTGCATGCATCTGATGTCGATGCACTTACATCGGATGAAGTGACAATTATTGGAGCAGTACTGGATCTTAAATCTAAACCCGTCTCATTTATTATGACACCCATGGATGACGTATTTACTTTGTCTACAGATGACATTATGGATGAAGCCCTTGTGGACAAAATCTTGACAGCTGGTTACTCTCGTATCCCTGTTCACACTCCCGAAGATAAAAATAACTTTATTGGTATGCTCTTGACAAAGAGACTGATCACCTATGATCCTGAAGATGCTTTACCCACAAAACAGTTACCTTTAAGCGCATTGCCTGAAACAGGTCCTGATACCAGCTGCTTGGATATTCTGAATTTCTTCCAAGAAGGCAAAAGTAAGGCTTTATATGTTATTTTATTGGGAATCATATTTTAACTTTTTCTTAAAAGGTCATATGGCTTTGGTCTCGGATGATCCGGGAGGTGAGAGTGGTGCATTGGGCGTGATTACACTAGAAGATGTGATTGAAGAACTAATCGGTGAAGAGATTATTGATGAAACTGACGTCTATGTTGATGGTAAGAGAAATTAGAGCTAAACCCAATTTGGATCTAACTCAAACTTTATTTAGTTCGTAATAAGATTCGTGTTGTGCGTCGACAAATGTTGAGTAAACGTAATACCCACTTGACCGCAAACAAAAAGAAAGAAATGAAGCAAGAAAAGCTCTCCAAATCGTATGGAGCTGTTTAATTTATAAATACCTACACTGGAAGGTATTTCAGTAGGAATTAAAGAAAAAATAAAGAAATTAGTATATTTGGCATTAGAGTAAAATGTTTATAAAATACATCTCGTAAGAATATCGAGCTCGTTGAGCTTCTTTGGTCCCGCTGGAGGTAGTAACAGTATCTGTAGAACAAGGTGTAATCGACGTTTTGGTTAGAATATGTATACGGAAACATAAAAGCAGACTAAAACAATCTGGAAGAGACAATTTAGAAGTACACACAATAAAAGAAGCCACATTATATCACCATTCATCAACTTCAGAATGTGTGTTTCCTCCTGCATTACAATAATAATTAAACTTTAATTACATATTTGTAACTTCAGAGGTGCAGGTAGAATCACACTTTCCGCCCACAGTAGGTCTGATAACACTAGCATCATGCTCCTCATTGAATTTCTGTTTAAATGGTTTGAACGACTTACACAAAGCAAGCTGACTACTATCGTTTGCGTCCTACAATCTTTAAAAATTGAAGAAGGGTGTCAACAACTTTATCCTTGGCATTCTATTTTACTTTGATTTTTGCATCAGCTATGACAGGATCGACATTCTCCTCATTAAAAGAAATTTTTATTTTTTAATCACACACAGTTCGTTTTTTGCCGACTGTTGGATTTGATGTAATACTCTCATTAACTGCACTCTAGTTTATGCGCAAATGCTGGGAATACTCTTACTTTTCTAGCTAAGCCTGTTATTCTGTGATTTTAGATTACCATTCCGGAATCTAATTATTATACAGTCTGCAAAAAGTACTTTGAATAATCTTTTCATTATAATGTCAAGCCCACTTTAGCAGTTAATAAATACTATACATTATAGCCCATTTGTGTATTTAATATCATTTTGTAGGATCAAACGATCTATCCAGCCTCCTCCTCTTCTTATCATTGATAAACCAAAGTTTTTAAGTTGCTGCAAATAGAGATATCACTAAAATTAAAAAACGTTTCCCATAATGTTTGAGCCTTTACCAATAATAAAAACAGCTGCAGGTAACCCCAGGTTTATATACAAGTAATTCTAGACTTGTTAAATATCTATCAGTGCTTCGGTGTAGTACGTACCAACAGTGGAGCGTAATTATTAAAAAATCAAATTGATCATCACATGAAGTCTATAGAAAAATCTTACGTGGTACGTGAGTATCAGAAATATAATAAAAAAAATTGTCATATCAACTCAAGGACGAGTAGTTATGTAAAGTATATTTATTACGCCGCTTGTTTTCCTCTATATGAAGGCTATTCACATGGTAGTTACAAAATAGTGCCATATAAGATACCGTAATCTGATAGGCGGAATTCTAGATTTTTAGCATAATTTTATTATTCTTGTCGTTCAATGTAATTCATATATGTTGATCCTTCCGACTCAAATTTACGTATTCTGTATGGAAATGTTAGATTTATGGCATACTTATTCATTATCATCATATCATATTCTCCTTAAAAATTATCGGATTCTTGAAAATAAATGTAGACCATCAGAACATTTTCTTTCCATTGATTTATTTTCACTGAAATAAAACGATATAACAAGATCTAGCAGTAGCCTTTTATCTATTTTTTTTTTAAATTAGTTGTTATGGCGTTGCCTTGTTAAGTCACCTGTCTAAATTGAAAGTAAGAATGTCCTAAGTGTGTGTCGTGGCAGCCGTTCTTTTTTACAATATATTTTAAGTTCAGCATTATTTTTTTCTCTTGTCTCTTTTAAGCACCATGTCGACTGAAGAAGATCAAGCTAGAAAAGCCAAGCTTGCAGCTGCCAAAAAAAAGGTAAATAAGACGCAGGATATAGTCTTGTTTTTATTTTTTTACTTTTTATCCGTAATAATATAATAATAAACAATAATGAAACTGACATGGACATGCAGCTCAAAAACTTTCAAGGAAAACGAAAGACCGATAAACACGAATCGGCAGAACAACCTGCAATCAACATTGCTTCTCCCGATGAGGATATAACGCCTACCCTTGCTGAAGAAGTAGTCAAAGCACCTGTTCCTACACCTGTTCAACCACAACACGACATTGACACGCTTACAAGTCAAATAAAGCAGCTTGAATTAGACAAGAAATTACTGGTAAAGCAATTTTATTTCTATCCTTTTGGCTTGAAAAAAAAATCAGCTCATTCGAATTAAATATGTCGTAGATTGTTTCTGAACAAGAAAAAACTGCTGCTGCTGCTAACCTTGAAGCTCAATTATCCGATTTAAAGCATCAAATTGAATCACAGACACAGGACATTAAAGACCAGTATGAATCTGACCTGGCTGCAGCTCAGAAACTGCTCCAAGAGCAGCATGAACACGACCTCTCTTTGACAAAAGATTTATTACAAGCAGAACGTGAAAAGGCGAACGCTTTGGAAGAGAAAATTCGGCAATTGGATGCAGATAAACAGAAGGTGTTGGATGTGGAGAAAGAATTGGTATCGACACAAGAATCTTTACAGCAAGAGCGCCAAAAGGCTGACACTTTACAGTCTCAGATGGATCAATTAAGTAAAGAGCATCAAGAAGCTTTGGATCTTAACCAGGCTAATATTGATACCAAATTAGCTTCGACGCAAACCTTGTTGGAGGAAGAACGTATCAAGGCTAACCAACTCATCGCCCAAATTGAGCAATTGAATCACGAAAACAAGGAAGCTTTGAAGTATCATCAATCTACCTGTTCAGATATCGAGGAAAAATTAAAGACGGCAACATCACAGTTGAATGAAGAGCAGAAAAATGCAGATATTTTAAAGGCTCAGATAGACCAACTCAACAAGGAAAAATTAGAGGCTGTTGCTCGTCATCAAGAAGCCACCGAGATCGAAGATAAATTGACATCTACACAAGTTTTATTACAAGAGGAAAAGGATAAAGCATCAGATTTACAGTCCCAGATTGGCATTTTAAAGAAGGAAAAGCAAGAGGCTATGGATGCCCATCAATTCACTAATACAGAAATCGTAAACAGGCTTAAATCAACAGAAGATTTATTGCGAACCGAACGTGAACATGCTGCTAAATTACAAGCAGAATTCGACCAATTGGCTCAGGAGAAGCAACAAGAGCTGGAAAACATGCAATCATCGCATAAAGAAGAATTGGAAGAAAGCGAGAAGTCTAAACAGGCAGCACTAGAGTCTTTTAAAAAAGATAAGGAAACTGCTAAATCTAAACACGATCTTGAAAGTAAAGAATTACACGAAAAATTAAAAGAACACCAAAAATCATCAGCCGATCTTGCAGAACAAGTAACATCTCTTCAGGATCAGTTAAAGTCGGAGCACACCGAAAAAAATGCATTACAAGCCGATAATAAGGACATCAAGTCACGATTACAACATGTCGAATCTGAGCGCGCCAGGATCGAGGATCAAAATGAGCAATCCCTGAACGAATTAGTCACCATCAAGACCCAACTTGAACAGGAACAAAACAAGTCCACAGACTTGGAAACGAAGCTTGATCAAGCGCAGAAAGAACACGATAACAAACTTTCTGAACTAGAATCTAAATCGAAGTTGGAATTGCAAGCTAAAGCGGAAGAACTTGAGTTGATCAAGAAGGCTTTGGAACAGGATCACAAGGAGGCATCGGATAAAAAGTCTGCAGAGCATGAAGCATTTGTCTTGAACATTCAAAGTCAATTAGCAGAGACGAAGACCGAGTTGGATAGCCATCGTGACAAGGCCTTAGATCTCGAACGTCTCATTGAACAGCATAAGGACGAAGGTGTAACAAAGGACACTAACTTGAACATTGCTAAACAGCATTTAGATGAAGAACGTCAAAAAGCAGCAGATTTACAGAGCAAAATTGAAGTGCTAGATGCTTTGAAAGAAAAGGAGGCTATTGAGTATACTAACAATACCGCCAATCTTGAAAAAGAACTTGTCTTTTGTAAAGAAATGCTTGAATCGGAACGTGCTATTGCCGACGAGAAATTACAGTCTAAAATAAACGAACTGGATCAACTTAATGGTGTAGTGAAAGAGCTCGAATCTGAAATAACACATACAAAGCAAGACCTGGATGCTGAACGTGGCACAAGCCTTAAATTACAATCTCAAATCATAGATTTTAATGCAAGCCAACAGGAAATGCAAGAAGCCCATGCTTTGAAAATATCGGAATTGGAAGATAAGATGAGAGAAGAACTCAAAATATATCAGACTAAATCGGAAGAGTTGCAATCACAGATAGATCAATTGACAAAGGAGCACGAGTCAAACCGATTATCATTGGAAGAGTCTTTATCCACTACTCAGGAAGAATTACAAAATGCACGTACAAAAGCTCAAGATCTCGAAACACAGCTTTCAGAATTAACCAAGTCAAAAGAGAAAGAGAAGAAGGAGCATCAAAAAGCTCTCGTAAAAGCAAAGGCTGCTTTGTCCAAGATTCGCGTTTCTTTAGAAGAGGAACAAACAAAATACAAAGAGTCGCAAGAAAAGATAATGGAAATTGAACAACAACTTATGGACGTTAGCAAGGAAAAAGAGGGGTTACTTGAAATAGCACAACGTCAGGGAACTGAGCTCAAGACACTTGAGAAATCGAATGAAGCACTTGAGACACAAGTCAAAACTAAACAAAGCTCTTGTGAAGAATTAGAAGAAAAGATAAACTCATTAGATAAATTGTATCAAGATATTCACGTTGAGTTAGAGGTGGAAAAGACAAAATATGTCGGGACTTTGCAACAAGTAGAAGATATTCAGTTGGAGCTTAAATCAGAACGTGCAAAATCTGGTGAATTACAGGACAAGATTGAAAGCCTGAACAAGACTAGAGAGTTGGAGCAAGAACGATACGCTACAGAAATCAAGCATTTAGAACAACAGGTTGTAGATATCAATCAACGTCTCGGAAACGAGTTAAGTGTTGCTAAAGAAACACATACATCACAACTTGATCAATTAAATCAACAAAACACCATCGAACTTAATCATTTGCGAACCCAACTTGATACCAAAGAGCAGGATTTATCAAAGACTCGGGACGAATTGAACAAAATTAAGAATACATTATCTAAAAAAGAAGGGGAGAATCATGAATTGTCGGTTAAATTGCATCAGAACGAGCAAAACCAAGAGGATCTCGTCATTCAATTAAAATCTGTTACGGAGGAACTCGAAACCACTAAAGCTCATTTAGTGGACCGTGAAGAACAAATAGCCACCAATTCAGGCAATTTGGATCAGTTTAAGGAACAACAAGTGCGCCATGCCGAAGAGCTTGATTCGGTCAAGGTACAACTTGAAGAGAGGCTGAAGCACGAACAAGAAGAGGTGAACGATCTTCGTCAACAGCTGGAAGTTATGACGGAGAAAGTCAAGGAAAATGAACTGTTACAGAGTCAATTGAAGGTATTGAAAGAAGAGTTGAAGGAAAAAATACAAGAAGAGTCAGCTGAAAAGAGTAAGCTAGAAACCGATCTAATTTCGATGCGCCAAGAAGTAAAAGATTTTGAAGCTGTTCGAGATCAATTAGCTGAAGCCGAACTCACCATGACTTTAAAAGATCAACGTCAAGCGACATTATTGAAGGACATTGAAAAAGATCATGCCAAACTTCTCCAGACTCAAGAAAAGGAACTTGCGGACTTGACATCTGCGTTGAATCAACACAAGAACTTAGCATCAGAATCCGCTGAAAGAGCAGAAAAACTCACGCAACGTATCAAGGAGTTAGAGATAAAGCAACAGGAAGAACTTCATAATGTTTCTAATAGTGATGGAATCGAAGCTAGATTAACACAACTTGAATCAGAGTTAGCCAGCAAAGAGAAAGAGACTAAAAAACTTCGCGGTCAGTTAAAGCTAGCCAAGAATCAAACCAGCCATTCACTCAAGGACGCTGAATCTGCTTTGAAAGCCAAAGAAGTTGAATTAGAAGAGTACCGTCAAAAGATCGACTCTCTAGAGAACAATTCAAATCCCAAGACAGCAAATGAAAGAAGAACCGAGATACAATTGAATGAAGTCAAACGTCAACTTCAAACACGCGAACAAAAAGTAGATCAACTTCAACAGCAAATTAAGGGATATTCTGCCATGGAGACTGAATTTGAGCGTTTGAAAAATGATTTGGATGCAAGAGAGGCTCGTGTCGCTGAATTAGAGGCAGCGATGCAAAAGACAACACGGGAAGCTGCAGAGGATGCCTCAGATAAGGATACCACAGATAGTGAGCTCAAGGTGAAAGAATTACGTGAACGTGTGCGAGAATTAGAGGCTAAACTTGTGGAAACTCCCGAAACGGCTGATCTCAAGAGCCGATTACAGAGACAGTTTGAAGCCTTTAACACGTTGCGTAATGAGATATCTACACAACGTACAAGACAATATGATTCCGAATCTAAGCTTGAGAAAGATAAAAGTACAATTGAAAACGAACGACGTGAACTGGAGTTAACTGTGCAACGTTTAAGAGCTGAATATGAAACCAATTTAGAAAAGATGTGGAAGCAGTACGAGGATATGCGAGAACATCACGAGGACGATCTAACATTAGGAAGATCTGCACTTAATGCAGCTCAAGTTAAATTGATGATGAATGGCTACAGTCCTGTCAGTGAAAATGGCTTTGAATGGCATAATTCGGATGCGGAAGAAGAAGAAGAGGAAGAGGAAGAAGGTGCGACAAAGAAACATGTTCCTGCAGTTGGAAAATTACCGCCACTTCAGAAACCCGCGTTTGCTGAATTTATGGAAACACCAAGATGCAGTTCGTGTCAAAGTGAGGTGTTTGATATTTAAATTCTACTTTTAGGATGTGTTACAAAAACAAACCCTTTTTTATATAAATAAATAAACAACAACAAATGAACTTTCCTTCTTTTTCTCTTTAAATGACATCTTCTATTCAATTCCCTCCAGGTACAATCACCTCTAAATTAAGCAGTAAAATGTTAAAGAATACACCGATATCCAACGACTGGATGCACCAAACCTATATGCAAATGGTACAAGACGTATCGTATGCCACAAGCCACTATTATGAATCCAATGAGAACGGAACAGGCTTACTTATCAATGTTTCGGAACCTAATCGTGAAGCAAACAGTAGTACTTTGGAAACAATCATAAAAAATAGCCCGCCCAAGAAAAGTAGTCCACTATCGATGTATGAATACCATGACGACAGTAGTACAGAAGACGACGATGAATGTCAGACATATACCACATCCTCTACAGACCAAAACCGACGAAACAATATATATAGGCTTTACCGAGAACAACAAAATATTGATAAGCCAATTGAAGAAGAAATAACAATCGTTAAATTAGCGGAATGTGATTCTCAAGAAGTCTCGCCGAATGTGACACAAACAACAAGCAAATACAAGAAATTTAAGAGAATCATGACCAAGATGAGAATGGCAGCTGAAAAACCGTTTTGGGCCATCGATAGTCATTTCTAGCTACATTTGGGATAATAATAATAACAACTTTTTTTTTAATAATAATAATAATAATAAAAACGTATTTATGCAATATAAAAAAAAAGAATTATATAGGAGGAATGTGATGGGGGGAGGAGGAGCAGAGGGGGGCATAATATATGACGATAGGTGGCTGGGAAGAGGGAGAGTATACAGTTTGGATATATAAGAAGGTTATAATAATAATAGTGATTTGGGGATATATAAGGAATGTTATTGTTAATATGTAAGCAGTAAAGCATCCGGACCCTGCCAAGCGTTAATAAGAAGAGCCGTAGTTAAAACCATAGTAAATCGACACCATCTCCAGATAAGTGTAAACAATTTACGTATTTGATTCCGAAGACGACCTACAAATGAATTAGGTTCGTTTACAAATCGTTGGATTTGCATTTGCTCGGGACTAATTGGACTGGGGTAAAGATCAGATGATGGATAGTGATCTTGAAAGATATCAAAGTCCTCCTCATCTTGGAAATTATTATAAACAGCCATACATTTTTCTTGGTTATGTTGTGCCTCTATTTCATTGATAAAGTTGAGTGCATCATCCAGTAGGTTTTGGTCAATACCGGTTGCCTTGGATAAGACGCTTTCGAGACCGATCGACGGTGCATTATAGAATGCAGCAAGTGACTTTTCAGTAAAGTCTCTCAAGAAGGGAGTTTGTTGTGATAAAAAGTCGGATTTATCTGACAATGGCGTATCTGTTGTAACAGGTGTTGTTTTGTTGGATTTAAGCCATTCCATTTCGAGTTCCCCCAAAAGAGTGTGCTTTCGGAACTGATCATTACCACCATTGTAACAACTGGGGGCTGGTGTGGAACGAGTCGAATGAATACTAACGCCTCGTTCTTTTAGCTTTTGAAGAATATTACGGTGTTCTTCCAAGCTCGAGTTTAATTCATCAATATGGACAAATTGACGTTCATAAGCTTCCTGAAGTTCACCAAAGTCATTCTGCGTAAATTCGAATTTCTCAAACTGTTTCTTGAGCTCACCCAAATCTTTTAAAGTGGTTGCTAACTTGGCTTCTAATTCAAGTTTGGATTGAGTCACTTGTTCTCTTTCTTTTTGAACTTTGTCTATTTCGGTATATAATTCATCAACAAGTTTCTCATCTTCCACGTTTTGAACAGGCTGATTAAATTCAATCTTCTTTTGACGTTGATTCATGTCTTGTAATTCTTGAATTTTACTGGTAGCAATGTCGAGATTACCCTTGAGTAAATTGATTTCGTTATCTAGTTGACGGGTCTTTTTAGAGTTTGTCAAGGTGATTTTGTCTTGTTCCATCATGGCGATTTCTAGTTTTGCTGTTAATTCAGTGTTTTTACGTTCGAGGACTTCAATCATGGCTTCGCGTGTACCTCTTGAAGGGACAAAACGCATTGTATCTTCGTCGCATGAATCGATACCTGAATCTCCGTCATCTTGGATAGGTACGGTAGATGAAGATGGTGTGATGGGTGGTGTGGATGAATGAAGTAATGCATCATAACTCGTTTTCAATCGAAGGTTATGCTCTAATAATGACTTGCCTAATTCGGCTGCGAGTACCAAGTCTATTATAAATTGCTTAGTTTATGTTGATTTTCACATGAATGTGATTTTTACACATGCAAAATATTTAAAAAAAATCTCTTTCTCTCGCCCAAAAATGCACTCACCTTTTTCTTTGTCTTTAATGACGCTATAGGCATTCTTCAGCATTGGAATTAATTCATTCGAAGTCTTTTCTGCCATCCATGAAACGGACGACATGAACGAATTGGTTGAAAGTGTAGGTGAAGGTGGTCCAGACGGAATTTGTAGTGAGTTGATATTACTCAAATTTAAGCGGTTGGGTGCCATATGTGTTGACATGATGATATATGTGGTAAGGAGGGAAAGAGAAAGAAAACAGGAAAGGTGAAAAAAAAAAAAAAGCGGATTAAATAAGAGACCCGGGGGACCACAATTACACACAAAACTGATTGTTCAGGGAAAACGTGACTAAAATTATTTGGGGCTCCGTAATCAGGTACAATTGTACACTTAAAGTTTTCCACACAATAACAATGAAACCCTGAAGCCAAAATAAATTTCGCACAAAAATTAGTGCTTCTGATAAATACATATAATTATCTTAACGTCTCCACAGAAACAAACGGTTTATAAAACCGTGATGGGGCAGGTGGTTGTTATTGTTATTGTTGTACTTCTTTTAAGTTCTTTGAAAAGCGGTCGGCCGACTGGGACGTTCTGCGATAGGTGCAGTGACGAATATGTGGCTTTCAGCTAAATTTGTTCCCAAATTATCGTTTTTGCGTTACGCAGTTCTTCCAAGGTAAACTATATTATGAATGGCATATGTTGTTTGCCAAACACTCTTTCACATTCAAGTATTAAGGATCAGGAGGGAAATGATATTCACAGTTGTCGCAGATTTTATCCTGACTAGGTTTCTCAGATCATGGGTTCAATAATGGGAACTGAGAGGCGACAGATGCTTTCTGAAATTTAGGCATTTGGACTTTCACAAAAATTACTCTGTTGCTGGAGTTCTTTGAAGTTTGGCAAATTGGTTCAGTGAGAAAAGAGTAAGTGATCGTTGCAATTATCTAAACCAAGACATCGGCATCGCTCATCTATTTTAACCTGTCCTCTGATACATATAAGTCTATTTACTCGAATGAAAACTTTCAAAAAAATCATCAATTTGTTCAACTAGGCTTCTTGACTGAATAACAGAATCGTTAAAAATAAGATTTATTATGATATATTGTTTTTACATTGTAAAAAAAAAATTGAGAAATCTAAGCTCTGGAAGCTTCGAAGATAGCCTTGGCATCAGCAATCTTGGCAGCCTTTTGCTTGTTGTTGAGAGCAATAAGACGACGGTAAGGCTTAGCGGGCTTACCCTTCTTCTCAGCGAGTTGAGCAGCGGGGTTGGCACGGATGGCCTCATGAGCTTCAGTGTACATATCTTCAACCTTATCGGAAGTGATACCAGCCTTGATGAAGGTGGCGAATTGCTTCTTGTAACGTTCCTCATCTTCTTCTTCGAGGTACTCCATGTACTCAGCAACGTGAACACCGTAGATGTAGTTACGGAGGAGTTCATCATCGTTGGTCTTGGTCTCCAAATCGAAACCGGGGAAACGGTTACCGTTGTGGGGAACAAAGATACCACCATCAGAGGCACCCTTCATGGCACCAAAGACACGAGCACCAGTGGAGGTACGGGCAAGACCAACATCAAGGAAAGCCTTGAAAGGACGGGGAGCATCCTCAGCAGCTTCAATCAATTGGACGGTACCATCGGGCTCAGCGAAACCTTCGTACTTGTCAGCAAGACCGAGCTTGGCAAGAGTACGACGGGCAAGGAGGAGACCAGTAGCATAAGCAGAGGCCCAGTTAGTCAAACCACCCTTAACACCATAACGGGGAAGTTCGTGAGCATAAGCAGCAGAGAGAACGAAATCACCTTGGAGCTTGGCGTAGATGATTTGACAGACAATGTCCTTGTTGGTGAAACGGACAACTAATCTATACTTGGGAGAGTTGTACTTGTTCTTGGCTTGAACAACAAGTCTCTTACGAGCATAGTAATCGGTCTTACCCTCTAATCAATTTTATCAATGATCTATTTCTATTACTGACTTTTCTCTCTAATATTACCTCTTCTTCTACGATACTTGACTTGGTATCTCTTGAAGTAGGCCTTGTTCTTTTGTTGCTTGACGAAAGGCTATATTCAAATACAATGTTAAAATTGGCTTTACTTTTTTTTTTTTTGTGTTTCTGACATTAGGGTGAATTTCAACAACGACAAAAAAACAGATGCATTTTAACATCCATCCATCTCTAGTATCGGTATCCATCCATGTTCTAAATCATCCATCTGTTTCGAAATTGTCTTGTTCAACATTACCATTTTTAATTACTCAATGAAAGGAAAGATTACTGGCTTACGCGCCCATCCATGGTATATACAGTTTTCACGCTTCAAATTCAGACAATGTTAGTTTTTTTCTAGCCAATCAAAATTCACATTTTGGCTTGCCTTTTTTGGCATCATAATTTGGTGCGGAATACATGTCTGGGGCACATCCGCTAAATTTAGTTGTTGGGAACACCCAAGACCGCAACGTCGCCAGACTGATGCGCTGGAAGTTTTTCGACAAGTGAAACCTTTTAAGAAAAACTGTTATTATAAAGCTTAAAATTACGTATTTCTGACATCTCATACTTGTCTAAATTATTATTGATTCTTCGGAACGGTGGCAAAGTTAGGCCGTCTTCAGAAACAAGATGACAGAAACCAATCAAAGCAATATTCATAGTGCCGTTTTGGTCTCTATTGATTGTGGAAGAACGAGAGGACATTCTTCTGGAACAGATATCGTATATGCAGCTCACGGCACCTTTGATTCTTCTTTTTCCATGGTCTCTGTCGTATTTGGGTACGATTCATTTAAGAGTAATTAAGCAAATCGTTCAAATAAATAAACTATGAAATAAAACAACCTTTGATGTTGCATATCAGCATACGCTTGTATACTGCTATACAACTTCTCCTAATACGAGTACACACTTCTTTATTAAAGATGGCATGATTGGTCTAAATATGATATACGAATGACAGTTGGATACATAATGCTATACCGCTGAGTTACGATATCACCGATCGAGAAGAGAATCTTCTCAGATCAAATCAAGAATCATAAGAAAAAGAAACTTAATATCAATAGTTCTCTCTATGGAATATCTACCCATAGAGAGAATAGAACAGCTATTAATATAAATGGATTATTTACTAATATATTGATATGACTATACAGCTGATAAAGTTTATAAAGAAATAGTGTATCAATTAATGGATACCTACTTTATACAACTAAATATACAAATCTCGATAAGACATTCTATCATTACGGCTTTTGATCTTGTGGAAAAAAGCATTATCCTACATCGGTATAGTTGACAAATAGCATACAGCAGAAGACGTCCTTTTACATTGACATTATCTGACGCATCGGGCGAGTTTAGAAGATTGCAGATGTGACGACTGTTCAAATAGTGGACTTAATACCACTATTGTCAGTAAAGTCTTGTCTTGCATATTTTCACACCGTAACTTTTTAAGCATGAATTCATTTTGACTATACCTTCATGGAAAGATGTTTGGAAAACTTCATAAACATTCTCAAATCTTGCATCAAGTTCTTTATTTTCATAGGAAGGCAGTTTAATCTCACTGCTGTTCTTATCCGCCCAAGTAAAAGTCAAAAGTCCTTGAGGAAAACCATCATCTAAAGAAGCATAAATTATAAATAAGTCTTACTATAATCACCGGTTAGTTAAATTAAACAAACCAACCTTGAGCAGTGAAACCACTATCCTGGACATTAAAACCTACTGTTCTTTGCGCTATTCATTAAAATAACCAATGTTACATGTAGGCTTTCAATAAAAATTCACACAAGGAGCTTACGTAAGGACTCTTTTCGCCTTTGCTCATCATCATCCTTATCAGGCTCTGTTTTTCTTTTCAAAGTTCAAGACGTATCGGATGGCTTGAGAGGGGGAAAAGAAGTAAAATAAGATATTATTTATCACAAGTGGTTTCCATTTGTCAAATGTAGGTTATTGTCGTGTCATGTTTGATTGCTGAAGTTAAACATAGATAAATGATTATTCTTTTTACTCAGACTGAAAGTATGAAGCAAGGCGACGGAAAGTGATGTATAGGAATCATAAGTTTATGAGATGGTAGACGGGATGCTTCATCAGTAACGTATGTGTATAGAATTGTACATTTAATGTTAATAGCATGGCAGCTATAATTAACAACCCAGTGATTTTCAAATGATTTTCACTGTAGGTAGCAGTTATTATTTGACATGCTTATACTTATTACAGCATAACTGTATATTTACGATCAATACCATTGCTAGCAGTTATACCGTTCAATGCATGTCTTTCAAATTGGCCAATCAGGTTCACACTTAGTGATAGGAGAGAAAATTAGTGATCGGAGTGCGCCCAGACTTGTCAGCCAGGCCATAATTTTTTTAAGGTAGCATATGATCTAATTTTTTTATGCACATGTGTGACAAAACATCTTTTATTTTAAATCTTGGGTCTGTACAATTGACGTTCTTCAAAACGTATAGGCACAACCATTAAATTCTTCACCTTTCTGACATCCTCTTGTGTCAACTTGCATTCGTCACGAATATAACCTTCAATAGACCCATACTTTTCTTTCAATTGACGAATGGTTTCTTTCATGGCAAGATATCTGTGTCAAATGAAAAGAAACTGTTTTAAATATGGATATCAAACAGCTAAATGTGTATTGAAACTTACGGTGCAGACATCACCATGCGCACGTCATCTATAGTAACACCCAACATTTCTGCCTTTTTTACCAATTCATGCTCAGGCTCTATTCATTTCCATCCATTAATATTTAAAATCACATGGATTTATATGCTACTCACCCCAATACCCGAGATTACTCAATGCGTATTCGTTTGCAATGATCTCATCCTCCACGCCGCATAAGCCCAACAAAAGCATACAGAAAATACCTGTACGATCTTTACCAGCTGTACAATGAACAATGATAGATTGCGTGGTGGTGGTTGAGTGGTTCTGAATTAAATGCATAAAAATGTTGCGATATTGACTTGCGCCCTTTTCTAAAATAACTGCATAGACCTTGGGAAACCCATAAGGTCCTTCGAAATACCCTTTCCAACGTATGGCTAATGCTGCTGGTGAATAATCGGCTTGGGTAAACATGGCAGATGGGTAACGTTTGATGCCGTCAATATCTCTGTATACATTTATAAAACAAAGTAAGTATGTTTTCATTGGTACATAATAATGGATCTACACTTTACGGCATGACACCTTGACGCTCAATCTCTGGATCCGAGCGGAAATCAAATGCAGCAATCACATTAAGTCTCTTTAAGGTATTGATACCTTGTTGTGTAATATCCACTAGACTGATACAAAAGTTAATATTCTATCATATTTCTGATAAATATTTGTAAACGTACTGCCCGCATCTGAATACAGTTCTCTCTCTGATATAACCACTACCATCCTTCAAAGGCCAACCACCAATATCTCTGAAATTTTTTACGCCGGGAATATCGATCCAGCGAGGAATAGTGACACTGACATGTTGACCCATAGCCAATGCCTTGATATAGGCATCATTGGCATGTCTACTAAAATATTTCACGATATCCTCAATCAATCTCTCGTGTTGGTTATTGAATTCGTGGTCGGCATTGGGTAACAGCCTCAATGTGTGGTTCGAGATTTTATTGGAGTACATGGCAGCATGATAAGCAGGCACAATCTGAGGAGAGTGGTTGTTAAGTGGAGTTTCCTATTTAAATTAGACAGTATTACCTCATCGTTTAAGCCATGGATTGTAAGGACACATGTTGTCTTGGGCATACGCATCACTAACATATAAATACAATCACTTTAGTTAAGGCAAACACGGGTTTATAAGATACATACCGTGAGAATTATCCCAAGCAATATACGCATCCGTATCCTTTTTACTAGTCTTGATGGGAATAAGTTCATCCCTTTGATACACCTTCCAATCGAAAAAGTCCTGCGTATGAAGTTACTATAAATGTTTGGTCGAGCTTCATATTTTTTTACTTCTTACGCCATCATCTGTTTCAGGTTCGGTGTCATAGGGTGCGGCAATATTCAGGTAGTGAGACAAGGGTTTATCACAGGATGTAGCGTACTTTAATCCACTGAGAGAACCTATACTTATCTTTTTAATTCAGAAAGTATACTTGAACAGAAAACTAGTTCCTTACCCCTTCCATAAGCAATGATTGCAAAAATTTCATAGCCAAGAGACTCAAAGTGCTTAGCCACTGCATGAATATCTGCAGCATTTTCCTAAAATAAAAATTATTAGCATGTCACTGTCATGCTACAAAAAAACAAAGGGAAAGTGCTTACAGAAATATGACTATAACCTGGTTGTCCCTCGCTATCTCCATGACCGTGGAAATCAAAACGAAAAGTTGAGTAAGGCAATTGGTCTGCCAAAGCACTATGATAAAGTGCGTTCTTATGGCCTAAAGGGGTGGGCAATGAAAAAAAATGACATGTTTAATAGCTTAAAAAAAATGAAAAGTCGAAGAAGTATTTGACCTTGTTCACCGTGAACAATTAAAACGAGTTTATCTGGTGTCTTTTTTTCAAAGATACCAACAATGGCTTCTTGATTGTCATTTAAAATGCGTGTCACTGTCATTTAGAAAGATGAAGAAAAAAGTTAAAAAAGATTACGTGTAGAAATAGAAAATTATTGAATAAGCGAAAAATTAACAATTATGAAATTTTCATGTGTAAATAGGAAATGTATATGGGGTCCCTAATAAATGATCACCAAAATACATGAAAGGGTCTTCTACGAAATGTAAAATTAAGGCATTATTTATAACATGCCCCTTGAATTGATAAATTATTCTGTCGTATCAAATGTACCAAGTGTCTTACAAGTGTTGGTTAGTACTGTATATCCGAAATACATATGATCTAGCATTTGCCAGAGTACAAAAGTTGAAATATATACTGATATCAATCAACATACTGCTCAACTTAGAATGCATTGTTTAGATAGTCAAGCGGTAATACAGACACTGTTTTAACTAATAAAGTAGTTAAATAAATAAATCTAAAAGGTGATGGTTTACCTCGGCATGAGCAATCTTACATGTTAAAAGGAAAGCTCGTGGTACACGAAAATCATGATTCTAGAGAAATCTAGAATTCGTCGTAGGACAAAGCCGTGGATGTGGTAACTTTTTAATTTTTTGTTCAAAGAGAGATACAGCAGTAACAGAGCCCAAGTGATGATTTCAGCATTTTTGTGTGCGACATTAACACTTTAGATGAAAATCTCTCATTTTCATGCCACACAAACATTTTTTGCTAACTCGAGCTTTTTTAATTAATTTTAAAAATAGTAACAAATTTAATCAAGGAAACAATAGCAACATGGAACAACCCTTTTTGATATAATCTACAGCTATGAAGCTACCCCCACAGTTTGTCCCGAATGACACACTTCTTCTGATTAAAAGTTTCGTTTCATGTTAGGGCTTTTCTATAATGCATGACCTTAAGCAATGTTGGTACCACGCCACTGTGTGAGCACAAGTGAAGTCAATCTCAGGTAATTTTTACATAAATGATGTAATGGTAACTCCCGTTCATAATGTTTAAGCCTCACAACCAGTCAAATATTTTCTATTCTTTTGTTTGTGCTAATTATATGAAGATATACTTGAGACAATTGGATTACATAAAAGACATCGGCTTATTTCTCGGACATGACCGACTTTCCATGAGGGATAAAAAATGTTTCTTCTTAATGAGAAGAAAAAAGTCCGGTGAGCTCCCCCAATTAATTTTTGAGTTCAAAAGAGCGTGTGAAGTCATTTTTTGTTTTTTTTGTTTTTAGTTTTCTTTTTTATTGTCCATTTCAATAAAGTTAACACATGCGATTTGGTGATTAATGGACGGTTACTTTCAATCTGTAAGTCATTTCGAAATAAAGAAATCCCGTAACCTTGGCAACTAAACCATGTACTTAATTTTTCTTCCTGTTAAAAGACACTCGCCGCAAACAGTTTGCAACAAAACATCAGTCGTGCCAACACAAATAATGCAATAGCGCAAGTTGCTAAAGTAATACCTCATTTTCCCACCACAAACAAAGATTTCAGTTGCACTGAATTACACACACCCGATGGCATTTATCCCCTGTTACACGAAACCTTTTACGAAACTATTGCACCGCAATTTACGACAGGAACTCGTACCTCCGTAGTCAATGCCAAGGAAGATACTTATAATGGAAAAAATCAGAAAAATGACATCAACGGTCACTCAATTGACTCCTCAGATGATGATGGCTCGAGTGCTGGTGGTAGTGTAGGTGGTTTTGCCGGTGGTTTTGGTAGTGCTTTATTTTCAATGACACCTGTCACTAAATCCGCTGCGTTACCTATCCCTAATGCTGCTTCTAAAAAGCAGTTACGTACACCTCTCACAACATCACTTTCTACCTCCAGTGTAGGCGTTACTTCTACGAGTGGTCTACATATTGTTACTTCGCCCCAAAAATCAATGACAGCTACAGCCAGCGGGAACAATACAAGCCCGTACTTGCCAAACTCTCCTTCATTTCCTTCCATTGCTACTCCCACCACACCCACCACAAGCTCTCATAATCTTACTCAACAGCAATTTGCATCGGGTTCATATATGATGAGTTCATCGCAAGATTTTGGTATGACTACCATGAATACCACAAACAAGGACGATTGTTTGCTTTCTTCCTCATACACGGGCAATAGCAGTAGCGTGGGATCACTTTCTTCGTTGTTCGGAAGAAGTAATTCCAACGTGGGTGGAAAATCAACCCCTCAATTATCCTCGTCATCTCGAAACAATCATATTTTAAGTGCCAGTATCAGTAGCAGCAAACCTAAAAATCACCTTTCAAAAACCAACTCGACATTTGTTCTCAGATTCCTCATTCACGAAAATCTACAAAAGCTACTTTCCACAAAAGCCTTAGACGATCAGTTTTTGTTCTTCAATATTGGCTCAAGTTTTATTTGGGTCGATGCTAAAAGCAAACCCAAAGTAAAATAGAAAAAAAACATGTGTGATTGTAGAAAAAAACTAACCTCTTTTCTGAATAGGAGCCGTTATCGAGAATCGTGTTTTCAAAATCATATCCTTTGTGTCACGATATTAACGAAGCCACCAGATCAGATGATCATCTGGACATCATCATTGGCTTCTCCACCGGTGATATCATTTGGTATGATCCATTCAGTTGTAAATATGTCCGTTTAAACAAAGGAGTAAGTTCTCAATTTATTTTTACATTCTATCGTGTACTTAATACCCAGTGTCTTTCCTTTTAATAGGGATGCATGATATCTTCCGCCGTCACCATGATCAAATGGATTCCTGGTTCTGAAGATCTCTTTATAGCTATATTCAAAAATGGAGCTGTCGTGGTTATGGATAAAGAACGAGACGATCAAACCTTTGTGATCCCGGAATGCGACTCACCTTTCAATGCATTTAGACCACACAAAAGTACCAAATATAATCCCGTATCCTTTTGGAAAGTGAGTAAACTCGGATTGACAGGTAGTACTAATGGCTTGGAGTAAATGTCGGAAGGTTTTACTCAAATCTGTTTACTAGATATTGCCTTTTCACCGGATAATATGCATTTAGCAATCACTGGTGTAGACGGACAATTACGAATTATAGACTATAGAAACGAAAGGTATTTGTACGACCTGCGATATGGGAGTTGAAAGGCTGACAAAAAAAACTTCACCCCGTTAAGGTTAAATGATATATATGCAAGCTATTTTGGAAAATTAACATGCGTTGATTGGAGTCCGGATGGACGTTATATATTGGTAAGATATCTTAATAAGTGAGGAACACGTCAGTATACACTAACGCGTGACACAGACGGGTGGCGAAGATGACTTGGTCACATTATGGTCATTCCATGAAAGAAAAATGGTGGCGCGATGTGAAGGGCATAAGTCATGGGTGACAGGAGTCGCCTTCGATCGTTGGAGATGTGATGAACAAACATATAGGTTTGGTAGTGTAGGCGAAGACTGTAATTTGATATTATGGGATTTCTCATTTAGTGCTTTACAAAAGCCAAAACATGTAAGTCTATGTACATATTCAGCCCTGCCAAGATAGCGAGACTTAAACTCTTTTTACAGCCTCGTGGTATTGTCGTGTCGCCACCTCCTGTACAATGGCCGGCTGCTCAAACACAACCGACAAACATTGAACGCAAAAAATCACTTAAGAATCACCGCTTGTTCCGTGGATTTTCATCCACCGACACAACCACTGTAAATAATAATGTAGGAACAGGATCATTTGGCAGATTTAGAAAGAGGTCATCGAAATCCAATAATATTTTTGGATCTAGCGATCACGATTTTCCTGAAGAACAGCAGGAACATCTTCATTTACCCGTTTTACATCCACCCATGAAAAAGAATCAGGCAGCGATTTTGCAACCCACCACTGTATCAACTATACATGCCGATCCTTGTATATCACTTTTGTTTAGAGAGTCGACGTTGGTGACAACAGATAGAAGAGGTCGAATTCGTACTTGGGGCAGGCCTTAATGTTCAAATACCTTTACCCCTGACCCCACACACCTCTCTCTCTCTCTTTCTCTCTCTCTTCATTTTTCTTCAATCACTCTTGGTTTTTGTATAGACAATAAAATAGAAATAAGGACCAATTAGTCACTTGTTAAACAGCTCAAGAAATATGTTAGTTAACATGAAGCTTGAAAAGTAAGATAGTGTAATTATGGTTGAGAGTTGGTGTTCTGTAAGTCAAGTAGTAAGGAGATAAATATTGATTTTTATTTAATTAAGTAATGGTATAATGAAGCATAGTCAGGTGAACGGATTTGGTTTCTTATAATCGAAACTTGAAATCTAAACGATCGCTACCTTCATCTTTGGTTGTATTAGAGTATTCCTTCTTTTGCTCGTCTGAGAAATTGTTCCATTTTCTCATTCTTGCCTTATTGGTCAATGCATATCGAGCTCTTAGCGACAAGAAAAGTAAAGAAGCGCCGGCGAGCAAACCAATATTAATCCAGTTGCCCTTATGGAACCTCGGTGAGTCACTTTGCACTGTTTAGGTTGTTAGTAAAAGAACAATAAATGCTATTTATGAGAGTAAAACTTACAATAAATTTGAGAGCCAGGTACACCACAAATATTCGCTGCTCCAACCACTGCTCCAAAAGCGATCGTACGCTTACCAACAGGTGCTAGATTAGATGACATCCAAGCAATTTGCATACCATGCCATACGGGAGAAGAAGATACTAATAATGTAACTGCATAAAAAGTCCAACGGCCAGCGCTATCGGGAATAAATTGCAATGCGAGAAATCCAGCCATAGACCATATACAACCGATAAGAGCATGAAGCGAATAATTCCCATAGCGATCAGCACTTTTAGCAATTAAAATCGAAAAGAAAAGTCCAATAAAGCAAGAAGGCACTGTTAACAAGTTACTGGTGGTAACAGGAAAACCATAGCCTCTGATCAGAGTAGGGAAATACGTAGCCATAGGAGTTGTTGGCATAATACTATTAAGTAATAAGGAAGTTAGCGTTTTGTGTAAATCATATGGTTCTTATAATTATTTACCCAATAAAAGTAATAATTAAATGGGTCCAAAGCTTTGTGTCCTTAACAGTGATTTTAACGTCGTGCCAAGTAAGTCGCTCATATTGATCTTTTTTAGATAAATCATCACGAATGATACGTGTAACGGCTATTTGTTTTTCACGTTCTGTAAACCATCCAAGCTTACCACGAAGGCCTCCTGCAGTAGAGGAAGGGTTGGCAGGAATATAAAAACTAAATAGATAGAGACATTAGTACAGATGAAGATAGAAGAGGGGAAGGTATAATAAAGTTAGATGGCAAAAATACTCACATGGCAATAGCACCAACGATATGAGTGAATACACCATCTATGAGGAAAAGCCATTTCCAGCCTTGAAGACCACCAATACCGGACATACGAAATACGCCAAAGGATATCAGACCGGAGAATGCAGAAGCAAAAGATTGGATACCCCAGAACCAAGATAGACGTGTAGCCAACTCATTTGTTTTGTACCAGCCAGTAAGATAAGAAACACAGGCAGGAATAAAGCCTGCTTCTGTTAATGCAAGGACAATACGAAGAACAATATAGCCACTAAAGTTCTATTTATCATAATGTAAGTAAAATAATCAGTACAAATGTAATAAATTAAACTGATTTGATTACATACATGGAGAAACGTGTGAGCCCATGTGCAGACAGCCCAAGCATTCATCATTATAGGAATCGTGAAGTGAGCACCAAATCGCTTGACAATTACATTGTTACAAACAGTACCAGCTGTAAAAATAATGGAATGCACAAGTGTGCTGGTATTGATACCTGTGATACCAAATCCCAAATCAGCAGGAAGACCATCCGAAATGGCATTTGCTATAAAGAAAAAAAACGAAAGGGGGGTTAAAAAAAAGGGGAACAGATATTGTATAGAACCTGCAGACTTTACCAATATTAGTTCTATCCATGTGTAGCACAAATGACATGAGAAGAGCAAACGACATGAGGCGAAGATCAATCTTGTTAAGCACAGCTCTCTCTTCTTCAGGTGTCCATTCGAGATCATGAACATAGTCTAATGGAACCTTCTCACTTTCATCGGTACTCACTGAAGCAACATCGGTGCTGGAGTGATCGTCTGGTTTCTTCTTTTCACTGATTGGGATATCAATTACCTCGACAGTCTCTTTTATATCTTGCACCATTTGATATAGTATTTCTTTGTAAGAGAGAGAAGATGTTAATTGTGGTGATGAAGAGAGAAAAAAAGGAAAGATACCATCTCTAATCCCGGTATTTATAGGATCATTTGCATAAAGATTTGACATTTCTTGTGTGCTACATCTAAAGAGAAAAGCAATGTCTCCACCGAATTATACGGGACCTACCAAACTATTGTTGAGTTGTATCACATAAAGTGATAACCACGGATTCATCTACAATGACTCTTGTGAAACCTATAGCCATAGAAGTATTTATTGCACCATATTATACCCCACTTGTGCCGTTTGTTTGCTATAAAAATTGTACTACATGAGAACTCATTAATGGGAGTGAGCTTCTGTGGCGTCATTCAAGTCTTGAATTTCGGCAACTTTTAAGATATTCGCACACAAATTCTTGTCATCACACTTGGATCTTGCCAAAATTCCATCAGACCTTGGGAATATGATGAATAATCCGGACATTGGGGCTCTTCTTCTGTTGATCTTCTGTTATTGTTGTTACTTAATTATGCAGCCAATTGAAAATCAACGCTGTGACATGATATGTGTGATAAAAAGGAGCCCATAAAGATACATTAATAACTAAAAGGAAAAATTCTCCCGTAGTAATGATATAATATTGTGAACTAACACCTTCCACAAAGTTATGAGGTAAAGCCATAAGGTAATGAGCAAGATCGGTCATTTTCCAGTACATATTGCGACATTTTATTTTACAGCTTACTCTTTGTACAGTCATGGATTGCGTTGTGCTACTTTTGATGGCATCATTTTAGTTAGGCATGATGAGACACTTTATTCGATTTAGATGGCGTCTTATCTATCCAAAGTTGTAATAGTCCCGAGACTTGCTACCGTATAATCAGCCTTTTATTTTTGTATCGTGTTTAAATTCACTGTACTAAAATGTACCGTTGTTTCGTGATGAAATATTTGACTGATAAGCAATTATGATCGCGTTTATAGTTTTTCTATATAATCATCCTAATATATTGTTTCAGTTAGAATAATTTATTCATTGATGGATCTCTTTTAAAGCATACATAGTTATATATGCTTTAAAAAGATCTTGTTCCTAGAATTTATACTAGCGTGAATGTTTTAATAGCTTATAGTAATTAAGATGAATCTCTATCAAAGGCTAGCTATCTAATAATTTAACTCCACTTACACTGGATAAATTTTCCTCGCCAAGAGAATGAATTCCTTGTAACTCTACTTTCTTTGTTCAATCACAAGGTCACGATAACAATTTTGGAAAGCCGCGTCAACAACTTCAGTAGTGTCATCCAATAATCGAGATTATTTCACATAGTTTTTATTTAATTAACTCCAATCAATATACATTGCAGGTTCGCGTAAATATTCACTTTTCTGCTGCATTGCGATCTTTTCAACTATACATCTTTTTTGTTTGATCCTTCTCTTTTTAATTAGACAAAATAATGACAATACCAATTACTCCCTTAAATATACTATCTTAGTAAAAATAAAGCGCTTATGTCTACATGCAACGTACTGCTGTTGCACCGACAGCAATGCCAACCCTAACCCCTGTGCTCAATCTAAAACATAGCTCTACTTTGTCTACCAAAGTAAAATTTAAATATGAAAAAACTACGGCGTTTGCGTCAATATACCTTTACAGCCAAGTAACGTTTAGAGGATTTGAAACATTGAAAATCAACAAATAAGATAATAACATAATTTTCTTAGTTACAGAAACAGCTTATGTCATTTGAAAAAAAATATTAATACTCTGAGCGTTTTTTAGCTACATTATAGAACACATTTATACCTGAATGGCCTGACCCGGTCAAAATTGGGCTATCTTTAGCTGCAATCTATTGATATGTCCATTCATTTATGTATCGAAATTTAAGGTAAATAGCAGTAATCGAGAGCCGCTAGCATATTTTTAAAAGTTAATAAGAAGACGTACATGTACATCATAATTGTTTCTTACGCATAATGTCTGTATATCGCTGGCCTCCATACAGCGGTACATCCCTTTGAATTGAACTAGCTATTAAAAATATTTTATACTCAGCTTTGAAATCTAGTTTTTATCCGTTTAGAGAATATACCTACCTCATGTTGTACTATTATGACTATTTTAGTTGAATTTCTCCCTTGTAGTACTTGTATACCCCAAACTTTGTCGGTTAGATTAAATGTGAGGGAGCTTTTAAAATTAAAATAGTCAGCCTGTCAATAGATGGAGGCGACACGTTGTAAAGTCGCTATCTTTTCTGACTGCTAAAAAAAGTGAGCACCATGCTATTTGGTACAAAGCCGAGTATATCAATAGGCTGTAATTAAATCTTTGCAAAAGAACAGACTCTGGTTTATTAAATGAAAGAAATACAATTTTTCATAGTAAAGGATATAAAATGTACGTTGGAATAAGGTTGACAGTCTATTTTGTATCACTACAAAATCAAGTTGCCACAACTTAAAACCCACCATAGTAAAATAAACTTGGTTGCTTTAAGGATAAAAAATTGATGTTTGATCTTATTCGATAAGGTGTTTGGCCTATTAATTTGGGTAGGATAATATGGCCAACGCTAGGTTTTAATAATTGTGATATAAAAAAATGCTTATATGAGCCCTTCTTATATATATACTTATAGAATTCATGACTTAATAAATCCCATCAAATTTGATTACCTATTAGCCAAATCTCCACAACTCTTGTAGCAATTACCACTATTTTCTATCGTATTTTGTACCCTTTACCCCAGTTATCTTTTAATTCAATAAAAATATGCCTATACAAATTTTGTCATTCATGACTTTTTATTAGATGAATACTTTTCGGACAATCCATGCCATTTTTGCCCTACCGATCAACAAGCCTGAAAGATTTCCCGTTTATTTTTTTACAGGCGGGATGACGACCTAACTTTAATGCTTAAGCTGTTTTCTTCACTCATGAAATCGGTACCTATTTATTTCCACTTTTTCTATTTGAAAAGTTTTCAGTCACATTATTTACTGTATATTGAATAAATTATTAATGCTTAATTGTAAAAACTCCAATTAAATCGTGTGACGAAAGAGAATTACCTACTAATTATTGTGTCTGGTATTTCAAATAAAGTACAACTAACATTTATTAACTCTTGTGATTTATGGTCGAATAGCAAATAAGCTCAATTAATTAAGTCATATGATAGCTATTATCTTAAGAAGGTTCAGCAAACACATCGGGTTTTTGGGATAATTGGGCTTCACTCCCTCTGAGTTGATTTCCATCACCAATAGAATGAGGTCTCTGTAATTCCACGCTTCCTCGTGTTAATACAGTGTTACGATTCCTTGAAACCGAGTCGACAACCGTAGTAGAACCATCCAAAAATTGAGGAAGCTCTGCATAGTTTTTATCGATTTCATCCCAATCAACTTCGATAACATTTTCTGGTAACTGCTCTTTCACTTGTTGTCCTTCGGTTTTCTCAATTTCGCGCCTTTTTCGTTCGGTCTTTCTCTTCTTAATAAGACAAAATAACATAATAGCAATACCAATTGCACCCTAAAATATACTAATTTAGTAAAAATAAAATGCATATATGTTTATACATAACCTACTGCTGTTGCACCGACAGCAATCCCAGCGGTAGCTCCTGTGCTTAATTTAGAAACTTTAACGGGCTGTACTTCGTCTACGGAAGTAGTATTTGAATCCGGAAAAACCTCGACTGCTGCGTTTGCGTCAGTATATTTTTCAAGCCAAGTAACCTTTGAAGGATTGGAAACGTTGAGCATCAATAAAGAAAGTATAGTGTTTTTATTGGAGTCCATTCCAAATAATATAAACACAGTCTCGCTATTTACAGAAACAGCTTATGTTATTAATAAAAAGTTTTAGTACGCTGAGCAATTTTAACTACATTATAGAAATCATGCATACCTGAGTGGGTTGATCTTATCAAAATTGGAGAACTTTTGGCTTCAATCAATTGAGATGTCCATTGATATGTATCGAGATTTAAGGTATAGCAGTAATCGAGAGAAGCTAGCATATGTTTAAAAGTTAATAAGAAGACGCATATGTATATAATAATTTTTTCTTACGCGTAACGTCTGTATATCGCTGACCTCCATACAGCAGTACATCTCTTTGAGTAGGACCAACTATTAGAAATGTTTTATATTAAGGCCTGAAATAAAGATTCTTTTTTTTCTCTAATTAAGAACAAACTTACTTAGTGTCGTACTATGGCCCATTCTTTTAGTTGGTATACTTCCTTCGAGTATTTGTATACCCCAAACTCCATCGGTTAGATTAAATGTGAGAGAATTATTAAAATCAAAATAGTCAGCCTCGATAGATGGAGGTGATATGTAAAACCCACCATAGTAAAAGATGCGGTTGCTTCTAATATCAAAAATCGATGTTTGTTCTTTCGATAAGATGTTTGGCTTGTTAGTCTGAGTGGGATACACTGACCAAGGCTAAATTTAACTAAATATAAGAAAAAAACAGCTATAAGAAAGACGTATACAAAAACGTACATTTGATGAGGTCATGATATTCAGAAATGTCAGACTGGTAAAACCAAAACTCCTAATATTTTGGGAATCATCTTGATACGCAGTTACATTTACACCTGGCAGAACATAACTTTTATCATAATTACTATTCAGCTAATAGTCAATACCTAATGCTAACATAAAATGCATGCTGATAATGTTCTTACGTCTCAAAACCGCCATATAATGCGATCCCGTATTCAGGAACATATGATGCGGCTGAATAGTAACTATGTATACATTAGTACTCGCTATATCGTTGAAAAAGCATTTAAAACAAATCTTCCGTTTACTAACATCTGTCGGACACCATATGGATCTTCTGTGTAATCTGGATATTTCTGCCACGATCTGGTTTCTCCATTAAAAGCTAACATCTGTGATGGTAGTTTAGTATTTCCGCCAGACCAACCGCCGAGAAGCAACATCGTATTTCCATCTGGTAGTGGAACTGTTGCTATTCCTCCTCTTTGTGAAATCTCCAAACCGTTTGGATTTGTGGTAACTGTGACCCATCTGTTTTTGAACTCTTCTGCTGTAGATCCACTATAATTAAGTATGTCCAACATCACCATATTCGTATCAGGATAAACATTACTCTGAAGCCGACCACCAAAACAGTATATTTTGGTTGCCAGATATCCACAGGCTTATCATCGTCAGATATATCGTAAAATATTCGAAAATAGTTTTTTGATATTAGCGACCTACATGTGTACATTTTAGCTTGAACAGCCTGTGCTATTACATAATTAGCATTGCTTGAAAATATAAGTATTGCTACTTTAATGGAAAATCTCATTTAGAGTTTATCACTCGAAGAAGACAAAGAGAAATATTTTAATAGAAATGGTACTTATAGCTATGTTACTTTAAAAAGTGTAACATGGTTACAATCTCGTACATTAATATGTACTACTTGCGAAAAAGCTCACCAATATACTTAAGCGGAAAGACCTAAATTCTTCACATTGACATCAGGTATTATATTATATAATTATGCATTTACATCCAAGCAAATGCTGCGTCCATATGAAAACATAATTGCCAGTCTAAAAATTCGATTAACATACAAATCATCGAATCAAATTAATGGTGGTACGTAACACACCAATCCACGTTAGAAAGTCCGTTTTTAGTTAGCCTGCAATCAAAAAAGAGTACCCATAAATAACCTTGTCTACTTAACATTGGTAGACAGTAACGGCTTTGATTCAGAAGATGAATATAGATTTCAATAATCCTGGATATAACAATAAGGATTTAAACGACACATTCATATATAAAAAATATTGACTTAGAGTTAAATAAAATTATGGGAGTGTTCGTTATGAATATCTTCACTTCCTTCAATTATTCAAACAGTAAACTTTAGATATGTTTTTGCGTCCATAATATCCAAAGCAGCCCTGATTTTCTTTATTTCAAAGCACCCCACTGACCCAAGAGCTTTTGGTCAGACTTCTTATCACATCGTTAAAACATTTAATTTGGTAGCTGAAGAAGGAAAGATTATTATAAAGGATGCAAAAAAAAAATGTGCCTTTAATTCATTTATTAAAAGGAGGTAACACTACAGAAATGAGTAGGGAGCATGTAAAAGAAGAAACGTCCATTTAAACAGCACGGAAAATGAGGTTGTGACACCAAAAATTGCATTAACAAAAAAAAAGCGTGTCACTTTATGGTTTACGTGTTTGGCGTTTGACCAGATTTTTTTTTTTTTTCTAATTTTTTAAACACATATTTTTTATTTCTGGAATGTCAACTTTGGAAGGTTAGAAAGAGAACTCCTTTGCTACTTTTTTTAAAGCTAATCAAGTTTTTCTTTTAGACTTGGATCTCACTAAAGTTCGTTCAGAGAATAACAATGAGGTTGAAGAGCTTAAGCACACACAAAAACCCATCGATGTCGATTCACGAAGTGGTTTACGATTGAGGTAATCCCTCCTGTCCTCCTCCTCTTTTATTTTCTTCGATGGTTAACACATAATAACAGGCAACGTTTGTTCTCTGCAAAACAATGTGATAAAGGGCTTCAGAATGTTGAATTTGTACCTCTCTCCAAAGTCGAGTCGCATACGTCTTTGTTCAATTCGATTCAGGTTGGTATGAAACCCACTAAGGACTGGTCGACTATTGGTGTTATGGATAAGTTTTACCCACAGGCAGACTTTTGTGTTACTCGTATCACAGACATGTGTGGTGTCCATATCCATGTGTATATCACTGGAAAGGCCTATACGAAGAATATCGAGGGGTTGGGTATGGGATCTGTTATTGCCATCAAAAGACCTTTTTTGCTTAAGCCAACCGAGGTAAAAGAAATATATACGAATGTCAAGTAAAGCGACTAAATATATGATTAGATCAAACGTTCAATTGCATTACATGTGGATCAAATACAACAAGTGTGGGTGATTGGGCAGAGTTTGGATTTGAAACAGTGTGTTACTTTCACCAGGAAGGATGTACGGTGTAATGAATGGATGGATATGTAAATATAGATATCTAATAGATTTGAAGCAACAACTAAAAAAGAATGTTTTATATTACAGACGATCTGGAGAGTATTGTGATACGCACTTGGCGCGAGTTTGTAATTATTCCAAAAACGGCCGAATGGAACTCGCTTCAGGGTAAGTGAAATTTAGTCGGGAAGAAACAAACAGAGGTTGATATTATATGACTGTAGGGACAGCGGATTTGATATTCGATGGGCCACACAAACCAAGCAATCGGATGGATCCTACTTATACCAGTCGAAAAAAGCAAATAAGGTGGATCCTTTATTAAATTTGATGACTAGCAGTAAATCCAAAGATGCCTATTACGTCAAAGGAAAAGGGCTTGTGGCGATCGATGGATCGTTAATCAAAAAGAAGCTGCCGCCTAGAAAAGAGCATACCGAGGCCGAGAAGGAGGAAATACAGTAAGAATCAAACATTTCCCACCTCTCTTTTTTTTAAAAACCAATACTGATTTTAATTTCCTATAGGAAATTTTTAAGAGGTAAAAGAGACCCCGGTGCTGAAATGATCCGAAAAATAAAAGGAATTACTGATGAAAAGCCTAGTAAGTTTTTTTTTTTCTGCATAATTTAGAATTTCATAATTCTAAATTTTTTATTTTTTACTTTATTCTCATTTTAATTTTTTATTTTCATTTTAGGAACCGTATTATCCAAAGAAGCGCTTGATAAGATGGGAATTGGTTTTAAGCAGTTAACAAAGGAACAAGAAGAATCCAAGGTAAGCAAAGATGTACTCATAAAGTAGTTATAGTTCATTGATCGGGGCCTTTAATTAGAAACGATCTATCGAAGCGCTAAGTAAAGCAAACGATGACAATAACAAGAAACCTCGCTATGTAACTCTCTAGTCCACAAAACAATTTTTTTTTTTCAATAAATTCCACAATCCATGTAAACATTCTCTCTTTAAGTCTGCTCGTACCTTTTTTTTTCTTTCTTTTAATTATTATTCCTTCTTTTTTCTCTATCCATTCTCTTTGGAAAATAAAATCCCCTTCCACTCATTTTTATTACACTGGACAATAGACACAGGTTTATCGCCAATTCATTTAAACTATAAATCATGTTTTTGACTAGATCAAAAACAAGCTCGGCTTTGAACCACGAAAAATATAGGAATAAAGACAACGGCTTAACCGCCATTCCTAGCGACATGATCTCGGTTTTGCAAGACGCCATGCCTGCCATGACGTTGGCTCTCCAACCGGTATTGTCCCAACCTGCTCATGAACTTGTGGTCAACATGCTTTCTACTTGGATAACCACCTCACGAATTACGTTGCATGATGAAAAAAAGCCTGCCAAACCCGTCACTTTGCGTTCCTGGGCCTCTCGCTCATTTTCGGTCAACAGGTCAAAATCCGCTGTGGTGCCACAGAAATTCGAAATTTCCGACCCTCCCAAATTATGCCGCACACCCTCTTTTACGGACTCTGAATCTTCATGTAGCACCTCTTCATTTTCTTCACATCATGCTTCGCCTTCTATGTATGCTCCATTGCTACTCGATTCAACCTCCCACACATCGCATCTACTTCAACCACCGCCAACACAGAATACTGTGGCAACAGCAACCATAGCAATAGGTACGGCAGGAAAGCACGTGAGTAGATTGCCTGTATCGTTAAAGAGTAGAATTGATTTGTTGGATACATCGGGAGACACAAAATCACTGTTATTTATTGAAGAGACCTTGACACCTTTATCTTCCACCTTTTTTCATGATAATGAGCATATATATCCACCACAAGCCGGAGCAGAGACTGATACACCTGCTTCCGTAGTTGCGCCCAGTTTTACCACTGCATCTGAGGACAATGACGATAGCATAAGTACGGGTATATCTAAAGATTCGAAATCGGTACGACGTAGCTTTTCTACCATGTTTACTCAGCTTGGGCATTCTGTAAAGAAAGTCTTTAAGAAAAAGGCATCTGTGTCCGATTCAAGACTAAAAAAGACCATGTCTGTACAACATAATCTTCGACAGCATGCGTCTTCTCCTTTGAACTCGGTAAGCAGAAAAAACCTGATTTTTTAAATAACAAAATTATTAACTTATGTTTTTATAGATGACCAAGAAACAAATGTATTCTTCATTACGTGCCCCTGTTAAAGCACCCAATGAACGACCCAAAGTCTTTTTAGAGTCATTTGCTACGTATATACCTACGGAACCTATCACGGATGCGTCTCAGGTTCAAGTGTACAATGGTAGTTGCCCTTCCTCTGTCAGCAGCCTGCATTCACATAGGTCACCACCCATGATACAACCACAACAGAACTACTGGGATGGTGAAGCAACGCAATCGCAACAATTTGATCAGCTCTTGGATGATATCTGGGAGCGATCTCAAGAATACCAAGATTATTTTGCTGCGGAAGAACAAAATCTTAGTAACAGCTCGTTTAGTACAAATTTTAATAATCATTTTAAGAATAATGCGGTTTGGTCCCCTAATCAAGATAATAATATTACAGTAAGACCTAGTAAGACAGAAGGTAATATGAACAAGTTTGATGAGGGCGTACCGTTTGTAAGCGTAGGTCAAAGTACGAGTCAAGATAGCAAGCGAAAGTCGCAACTGGCGAAGGGCAATCTTAATATTGAAGACGTCAAGGCCTATAAACGATCCACGTCTGCTTACTCAAATATTAGAGATTATGACTTGAATTGGCAAGCGTCGTTTCATGTGGAGCAAAAAAGTCGAGATAAAGTGGCCAAAACACTCAAGAGGTAGATCATACAATGAACATTTCTTACTTTATGTGTTCTTAACCCTTTCTCCCATTTCTTTTATCAACATAGTGTTTCTTGGGCATTCTACAATATCATCAAACGAAATCATAATCTAAATGAATTTGCCTGTGATGCTATATTTAGCGAGAATGAATACCAAGTATCGGATGGGTCTAATTATAATCTATGTTCTGAGCCTTTGACGGACTGGAACGATATTTACGATCAATTGGCGTATGTATTTGATTGCGGTGAGGTAATGTATTCTTTTTCAAAAGGTAATGTGTCATGATGTTAACTTTAATATTGTATAGCTTACGGCTGAACATGCCATTATTACTCTCATTTACGTAAAGCGTATGCTCGATTTATCAAGACAAAGTCTATGGGATTTCAGTTGGCGTATGATTGTCATGTCTTCGCTATTAACAGCCGTCAAAGTGTGGGATGATTGTGCTATCTTTAATGCGGATTTTGCAATGATTTTTCCTGAGCTAACTCTTGATGTTATGTAAGTTTGTGATAGTTTTTGTAAATCTTGTAGGTTTTTAATCAACACTTTGTATAGCAATACAATTGAAAGAGTGTTTCTGACACACTTGGAATGGGACGTATCTGTAAACTGTTCAGACTTCGCACGTACTTACTTTCATTTGCGTGATATTGAACATATGATGGATCAATGGTGATTTTTTATACCCTTTTTCTTTTTTTTTTCTTTTTTTTTAAAGATTGTCTCGCACCAGAGAAAATTAATAAAGTTTGGCATAAAATAATAATTTCTCTGGATTGTTGGTGTATAAAAATACAAGCTTTTTTTATAGCAAAAGAAAGAAGGGGATATTATTAAGTACAAAAAATGAAGGTGAGTGGAGAAAGAATAAACAACAGGATTGGAAAAGAGAGAGGAATATATAGAACAAAGAGTATTACTTGCGGTTCTTTTGTCTTGATGCTTTATCGTCTTCCAACACTCTCTTGATCATTTCATCAATCTCTGTGACTTTAATAATGGCAATTTGAGAACATCTCAAAACTTGATCCATTTCTAAGGGAATCCCACCAGCCTTTGTTAAGGCACAAATCTCTTTATGACTGTTCATGGTGATGGTCATATCACCTTCCTTGGATTGACCTTCCAAATAATTAGGGTCAACCACCAATAACTCGCTATAAATGTTTACATGTCAGTTCCGACTATTCATATCATTCGTCTCCCTTTTCTTTTCCTTACCCATTGTCGAAAAATGCAAATGTAATACAGATGGGAATATGATGAACACTGAGAGGTACGGGGTTTCTTTGATCGATGGGGTGCTTTTAAACAAAAAAATTAATAATTCATGCAAACTGTCGTATTGTTTCATACTTACAATTGTCACTTCTTCACCAGATACAGTGACATCAGGACGTCTGAAATGTAACAATGCAGTGATGGCAGCGATGGATGCACAATCAATGAGATTGCCATCGTGATCAAGGAAAAGAAGATCAACGCGAATCTGCCACACTTTTTCTCCTGCAACGATACAAAGACCTTCTGTATCAATTGCTCTACTTCTACGCAAGGCTTTTTCGATGGTACGGCTGATCATTACTTCCTCTTCTGAACGACTATCATGATAATATGAGTATGTGTCAATATCCATAAAACAGAAAAACTTACGCCCCGGGTTCAAAAGTAGCTGCAGCCATGGGAGAAATTTCCGTGTTAAAAAGCAAGATACCTTCAGTGGGTTTATCGGCGTGAGGTCTGACAACTTCAGCAGAGACGTTGGCGGCGACTCGTGTTCTGCCAAGTTGAACTTCGACATAACCATAATCGGCACCCAAAGTAATTTCCACAGAACGCATGTCGTATACTTCACGTCCATCGACACGTCTTCCTTGCTTTAAAGCTTCCAAAAGAAACGCAACTTCATTGACACTGGGTTCTAACTCTCTCACCATTTTACTTGTAAAAGAATAAATGTATAAAAAAAAGAATTTTCTCTCTCTGTCTGTACCCTTTAGGGTTTATCTTTTTTTAAAAAAAGAAAGTCACTTCTAAATGGTCACACGCACGCTGAAAGGGTAAAGAAGAAGAAAAAAAAAGGTGGTTACTTCGCCCCTTTATCTCAACATGTCAAACAATTTCGACTTATTAAATGTTTCTGGAAACAAGAAGAAGCTTGGTATAGTATTTGAGAATGGCATATTAATCTCGAAATGAGACACTAATCATTGAACTGATCTATAGAAGATCTAATTAATCCCAGTGCAGCTCCCGATCAAAAGAGCATTAACGATATACCTGCTATGCTTGCTGCTGCTAGTGTAGATAGAAAGACATTTGCCGTAGGACCACCTAGCGACAGTAAGTATAATGTGCCTGCAAAGTATAAGCTAATCCTCGCTCACAAATGTCCATAGTTTTGTCTCGCGTACAAGCATTCTTACCCCAATTAAAAAGTGCGAATGAACAATTAAAAGCTGCCGATCCCAAATCACTGGACATTGAGAATGTGGAAGAAGACGATGGACAATATATTGAAATGGTAAGACTATAATCCGATATAGAGTTGGCCTGAATAATTAAATGCTGACTGTGTGTTTATAGAATTTGGGTTTAGGTGTCTACGAAGAAAAGAGACCCGGCCAATCAGATAGTGAAGATGAAGATAGCGACGATAATGATGATGAAAAGTTGGTTTTACCCAACTCTGTAGATAAATCCAACAAGCCTTTTATTGAAGAAGTTAAGAAATAAACCATTTTTTTTTTTTTTTTTTTTTTTTTGCATGACCTGGAGTTTAAAAAAAAGAGACTGTCCAAAAATGACATGGAAGCGACCAGGCCGTGGGAAAAGCTATTTTTTGTTTACCTATAAAAAATGTTTAGAAGAATAAAACCTCTCTTTTCTCTAGTTCAACTTCAAAGAAAAATGGCTATCTCTACACTTTCATCCCAACAACGTGAACAACTTTTAAAGCCCTTGATTTCTAGCGGTTGGGAAATGGTTAATGATAGAGACGCCGTGATTAAAAAGTATCAGTTTAAAGATTTTAACGAGGCCTTTGGTTTTATGACACGTATTGCCTTAAAAGCTGATAAAATTGATCATCATCCCGAATGGTTCAATGTATGTGTTTGCCTTTTTTTTTTTTTTTTTGAAGGAAATGTGTATTCATCAATTGTTGTCTTGTAGGTTTACAATAGAGTCGAAATCACCTTGTCTACTCATGAATGTCAAGGCTTATCTACAAGAGATATCGAACTTGCAACCTTTTGTGATGATGTTGCCAAATAATCTCCAAACCTAATAAACATATATTATTCTCATTTTGATTTATTATACGTGTGATTATCATCATTGTGACATGCACACTTACGTGCTAAAGGCAACACAGTAAAGAGTTGGACTGTGAAAAGCGTGAATTAGCGCGTACCACAAAAAAAGGGGTTGGGGCGTTTTTTTTTTTTAAAAAATTCATTATTTCGTTTCTCTTTATTCTGAACAATGTACAGGCAAGTGTTGTTACCTGAACACTTAAAGAGACGCTGAAAATAACACCTAGATACAATTAGCTCTAGCCAAGACCATATGCCTCGGACGCCCACACGAAATCGTACGCCACAACGTACACCGCAGCGTACACCTCAACGTACTCCTAATCGAATCGCAAATACATCAAGACCAGTATTTAAATCCATGACAAGGCCACTTGATTTCTCCGCGCTTTCACGACCAAATACTGAACCATCGTCGTCGTCCAGGGGACATAATAGTTTCTTTGCCTACAACCCTGAGAAGGAACCGATCAAGGTAACAATATGAAACTAGATTTATACCTGAACAAGGATACTAATCAACATGAGTAGGCTTATTTACGTATTCGACCCCATTCTGCTCATTACGAACTGGATTCTACTGAGCCCTACCTTGCCATCGTAGACGATTTGGAAGTTTCCATGACACCACCTGAAGTAAAACAAAGAAAAGCATGAAATAGGAGAGTTATTAATTACTAGTTTTCTTTACACGGCAGGATTCCAACGCATACCGTACAAGAAATCGAGCACCAGAAAGATACAAGTTTTCAAAAATCTTTACAGACGCAGTATCACAACAAGATTTCTTTAACAAGACAACATTACCATTGATCCATGATGTGCTTAAAGGAGAAAATGCATTAATCTTTGCCTATGGTGTCACCAACTCTGGAAAAACATTTTCCATCATGGGCACCAAAAAGAATCCGGGATTATTACCACGTACATTGGATGTCATCTTTAATAGCATTGATGAGAATAAGAGCGAGACAAAGGTTGATGGGATACTTCTTATTTTAAGCGATTGGATCACTTACTTTTGATATATAGGTAAAACCATGTATGCATAGTTTGGTACACACCTACGTAGATGAAAAGGACGAGAACAGGCATATTTTGAGTGATATTGGTGGATCATGTTACAATGGAGGACCATACAATCCAGATGTATGGGAATCATTTCAGATGCCTACGAACAGAGATAACACAGCCATTGCCATTGATGAAAACTACGAGTATGGTGTCTGGGTGTCGTTTGCGGAAATTTATACGGAGAAAATCTACGATCTTTTGATTAAACCGGATCGACTCTCTAAACGTAAAGCCCTCGCATTAAAATACGAGTATAGCAGTGGGCACAAGTATATTTCTGGCCTGAACGAAGTTAGAGTGAAGACCATTCAAGTATGAACATGTAATTTGTATGATGAATAGTGTATCAATTTTTTATTTTTAAACAATAGGAAGCGTATGCTATTCTGTTCGAAGGACAAAAGAATCGTGCGGAATATTCTACCATCACCAATCACACTAGTAGTAGAAGTCATAGTATCTTCACCATCAAAATCGTACGTGTTCCCATTGATGAGGACAATTACATTATCGAGGTAGTTTAAGCAAAAGGCACTTTTATATATTATATCGCTAAACGTTATAATGAAAGGATCCTATCTATGCAACCGTGTCTAAATTTTCTATTGTCGATTTGGCTGGATCTGAGCGATATAGAAATACACTGAATTCCGGTAAATATAGGGTCACATTTCAATGAGATTACGCTGTGACTAACTCCATCTTTTTAGGCCAACGTCTCAAAGAAGCAGGTAATATCAATAAATCACTCATGGTATTAGGACAATGCATGGAAACCCTTCGATTCAACCAACTCAAGTCTGCTGCTGGAAAGGTAATGACGCATCTCATCATCATCATATCTTTTTGTACATGAAACTAGAAACCTTTTTTACATTGCATTATTAGAGAAATGCCATGGTTCCTTACCGTCATAGTAAGTTGACAGAATTGTTTAAAAGCTCATTTGAAGGGGATGGCAAAGCCGTCATGGTAGTCAACGTCAATCCTTTTGATACGGGATTTGACGAAAACAGTCATGTCATGAAATTTGCTGCTGTAGCCAAGGATGTGGCGACGTGGCGTAGAGTGCATCCCAAGGTAGAAGTCAAGGATATTCCGAAATTTGCAAATAAACGGCCTCGTTACGTCAAGAAGCTAGATAAAAAAGTGTATCATGGTATACAAGAATTAATGGCAGAGGATGATGATGAGGAAGAACAAAAAGAAGAAGAAGAAGAGGAGGAAGAGGATGAAGAGAATGAAGATCCTTTTGTGGATAATTTGATTGCCCAAATCGATGATTTGCGTAACAAGGTAATAGGGTCTTTATTAGTGCAGGAAGAGAGACTGATATCATTTTGATATTAGTGGATTGACTCAGAAACCTCTAAAGCGGTGATGGAATCCGAGCTTCGAGCAAGTTTTACAGCAGAGGCAGAGGCTACTTTAAATAAAATGGAGGATAGACATATGGCTTCATTGAAACAATGGGTAAACATATATCAACAACACACAAACACGCATCACACACAAAATTAAAGGAATTGTTAGAACAATGAACTAGAAACACAAATAGCACAAACAGGAGAAAATGAAAATGAAGGTAAGGAAAAGGGGTATAATCAATATGTAATTGCACATCATTCACACTTCTTCTATAGCCTTAGCGAAGGTAAGCAATATGACTTTATGATTTCATGTATGATTTTGTTTACACACTTCTATAGATGCAGGAAAAGCAGAAAATTTTATCATCTGAACTTGAGACGATGTGTCAGCGTTTGAATGACTATGAAACCACAAAGCACGCTTTACTTCAAAAGGTTATTTTTATTTATTTTTTAGTGCACATACACAATGGAACGACTAAAAAAAAAAAAAATTAGAATGCCGAGTTAGAAAAGGATAAACAAAGGCAACAAGAAAGAATTCAACAACTTTCGTGGACCCTTAAGGAACGTGATGTAACAATTGAGCGATACAAAAACACAACAGCAGATAGTGAGCCTTCTAGTAGTGACATGGAAAACCTATTTATTCAAAAACCTAATGTGGCCACCAAAACGAATCCAAAGGCTGAGTTATTTGAAAGGTTTTTAGAATTAAGAAAAAAATTGAGACGAAGTATATTCCGTGATGATGAGGTAAGCATGCGCTTTTTTATATAGAAATCGGTATTAAAAAAAACAAAGTATTCTCATGATGCCGAAGTGATTATGAGTGAAATTGAACAGTTTAAAGGTGTTACTTTTGACCTTGTCAAGGTAAAACGATAAAGATGTATAGATGTTTGAGAGTTTTTAATCTTTTTAAAAAAAGGAAACGAATATGGGTAAACTGATGAAATTGATTGCTCAAAGAAAGTTCAAAAATGATCCATACCATATTCAACATCGATCCAAGACTCTGTTTAAAAACTATGCCAAACTATCTTTACCCGTTTTGGCACCGCCTAAACATGGTCGAAATTCCATGATTGTTTTGAGTGTACCCTCAGGTGCGGAAGAAGATTTAATCGCAGAAATGCGCACGGCCATGTCAACTTTACAAGAAGAGAATCATAAACTTAAACAAAGAGTCAAGGTAGGGAAGAAGGGAGAGGGAAGGGGCACATGTACGGTTCATTAAAAAAAATGTATATATTTAGCATATGCATGATGGTCATCGAAGATTGCAAGAGGCCTTTGAGAAGAATAAAGTGCTTGAAGAAAAAAGTGTATCATCCTCGGCTATAACTTCGGTTCAAGAGGTAAGATTTTACTATTCTACCGTCTATTCTTTTATACTAAATCATCTATTCCAGGGCGAAAATGATTTGGAGATGGAGGATATGTTTAGTCCCATTTTAGGTGCCACAAGCATCTTTGAATCTGTTAAAGAAGACCAACTTAGCATTATGGATGAAGACGAACACTTGTTTTCACCGGAAAATAGTAATAATAAAAAAAGAAGGTAATCAACTGCAACTACCAATACTATATAAAGGGGGTAAACTAACGGAATACAAGTAGAAAATCAAAAGAGTTGTAATTACGTCAGTTATGTCTTTCTGCAAAAACAAGAGACTCCGCCTGAATTTTCCCAAATAAAAAAAGGGTTTCTGTTATTTTTTTATTTTTGCTTTTTAACCTTTTTTATTTTATTTTTCTAATAACCTAAAGTATGCTTTCAAATAACAAGAACGATTACATGTTACTACAAGATCATCATCTGATGAAAGATGATACTATGTCAATGACATCCACGCTGGTCTCTACTTCGGATCATCGTAATAGCAAATCCTTTTCGGCCAAACACAATTACGAGCGTTCTTCCTCGATTAATTCGTTGTGTCGCAGAATCAGTAATAGCATCAAGAGAAACTATGATGGTATTCAGAGCAGGAGAGAGACTAGAAGAGAAAAGAGACCTCAAGATGGTAAAACCAATCCTATGGAATAAAATCTATTTTCATTCTCCTCCTTAAGGGCTTCAAATCATGTAAATAAGACGTTGTAATTAAATAAATGAATAAAACATTATCATATAAACTCTTTCTCTCGCGTGTCAATTCCACAAATGCCATTTATCTTTTTTGTGTGACTTTGTTAAACCAGCAGATCAAATGCAATTGTGTACTCCACATACCAAACAAATTGTACCCCCTCTCCCATGTGTGTATACAAAGAGTCCTACACCGGATGTATGTGCCATTCTACGTTTATCGTTTCAGAAACCACAAGCATTAATTAAATAATTTACGAGAACAAGAAACGTTCCTTTTAAACTCAACGCTTTAATTATCAACTGCTTCCCCAGATACTAGGGGACGATAATTGCCTCCTCCACGAGGATTTATCATTAAAAGATGTATTACACGGAACCTATACATACAAGAAGTAGTACCATTTTGTAATCAGTATTAACAATGAGCACTCTATCTAATCCCAGATGATTGAAAGAGAGAGAAAAAAACTAGCAGCACTTGATGTAGATGCGATAAACAGATGACTGGCATGATGTTGTACACAGATGACCTTGGTTATGACCACAGCTATCTATCAAAATAAAAAGGATCATTGAGGATTGTATACAGATAGTACATATGCAATGTCATGTCATTAAAGTAACGTCGACAATGGAGATGGTTAACAATGCGCACGATATAAGCTTTTTTTGAGTGGCAAAGCACATTCCTTACACCCCCTTGTTCCCCATTATGGCTTAGAGAACCCCCGAGGAGGTCCTCATTGTATATTTTTACCTCTTTTATACATGGTGTTGAATTTTTCATCCTGATCTGGTGGGCAGAGCATGTGCATGTCTTTTGTTAGTTTAATATTTATGTTCAACATAGATGCACACTTGTTCTTTAAAATGTCAATATAAAAAAAGAGAGAGAGACGGATATGTAGTACTCAGTCACAAGAGGATGACTCTAACCCTATCGTATCTCCCATAGTTAACATTAATGAAAAATCACTACTCGAACAAAAACGACTCGTGAACACACAGAATTGAAACGCAATTTTTTTTTTTATTATTATTTACAATTGACTTGATGGTATATGCGTACAGATAAAAATAAGTTATTTGTTGTTGCCACCGCCGAGAGCACCAAGGGTTCCTTGAAGTACACCACCGACAGTATTGACAGTTCCACCTAAAAGACCACCCAAATTGGCAGTCGTTTCTTCAATGAGTCCTGTATTTTGTTGAGCTTGACCTCTAGACTCGAGTGAGTCGCTGCCAAAGGTTTGTCCGACATTTTGCTTGGTTTGACCAACATATTGGTCCTTCTTGGCTTCGTTGGTAGTGGGGAATGACATCTTTTGTTGTTTTATATAAATTGATTTAATTATAGAATTATTGCTTTTGGAACGCTACCGTCGTCCTTTTTATACCATTTTATAAAAAAAAAATACTTTACGTCATGTTTTCGTGGAATCATGCCGTCATGGTAATTTCAGGTTCAGTCTAATACGCTAATTTTATTAAATAGACTATACGTGAATATTACGTTTAAACACGACCTAGTAGTAACCGTTTATGATTTAGTATTCTAGCTTCGTGTATTAACTTTGATAATTTAGCGTTGCATTGTTACCCAAATATACTCTGATAGATCTAGATCGCCAAAACTCAAGTGATTTATTTGTTACGATTTTTTGTTTTGTCCAATTCGCATGTATTATTCGACCATTCTTATAATTGTTAAACTCTGTAACTGGTCATATACCTTTTCCAGTTTATATTATACATCATGGATTATACTAACCATAAATCTGCTCTTGAATACATATTACTCACAAAAATGTTAAATTTAGCAAATTGGTTTATGTTATCAATATACTAATTTATGAGCAGCTGACCATTGTCTAAGCTGGTGGAAGGCTGTAACAAAGACGGATTAATCCAAAGATTTAAAGAGGTGGATACCAATGTCATATGTCTTATATATTTGCGTAACACAGCGAACGACAGTGATTTTATTAGGCAGAGAAGAGACTCTAAAGATCGACTCATAAAAGGTTTACAAGGGTAAAGAATAATCCAAAGACATTCGCTTTTTATCTGGAATACATTATCCAGCTGAAAGCACAAGTGGTAACAATTATACTCTGTAGTGAATTATCGCTGCATGCTGGATGGCAAACTATTACTTTACGGGCCGATAATTCAGTCATCTAAATCTGGAGCAGTTCCGAATCTCGCAAAAAGGCTGTCAGTATGTATATGGGATGTTGATTCTTCTCTGTCTTCTGCCAGCTATATGTCTGCTTCCGCTACTGGTTCCATATCGACTACTGTGACTAAGAGTACATATTCAGGTAAATTACAGGTCAAACTGATATTTTTGAAGCATCAAAGTGTTATCCTTCGTTCATAAACAGTAGTTGAAATAAACAAAAGACAGTAAATATAATAAAGTGACTTAATATAAAATCCATTGCAAACGGGACTTCCTGCTCTTTTTAGTCATAACAAACGATGGTTTATTTATTTCATCAAGCCAATGCAGAAACGCAGACTGAATATTTGTTTAATAAAGATGAAACCATAATGGCATTTCAGCCTCTTTTATCCCTTTGGCAAAACAAACCTTAAGTTGATTTCATATTTTTTTTTTTATAAAGAGACTATGATATAGTACACAATGTATCTAAGTACTTTTAGTGTCTATTGTTAAGCACATAGAAAATCAAACTAGAAAAGACATGATAGCCTGTACTACTTTATTTGAATAGAAGCATAGCAGTTTTTTATGACAAAAAAATTACGGTTATAAATATCAAGGATAGATGATTCGGGAAAAATATGGAACGCATTAGATGAGTTGATATGATGTAATCATTGTAATAAACATGTCGTGAAGTTATTACCTCCTTGCAGAGTATACAAATATTAGTCAGAGGGATCAACAAAATAACAACTACAGCCATTGACAAGAGCGAAATGTATTAATAACTTTGAGTCCCGGTCTATTAGACTACAGTCACTTTATTTTCTGCTCGCCATAAGGTGACCCACCTTAAGATTAGCCTTCCACGATTTTGAAAAAACCAAGTGGAATATTGTGTGATTCATATATATTATTGATTGATCAGCCATCATAATTTGATATGACAACATTTTTAGCGTTCTAATCAATGATAATCGATGAATTTTCCGCTAAAAATCATTAACCGATCTACAATTTCATCGTTCTAAAAGTAATAATTTTATTTGAGTAGACATTATGTCTATATGGATTTTGAGTTTAAGCTGCTCATGTTATAGAACCATTTTCTTAGATCTTTTGATGTGGCGAACATCTTTGAAGATGACTACTAGCAACAAAGGCTTCCTTTTGGCAGAAAAAGGCGGGTACTAGAACCAACCAAAATTTTGTCAAATAAACTGCGGTTAATAAAAAAGATATTGAGCCCAATGTCAATTATTTTGGTAAGCGTAAATGTGACAAAGTTCATGACATAAGAAGAAATAAAAAATAACCGTCGCTTCGGTTGTTAGATCCAGTGCCTTGAACGACGGCTTATCAGATCGTAACTTCAGGAACCCTTACATTAGTGTTGTCCTGACAACTTTCGCTTGATATAATCAAAGGATCTTTTCGATCTTTCTAAAGAAAATCCAGTGTATTGTTGATACATCATCGTATTTGAGATGATGCCCTTTAAAATATATCGTTTTACGAAGGAAATTACTCAATCCACGGATTCTTTTCTCGGGAACTGCCCCTAAATATAATAGGGCACATCTTCTCTTTTCACTTTTTAATCATTTCAACTCGTGGTGCTTACTTTCAAAGGGTTTTATTCAATCTCAACACGCATTATCTTACAACGTAGACTGATAGAATGGAATCAGTCATCTTTCTGCTCTCTTAACATGTTGACGATGCGGAGTTTTACATGAGTTCTGTTCCATACACAAAAAAAGTAGATAATTGGACTGAAGGCGATAGGTTATGCAATATCGGATAAGTCGGCTACAGATAGCATAGGGCCAGATTGAGTCATTATAAAAGCAACAGTGGTGGTTGGTGAAAAGAGAAAACTGGATTTTTACTAAAATTGGATGATAGATTAGTCGGAGAGCTAAATTTAGTGATGGCCAAACAATCACATTCTTAGGTCCTTTCTACATACACACGCCCCAACGTTTAAAAAAAAGGTCTCATCGGGTGTTACTTTATAACAGGTACCGAAAAGGTACATTTAAGCTTATCCGGAATCAAAATAAATAGTCAAATGATCATTTGTTAGAGAAAAATGACGTGTATGCGCATTAAAAAAAAATAAGATGAAGGGTTTGTATTTTGACAGATTTCTTCTTTTTCATTGTAATGGTTGTATGTCTTAAAAGAATAACAAGAAAAATAAAGTGCACGGTGAACTTTTAGTGCTGTGACACTCCGTTTGATATTTGTCACACGTTTTTTTGGAAAATGATAACATTATGCTTGATTAGGGAGAGAGATCACTCATCCTATGGAAGCTTTTGAAAAAAAAAAAAAAAGCCACCCCCAATCTAATGCCATCAGGATTTCTTGTGTATTCCGAGAATTATTTTTCTAATGGGACCGTGCACCGACTTTTTTTAATTTATATGTTTTTTTTATATTAATCAGTAAATAAACCCACCCATGACAAACGTCTTTTCTTATCAAACATCAATTCACTGAAACCATATGAAAGTAGACTTTATCCTTTGTTAGAAACTACTTTTGAAAAGAAATAGCTGCATTCTTTGTACGCTGATCCGGGACTCTTTTTTTCTGTAACACACTTACACAATGTCTTTATTTCCAGGTTCCGACCCAGCGACTAATAATAGCTTATCAGTGGGGGGTTAGCAATGTCAGCTTTTATTCTTCAATGTTGAGTGCCAACTTTTGGAAGATTTTCACATGCCAATGGAGTATAAAGAAACCGATATTTAATTCTCTCTCCCTCTCCCTCCCTCTCTTACTTTCTCTCTCTTTTTTCTTACGCATTCATGAGTTCATTTGTATCTTCAATTTTGCACAGTTCAGCCAATAAAATAGAATCTGTTTCTTTTGGATCCAAAAAGAATAAATCCAAACAGCAACAACAACAAGGCGATGTATTAGGCTCTCGATTGGCAATGCACGCTTCAACACCTACTCTTTCCAATAACACATATTATTATCATCATCCCCAACGAAGCCATAGTACAGAGTATGTACCCGCAGCACCTCCACCCTATGACACCCAGTTGAATTTACATCATAGTAGTCCCGTACCTTCACCGAGCACCTCATGGACATCAGAGATGAGTGCTTTTGCCGAGAAAATTAAAGACGATGTAGCCAGCTCCTTCAAAAGTACGAGTAGCAACAAAAAGTCTACTTCTTCCTCGGCTATTGACAGACATAGCATATCGCAAGGAATGAAGCTTGTATCCATAGCGGCGGATGAATATGAACAGGGCAATGAATCCGTAGCCCTTGGTATTTATCTTACAGGCATTGATAAGATCTTGATGGCTTTACCAAGTAAGTAGTGCTTATCTTTTTGTTTTGTTTTTTTGTTTTCTATTTATATTAAAAAAACAAACCCCTTTGTTATAGATAAAACAGACATGAACACAAAAATGGCTATCCGAGAAAAACTTCTTGATGTGGAAGAAAGGGTTGGGATTATTAACCTTGCTACATCCCAAAAAAAGCAACAACAACAACAACAACAACAACAACAAAATAACCAGCCCGAAGATTATAGTGGTAGGAATATCATGACAAATACATTTCTGTTATCGCGGATTGCTTCCACTATCAGCACCATTAGCACCAAAGCTTATCAGTCCACATTGATCGAGACAAACAATGAGAACACACCAACTGTAGTTGTGACAAGTACGCCAAATGTCCCTATGGATACAGGCGATGCTATGACAAAGTTCAAACGATTCGGTCAATATGTCATTCAAACTACTGTGACATGTGCGGTCTTAATCAAGCGATCCCCACTTCCAGGTACGTAAATAAATAATTTTTGGGGTTTGATGTGAGACTGACTTTTTCTTTATTTAGACATTCTTTCGTTTCTTTTCGGGTACTTGTTCCAACTCATGATTTGGGTGGATTCTGAATATCACATCATGCAAAAGGCACAAGCAACGAGTATACAATGCCTCAAGTTTGGCCTGCAGGCAAATGAGCAGTATCGGTTACATGAGTTTATATCGGAAGGCCTTTACATGATCTTTGCAGCTGGCTTAAAGGCCACGGTTGCGTTTAATGAAACACCTGCATATGATGTTAAGCAACAACCCACTGCCGTAATGAGTGTAGCTCCCGAAAGAGTCGATCCTCCAAAGACATGCTTGCCGACTGTCTCTCAAAAGGCCAAGTCCTCTCCTTGGGTGTGGTCGCCATGGTAACACATTTCACTATTATCATTTTATTTCATCATAGACCCCTCTCCCCTCTTTTTTTTTTTACATACATTTATACACATATAATTCCTTTTGTACAGTTCATAATAAACCTATTTCTTCTTTTTTTTCAATAAAAAAAAAAAAAAAATTGAGAGAGACTATTTATTTAGGAAATAACACCATTTTTCAACATCGAGTCGATTAATTCAGCCAAGGGTTGTACTTCCTTTTTTTCTAATAAATCAAATTCGCGAGCAAACGAAATGAAATGAGCAAACAGTGAATTGAAATGAGGTTCTTCGTTAAGGGCCAACACTTTATCATAATGGTCATGATAGATGTGTGCAAATAACCTAAATAACTGACTAAACATTTTTTTTACCACAGAAGGTAATTCACGAGGGAAATCTGGGCCTGAATTGAATATATAAGTGTGTGTGTTCAAGTGGAAAAGTAACCGTGTATGCATTTCTTACCTGCTTTGGTGGGGAATATGGTTTCATCGTTCAAGATGTTTTGTATACTGGTGGTCATATAATCGATATACTGAGGTGCGGGGAGTTTGACTTTTTTTGATAATGAATCTGACCATGTATATTCCACGCTAAAAAGAAGCGTCAGAGGGGGGGTATTTTATGTGTGTATATATTTTATACCCTGGGCCGGCAGACATGGTTGGACATGTCTGAGACGTACAAAAATTGGTCATTGATCCGTAAAAGAGGTTAATGTGATTGAAGAATTCAAAAGCTGTACGATGTAAAAAGGTCTATTATTCCATCTCTCTTTTTTCTTTCTTAAATATACGCCTTACTGTTAAATGCCAACCATTCGTTTAGGTCCACATATTTTGGTAATTCGACAATGGTTTTAAAATTGCCTCTGACGAGCATATTGTTAACATGAGGATTAGACAAGTATAAAGGTTTAGAGGACATGCTAGATCCATGATGACTATGGGTTGTGTTTAAAGATGATGATGACGATCCTGCTGATTTGTGCTTGGAGGTTTTATTTCCTTTTTTACCGAAACTACATGTTTCTTATTAGTATATGGTACCATATTCTCTTCTATTTCCATATATACCTAAAGCCAAGGAAATTCATCATGTCAAATGTGGTTTAAACAGAAAAAAAAAAGAGAGTAGGTAGAAAGCAAAAATAAAAAACATGTATGGATTCGCTTGGGTTGTGACGTTTTTCTTTTTTGCACGTGCATGAATCTGCACCCTCTGGCACATATTCCCCCCGATTTTATAAGGGTCTTCTTTCCCCCGACTACTTTTGTTTTGCCACAAGATCGGTTTCAACAACTCCCTCTTTTAATTAATTTTTTAGGCGGGTTGTTCTGTCCACACTAAACATTGATCATCTTACGTTTTTAAATTGCCCATTGCTATTTGAGCTGTCATTCAATGCTTGAAAAATAAGACCCGGGCTCAAATAAACTAAATTTACTATTTAGGCAATTCACAGAAAACAGAAAAAAACACGTACTTATTTCAATTTTTCAGTCTGGTACTTGATACTTGGTGAAAAAGAAGAAGGGATGAAAGGATAGAAATATCAACAGCAGGAGTTATAAGGTTAATTGTGTCCAAGACCGTGCTTAGAGGAGGCTAGACCTTTTTTGAGAAATGTGTGTTTCATTAGATGTGATTGAATTTGTCTATGTACCTTTCAATAGAAATAAAAATGTCCAGAGTAGTGAGCATATCATTCATAACTAAAAACACGGATAAAACTAAAGAAAGCTTTTGACTTGCAGCATATAAATAGACCTCTCTTAAAAAGACCTTCTTCACATTTTTATACTTCTCTCTCGCTCACTTTCTCTTATTCTTTGTGTTTAGGTCTGCAGGTGTATGTATATAATGTTACATCTATTGATTGTGTTTGTGATATGTTTTATGTACTCGCAAGCAGCAGTGATCCAAAAACGTTCATCCACCTACGAAGGTGTCGCTACGTACTATCTAGTTAACAAATCAGGTCGTCCTTCGTGTGGCGGAAGATACGATTCAAATGCCATGGTGGTTGCACTCTCTCATAAACGTATGCAAGGTCGAAATAACCCATGCGGTGAAACTATTAAGGTGTACGGTGACTATGGTTCTGTCACGGTCCAGGTCGTTGATACCTGTGCCGGTTGCGATAAAGATGATATTGACCTTTCGCCCAAGGCATTTGCAAAAATTGGTCAAATGAATGAAGGTGAACTCGAAATTGAATGGTCCTTCAAATAGTCTCCCTTCATACCCCCTTCAAATTAAATAAATTAAATATCTTTCTGCGCCACAATCGTTGCTAATTTACGAGGAGTGGCGTACCGCAGCATCTGGCGGGATTTAGAAATAAATTGGGCTTATAAAATTATCATTTTATTAGTGTGGGTATTTGTTTTAACAGGGTTAAAAAATGTGGGTTTGTGTGTGTGTGTGTGTGTTTATAGGCATAAGATGGGAAGATTAAACGCTAAAATAGATCATAAAGCATAAATATTTTTTTTCTTACTTCTTCTTTCCGTGAACGCGTTCAATTAAATGAGCCACAACGGAAGGATCAGCCAAAGTGGAAATATCACCTAAAGAATCTTGTTCACCATTAACAATCTTTCGGAGAATACGACGCATAATCTTGCCAGATCGTGTCTTGGGAAGATCATTGACAACATAGATACGCTTGGGTGTAGCAAAAGGTCCAATCACTTTACGAACTTGCATGGACAATTCTTTATCAAGACCCTCAGAATCTTCCAAGTTGGGCTTTAAGCAGGCAAAAGCATGGATACATTGACCTGTTAAATCATCTTGGCCTCCAACAACTGCTGCTTCTGCAACGGAGTGATGAAGAATCAAGGCAGATTCAATTTCGGCAGTGGAGAGACGATGACCGGATACATTGATCACATCTAAAGAGAAATGAGCTTGTTAATAAAGTTGTATAAAATATTAAACCAAGAAATCTTACCATCGACTCGTCCACGAATAAAGATGTAACCATCCTTATCTCTGGTAGCACCGTCACCTATAAAGTAATTAAAAGGTTAAATATACATTGCGTCTAGCCCTTTTTTTTGCGTTTTCAGTCTTACCAGTGAAGTAGTGATTCTTGTAGGGGTTTAAGTAGGTATCGAGATAACGGTGATGATTATTATAAACTGAACGAGCCATAGAAGGCCATGGCTGACTGATAGCCAAGACACCTGTAACATCATTTCCTAGCAATTCGACACCACTAAAAAAAGTAAAAAAAAAAAAAAAAAAAATTAGTACATTGCTTTGTTTTAACGCAGGAGAGACTTACGTTGTGGGATCAAGAATGACGGGTTTAATACCAAAGAAGGGGAAAGTGGCAGATCCAGGCTTAGTAGCAGTAGCACCAGGTAAAGGAGTAACAATGATAGAACCAGTCTCTGTTTGCCAATAGGTATCGACTACAGCACATTGACCTTTACCAACCTTTGCATTGTACCATTCCCATGCTTCAGGGTTAATAGGTTCACCGACAGAACCAATCACACGAAGACTGGAAAGATCGCACTTGTCGACCCATTTGTCACCCAAACGACGAAGTGCACGAATAGCAGTAGGTGCTGTGTAGAATTGTGTGACCTTGTGTTTGGCAACTAAGTCCCAGAAACGGCTAGGGTCAGGATAGGTGGGCGTTGATTCGAAAAGAACGGTGGTTGCACCAAGTGCAAGAGGACCATAAACAATGTAGGTGTGACCTGTGATCCTATATGTACAAAATATGAATGGTGAGACACATAATATAAACACAAATAAACATTCCATACCATCCAACATCAGCCATACAAGCATGAATATCACCCTCATGATAATCAAAGACATATTTAACGGTTGCAGCAGCACCTAAAAGATAACCACCGGTAGTATGCACGACACCCTTAGGAGTACCTGTAGAACCAGAGGTATAAAGCAAAAAGAGAGGATCTTCCGCATTGACGTTGGTAGGAGGGCAATAAGGGCGAGCCTTAGCCATCTCGTCATGCCACCAAAGATCACGACCGGCAGTGAAAGGAACATCAGAGCCTGTACGACGTAAGACCAAGACATGTTCAACAGTGGGTGTGCCCTTTAAAGCTTCATCGACAATACGCTTGGTAGCGATATTCTTACCACCACGTCTACCTTCATCAGCAGTCAAGACAACACGAGCGCCGGCATCGTTAATACGGTCACGAAGAGAATCTGAGGAGAAACCAGCAAATACGACAGAGTGAACTGCGCCCACACGAGCGCATGCCAACATGGCATACACAGCCTCAGGCACCATTGGCATGTAAATGGCGATATTATCACCTTTACGTACATCCATAGATTTCAAAACATTGGCAAGACGTGATACTTCTTGTAATAACTCGCGATAGGTAATATTACGGACATTTTCAGGCTCATCACCTTCATGAATAATGGCAATCTTTGTTTTTTATATATATTGTTAATGCAAACAATTTATAAAGCCCCCCTTAAATTTTTGTTTGTTACCTTGTCTGGCGTAGCTAAAGCATGACGATCTACACAATTGACTGCAACGTTAAGCTCACCCTCTAAAAACCAAGCAACGTCGCCTTCAGCAAAACTACCGTTTTGGACGGTTTGGAAAGGCTTTGACCATTGTAATAATTCACGAGCCATCTATTGATAGAGAAGTAAGTATTTAGGGATGATAGTATATAATAGATTAAAATAAGACTTACGTCTCCAAAAAACTTGTTGGGATCATTAACACTTTCTTCCCACATTTTCTTGTATTGAGCCATACTGTTGACAAAAGGAGTAGGGACACCTTTACCCAATAATCTGGGAGGAACTGGGTAAATTTTTTCAGCGGGAGCAGCTACTACAGTCATGTTTTTTTAATAATATAAAAAAAAAATTAATAAAGAAGAAGAAAAGCAAAGTGAATCTGGTTTTATAGTTTTTTAAAAAAAAGATGGGGAAATATGGATTAAGCAATTCATGTGACCCTAATTGACTTTGGAGAGATGACATAAGCCATGTAAAGAAAAAGAAAAATCACACACACACCTTTGTGTAATGTTGATTTTTCCCCAGATTTTTTATGAGAGGAAGAACTTTCCAGTTATTCTTAATGGGATATGAATTTGAAAATAAAAATATTCACATCAATAAATAAAAATGTATATGTAAATGACCATAAATGGCTTTAAATACGTGGGTAACACACATCATCAGATGATTTCCCCATATTTTCGCGGATGAATATATAAATTTGTATATTCAAGCGAAATTCAATCGTATTTATTTGTACCGATTTGAACAATTGATTGACATGTCGAGATATTATGAATATTGCTTTTAATGCTTTCGTCAGGTCATGTATATAGTTATATTTCTTTTTCTTATTGCACACCGTTATCGCGCAAATATAGAAATATTCACACGGACAGTGCAAATTTCTCATTGCCCGTATAATGTAATAATAAAACCGACTTTTTCCCTTACCCCACAAACTCGGATCAAAAAAAAAAAAAAGCTTGATGGAGCGTGGGGAATCAAACTCTAACCCAGTTACACCATACATTGTAAGCAAGGAAGTATATATTAATCACCTTATTTTTTTTTTTTGCTTTCTTTTTATAAAGATATCAATGGGTCATGTTTACAAATGACCACACATTCCATCATTTGAGAAAAGCTGGTTCCATTACAATATGAGAATAATATGGATTTAATAAAAAAAAAGAAGAAAATGAGTATATATATATATTTTTTTTTTTTTTTTTTTTTTTTTTTTTGTGTGTGTGATTGAGTGTGATTTGTTTTTGGCTTTAATTTGGTCCTAAAGGTTCATAGCTCCAAATACGAGCACGATTATCACCGGATCCAGTAGCGAACATGGGTTTATGTCCTGGGCTAGTTGCGACAGAAATAACTATAATTGTACAAAGAGTAAACAAAAAAATGTTTGTGTTGCCTCAAATCCTATTTGATTTTCCTTACCTGAATTCTTATGACCTTGGAGCATAAATTGTGTTTGTCCGGTACGAGGATCCCAGAATTGAACACCACGATCCTTTGAACCAGAAACAATCCAATTGCCATCAGGTGTAGTAGCAACAGATAAGACAAAGTCTTTATGACCAGTAAACACTTGAATACAAGCACTCTTACCACGTTCACCGCCGTAACCTCTTTCTCCTGTACCCAATTGCCACATACGCAGCGTTTTATCTAAACTACCGCTCACCAAGGTCTTACCATCTGGCATAAAAGCTACGGAATAAACGCTATCCTTATGACCTTCCAATCGTTCCAATAATTGTCCCGTTACAGCATCCCAGACACGTACAATCTTATCCAAACTACCGGCTGCCACAAGACGACTATCAGGTGAAATGGCTACACTGGTGACGCCCAAGTCTTGTTGATCAACGTCATTAATACGAAGCTCATGTAGACAACGAATGTTTTGCCAATCCCAGATACGAGCAGTACGGTCCCCTGAGCCTGAAACGAGAATACGTCCATCGCGACTGAATTCTAAAGAATAAATGTCTTGCTCATGACCTGACAAAATACCTCGAATACGTTTCTTTCCAATGTCCCAAATCTAATGTCCGAATGGTTAATTTGTCTCTTTTACTTCATTTCTCTTTTTTTTCTTTCTTAAATACTTGCCCTGATTTGCTTATCTTCAGCACCTGTAGCCAAGTATTTACCATCAGGACTGAAGCTGACGGAACGGATATATAAATCACCATCACGTCCGGCATTTTCATCTTGCAGGATGCTATCAAAATAGAAATGGTATAAGAAACGTATATAATGTATCTGAAGACAGACTGAACTCACGCAACACGTGTAGCACTTAAGGTATCATAGATATAGGTAGCTTGGTTACAACCAGCAGCAAGGAAGCGTCCATCAGCACTAAACTTGACACAGCAAACAACACTGCCGTGGTCAAATGTATGAAGAAGATCTACCTTGAGATAACGAGTAGCCTTTGGGTTGAATCTAATCAATTGTTGTTAGTTTTTTTTAAATAACCAGTTGGTAGGAAAAAAGAGGTACTTACAATGCAAACCAATCTTGACCTTCTACCTTCATATTAGCTGGCACATTCTCTGGGTTGATATCTCCAAGGGCCTCTGAAGCGGATGCATTATTAATAAGAGGACCAGCCCCAGACTTGACAGGATTTACTCCTGTTCCTCTAGTAGAAGCAACTATGAAGGAAACAATTATTTAGATTGGTATGCTATAGTAAAAGTATGTGTAGACTTACGCTGTGAGGGTGGTGGAGCATTAGAAGGAAGAGGAGAGCCTCCATTCATGTAAGGTGTTCCAGCAGAAGGGTGAGGTGGTACTGGTACTGAAGAAACAGGGTGAGGTCCAGTTGGAGGTGGAGGTCCAGTTGGAGGATAAGAAGAATGATGTACTGGAGGTTTAGACTCCATTAAAGAAGGTGGTGGTGGTTGTTGATATCCAGTAGGTCCTATTATCAAGAAAAGATCAGCTCTCTCAATCTCTATCTATCTCTATCTCTCCTTATTTCTTATTACCACCGTATCCACCGCTACTAGCAGGAGGTTGAGGAGGTACGCCACCATGTTGAGGGTGAGCCTAATCTTTTAAAGTTAATCAATCTTTTTTTTTTTTCTGAATTCTTCAATTTTACCTGTTGGTCCAACTGTTGACGAAGTCTTGCAATTTCCTCTTCATATCTAAAAAAGGGAAAGCATTATTTAAAGAGAATACAACAACATCAGCCAGATTACATACTGTTTTTTGATTATTTGTTGAGTTCTTTCGAGATCAATCAAGTTTTGTTGAAACAAATTCATTTCTTGAATCTGGTTATTCACTATTTAAAAGAAGGGTACGCGTTTTTTCATCATTTAGCTTGGACGTATCTTCATCAGACAAAAACAAAAGAATGACTTACTTTTATGTTCGTATTCATCTCTTTGACTTTTACAAACAATGACTTCTTGAGCTAATTGATCATATTCACCTTTTACGGCATCTAATAATTCTATTAAACGACTTGGTGTGGGTGGACCCATAGGTCGATGATTATAAACAGACATTTCCTTTGATTTTTTAATCTTGGCTAATTTTTTTTCTGTAGTGTGTTTTGAAAAAAAAAAAAAATTGTGTTTATATAATTGTTGTGTTTAAACTCTCTCGCAAAGCAAAAAGGGAAATTACTATTTTTTTTTTTTTTTTTTTTTTTTGGCTCGTGCGACCCTTACCTGGAAGGGGGGTTGAGCAAGTCACACGGTAGAATAAGTAACCGGATCGTCAAAGGGGAGAGAACTTTACATCACCATGGACAAGCAGGATGCTTACATCAGTTGTAGTAATAAGTTACGCAGAGACATTTGTCCACATCACCATGGAATACATGTTCGCCGTTTAAAAAAATATCTATCAATTCAGAAAAAAGTGAGGCGCGTTTTTGTACCACGAGCACTAAATGGCATATCAAAAAAGCCAACGTAAAAGAAACAGGAGGGGCGGGGGTTACCATAGGGGATATAGCCTCAAAACATTTGTTATGAAATATGTGAATCATAGGGTCCACTGTTATGTTGTTTTCAAATACTAAAACTAGTAGAAAACCTAGAATAGTTTAAGGTTTGTTGCAGATTAATTCTCAAGTTTTCACCATCAATTAAGCCTAAAGCGTTTATTGTCTGTCTAGTGTTCCATCTTGTTTCCATCATTGTCATGGGAACACAATCTCTATTCATTATCTACCCCTTGTATCAATAAATTTGGACCTGTATTATTACCTTGGCTTGTCGTTGTTGACAAAAGGTTCTTATATATCATTGAAAACTATCAAGTGGCATTACTTGTCACTATGTATTTTCAGGAATAGTTATAAATATCCAAATAAATATCAGGGACTTGCTAGAATGTCAAATTTATCTATATTCATTTGCAATATGTTCAAAAAACAAGTGTGAGACCAATTAGCTGCACGGGCCAATTGTACGTGAACGACGTCCTTGGTTGTTTACCAGCTTATTGCGGCTGAACTTTACCTTGAATGGCTAACAACAATTAGGGAATATAACGATATAAAACCAGCAATGGTCGTATCAAGCTTTTGAATAACTATGCCGGTTCAAATAGTACCTTCTCCTTTTTAGCAACACTTCAAATTCTTTTATGAAAAAGAAATACTCCAGAGATCTAACGGGACACTGATAAAAATGGACGAGATAACCAGAAAGTGTGAAAAAACGGATATCAGCATGTCACCATAAGATCAAGAGTTTTCGAAAATAGATGGAAACCCTCTTTGTTGGTTCATAATGCCTGCAAGCTTCAGAACTAAAGCTTAAGTATTGACCACTCGTTGTAATGTTTATATTTTCAGCCCTTTAGAAGAACAGCAATTTGGCTCATATTTGTGCTTATCATATGTCTATCACGTGCATAAGCGTATAACTCTAATTATACATGCACCATACTTTTTTCATTTTTTCATTCAAACGATTCACACCAATATTTGGGTGGAATCCTGTTATTGATCAATACGTTTTGTTTATAACAAACCAAATACAGTTTCGAGAACCTTTTGACAGGCAAACTGATGAGGAGATCAATGCGGAATAAACAGCGACAGGTTATCACGATTGGGAATGGCTTAGTGAGCTTGAACAGAAGAATTTTAGTGTCGAAGCCAGAGGAAGTGTCTCCTCATTTGCCGAGACTATGTCTATCAATGAGCGTGTAGTCGAATTGAGAGCTACGTTTGAAACAAAGTTTCCTGTTTGAAAAACGTTTATTGACAAAGATACGGCAAGATTGGAAAAACATTTTATCAGTAAAGCTAGTAATATCCCTTTTGAGTTTTTCAAAAGCGATTAATCATACGTATGTTTATACTACAAAGTGACGCCAAAAGAAGGCAGAAACCAGATTTGCTGGCTTTCTCTCAATGAACTTACCACTGAAAAAAGTTCTGTGACACATACTCGATAACAAAGACTGTACAGGCGATTTTGTTAACTTTACAACCCCATTTTTCCAAAAAAAAAAAAAGAAAGAACAGCCATACCAATACGGTCAAACATTACAAATATCACCTCGAATCGGTATTCACTTTAGAAGAGAGACTCATCCTTATTGATCTGTCTTTGTGTTATAACTGGAGACAAGGAAATATTTCTCTAGTTTTTATAAAACGAGTAATAATTCAATGATAAAATAACAAACGTCTTTTACACCAAAATATACTTTAGAGCAGGTTAATCCAAGAACTATCGAGCTTCGGTATAATATTGTAAGCCAATGGAAGGCCGCAGGTGTGAACTTAAGACAGAATTGTGTTTTTGTAGACGACAGACTGGCTTTAAGTCACAGTTAATGAGAGGTCGCGCATGGTCAAAGGTAGGAGAACCAGCCATTGTAAAAGTTCACGGAGACAGTCATTTATTAAAACAACAGGTAATTCAGATCCCTCTACAACATTTTTTTTAAAATCGCCATAAGGGCAATAGGCCCTATAATAAGAAGTTTTTCTGCTTCGCCAAAACTTCTTTTTTTTCTACTTGACCTTTTTTGGTTTGGCTTCATTTTTTTTTTTTTTTTTTTCACTCTCTATTCTTTCTTCATCTGTCAGAATCAACAATTTTTTTTTCCTGAAAGCTTAAACATCCGAATAAAACTCCTTGCCGATGCGTTACACGATTTGTATGATAATTACTGTTTAAAGAAATTAAGGTTCATGTTTTATCTCCGTCGCAGATGCGGTGTGGAGAGTGCAGAGCGTCAATAGGATTGAGTCATTGACTGGAAGACCAATCATGTTGTAACCCTGATCTTAAAAAAGCCTTGATTAATTTACATGGAATGATTGGAAGATCCTATTTTCATTTTTATTTTATTTTCGCGATTAAGTTTTCTAGTGAAATAAAAAAAACTCGATGGCATGTTGTAAGACCCCCGTGAGAATAATTAGCGTACGTTTTGTGTACACGCTAATAATACGTCATAAGAACAATAGCAGTAATAAAAAAGACAAACGAAAGGTGGGCAGAAAAACGTTGGTTGAACTTGAATTTTTATAACGAAAAGAAAGCAGATGACTCAACTATCCAAAACGAGTATATTCATCCCTATGATTGGAAGAAAGCTTTTTTTTACTGCTTTTGGTTTCGAAATTTATGAGACAAGGGCAATTATCGGGATTGCCTGACGTTTAAAAAAAAAAAAAAAAAAAGCCTTATAATAGTCCTCTTTTTTTTCCATTTTCGTTTTTCTTTCTTTTACTGTCTAATTAAATATATCATTTTCATATCCCTTTTATACAGCAAAGGAATTAGTCAAAAATGTCATTAGAAATGGTTGATATGGATAAGAAGGGGACCGACTTTCAAGAGGGACCCGTTACTTTTGATGCCTACAGTGGTATGTTAGCCCTTTATTTTATACATGGAGTTTGTGTGTGTTAACCCTTTTTGTTTTGGTAGAGGCAGAAATGGAATACTCCGAAGAGGGTATAATCGATGTAAACCGTGAACATGCTGGCTCATCATTTATTGCCTATTTTAATGTTGTGTGCGTTGTGGCCGGTACTGGTACTCTCGGTTTACCTTACGCCCTTAGATTAGGTGGTTGGATCGGTATTTTCATTTTATTTTTATCTTGGACCATGTCCATGTACACTGGTGTACTCCTTATTCGATGCTTATATGCAAATGGTAAGCAACGTCTTTCGTCCTACAAGGAAATCGCCACCACTTGTTTCGGTGCCGTGGGTGGCTGGATCACTTTCTTTTTGAACGCCTGGATTTTGCTGGGTGCACCTATTTTATATATGGTTCTGTCAGGTTCTAATTTACAACAACTCACAAAGGGTACAGCTGGTGAAATTGGTGTATTACCTTGGAGTATTGTGTCCTGTGTTATTATTGCCGTTCCCTTTATTTTGGTGAAGTCGATGAAGGAAGTTGCCTGGATGAGTGCCCTTGGTGCTCTTGCAACCCTTATTGTCGTTGTCATTGTCCTTGTTGTTTCATGTATCGATAAAAATACAATTCCCCCAGCTCACCACGAGTCCGTTATCTGGTCTCAATTCCCCATTGCTCTTAGTACAATCTCCTTCAGTTTCGGTGGTAACGCTGTCTATCCTCATGTTGAGGCTTCCATGAAAAAGCCCAAAGATTGGCCCAAGGTTGTTGCTGCTGGTTTAAGTACTTGTGCCGGTTTATATTTTCTCTCTGCTGTTCCTGGTTATTTGGTATATGGCGATCAAGTGCAATCCCCTGTCTATAACTCTATCAGTGATGGTGTACCCAAAATCATTGCTATTGTTGTCATGACCTTCCATGTGCTTTCCGCCTCCCCTATTCTTCTTACTTCCTTTGCCTTAGATGTGGAAGAAATGTTGAATATTACTGTGGAACGTTTTGGTAGAGTGAAGGAATTCATTATCAGAGCAGCCTTGAGAATCTTTATTGTTGTGTTTGTCGGTGTCATTGGTGCTTGTATTCCTCATTTCGATGATTTGATGTCCTTGATTGGTTCGTTTGCCAATTGTGGTTTGATCTTTATTTTCCCCATTCTCTTTTACTTCAAGTTGACAGGTTTCCGCAACAAACCTTATTATATAATTGCTTGGTGTCTCTTGACCATCTTACTTGGTGTTGTTGGTCTTATCTTTGGTACCATCTCTTCTATCCAAGCTCTTATTGCTGATTTCTCCAAATAGTTTTTTTTTAGAAAACATACCACTGTAAATATCTTTATTGTAAATAGTTCAAAAAAAAAAGAAGGTCTGGGGAGAGCATATTCCCATGATGTTTGAATAAAAAAGTTATTTTTTATTTTATTTTTCTACCAAAGAAATCGTAAATCTACTCCATCTTTTGTTGTCTTGTTTTTGTTATCTTCGTCTGTAATGTAGGCACTGAGTGCTCGACGCCAATGAATTGTCTTTCTTTCGCTATCACCAAACAGATAGGCCTTTCCTTCTAACCCTTCATGACTGTCAAGTCGCACAGGTTCAGTCAACATGGCAGTGTTTCGATCGAATTGTAACATGATGCCCGTCTTTCTTGCAATGCCCACATTATCACAATCGTCCATGGAAGGCTTACTAACTGCTTGTAACGGAATTAAGGGAATGATACTGATCGGCTCTTTTGTTTCCTATTTCCCAGTGTGTTACAATCCTTGTTCTAAATATATACGCACGTGGGGGAATAAACAAACCTTGTAAGTAAAATCGTGTAACACTAACTGATTATCCTCCATTGTAACCCAGTAACGTTTCCAAGTCTAATAATAATAAAAAAAGGTAAATTATGTATGCCCAACACCAAGGTATATTTACTTACTGGATGAGCCATGCCTCGAGTATACAGTGTCAAGAAATCGCCTTGTCTGCAATGATCCAGAGAGATCGCCAACTCTTTGGGATCTGACATGATATCATCATCGTCATTTTGTTGATATGACGATGGGTGTGTACTATTGGACCAAGGAAAGCGATGCACAACCGCAGGTAAAACCTCCTCTACTTTGATATCTATCAATAATTCGATATTCAGCCAACGATTTGCTGATTTATCAATGGGTTTTGTCAGACGGAATCTTGAAACGCCCTGATCTAACACATCCATCTTGTTTTCAAAATTAAGGCAAGTAAATCCAGCTACTGGTAGCTCCTGTGGTGGAGCTGGTTTGGCTACTGTCTGTAATGGCCAGATTCCTATTTTAGCTAATCCTTCACGAAGCATTGTATTTGTATGACGTGCCGCCACAATAAAGTTTAATGAGAATGGCTCTTCCACTTCACTGTACTTTTACTTAGTAACTTTTTTTTTTTTTTTTGAAAATATCAATAATGAATACTTACAATACAAGGGCTTCTTCTTGTGGTCTATCAGCACTGATGTTATTACCGACTTTACGTAAGACACCCTTTTTAGTGGCTAATGTAGCATTATTAAGTTGAACATGTAATTCATAATCACAGTCTGTGAATGAAATAAAAGAAGGGGTTTTTTAAAGGGTGAGTGTGATTATATGAGATTTAATATAAAGGATTATTAACATACCTCGCGTCGAGGCTAAATTGATTATTTGCATAACTATGTGAAAAATAGAGAGAAATTGTAATTAAAAAAAGAACATCTCTAAACAATAAAAATTAAGCGTTTCTTACCTCGACAATACATGATTCTTTTTGGGGTAACAAATGTCTTTTTATTAATTATCTCCTTTTTAGTGACTGCAGGCGATTTCTTTTCTAATTGAGTTCTAGAATAAGAATGACAGTGTTAGCCAATGTATAATTTTATGTAATATATATGAAGTGACATACTTCAAGAAGGCAAAATGGTCCGAATCCGTTCCGTAAATGAATTCCTTTGTATCCTCCTGTATTGAATCCTTTGTAGACAAGGTCGAATTGGAAATGGAAAGTACCGGAAGATTATGACGACTGATTAATACATTCCCAGAGGAATTATATTTTCGACTCATCAATAAACCCAAATTCTGTACCTGAGGCGATGCTAGTAATCGTTGAACGGGTAAACCTAACCAAGTGGCTGCACGTTTCAACTGTACCTGTCCCTTGGTTGCTGCAGCACGTGTGATTTTACTGGTAGATGCATACAAGGTACTGCTGCTTCTGAACTGCTCTACACTCTTTGTTAATTTCTCCACAGGATCATTGGGTAATGGAGGCAAAGGTCTGTCCAGAGCCACTATATTGGGACATGTTAAACTCTTTTGTCCCTGTTTACTAGATAAAATCCGCGATAAGGCCTGTTCTACAATATCATCATCGTAGTCCTCCTCATCCGTATCAGTTTTAATACTATGTTCATCGTCCAATAAGCGTTGTATGACACCATCAATTTCTGCTGAATCTTTCTCGGACAAAGACAATGAGGAGGAGGAGGAGGAGGAGGAGGAGGAGGAAGAAGAGGAAGGGGAAGAGCAAAGTTCAGGGGTATGGGATTGTTCTTGAGTGGTAGCGTGATTCATGATGGCCTTTTGGAAAAAAGCTGCCTTGAGATGGGAGCCCTTTGTTTTTTTGGGGGACAAAATCATGACCTTCTTTTCAATGGCTGTATAAGGACTAATACGTTTAGCATTACGTTGTGTTAGTTTTTTAAGAGAATCGGACCATCGTGTTATTTCAGGGCTTTGTTGACTTTGCTTTGTGTACATATTAAAAGATAATAATTAAAAGAGAGAGAGAGAGAGAGTGTTGTTATGGTAAAAAGTCTCGCCTTTTTGCACAAGTCTAATTCTCCGAAGTACACATTCTCGTATGTTTTTACTATGAATGATAAAAATAGATTCTTGTGTGGATCTTTTATACTTTAAAAGGAGATCGAGTAAACAAAGGGGTCAGAATAAATAAGTTGCACTCACTTTCATTCACATGAACCCCAAATATTGCAAATCTCTTTTGATCTGCATATTACACAAATAAGAAATTAGTTTAGAAAACGCGCCAAATTTATTGTTTAAATTATAAATGTATTGGATAAATGATTATTATAGGAATAATATAATGAATATGCTAACTATGATTTTTGGGTGTATGAATGTATGTAGTATATGTAGCTTTTTCTCTTATTTTTTGGTAACCTTGTTGGTTTTAGGACTACATTCAATAGTTACATCCTTCACATAGGCTCTGATGTCTTCGTTTTTGCGCTCATCCCACTATTAAGCAACTGTTTAGATTGATACATATGAAAATAATACCTTTAAAACTTACGTTGATGGGACCACGTGCCCATTGAGCAGTACCACTAACACCACTACCATCCCAAAGACCGATTTGAACACGACTATATGTAAAAAGAGTGTGTGTAAGATGTATGGATGCGACAATGTACATGTTTAAACTTACGCAGCACCGGTAGGATAGGCACCGTTAGCTTGTTTGCGAGTTTCAGTACGAATCTCCTTACCATCGATAGTCCAGATAATACGGTCGGGAGACCTTAAAGAAATGGTATGTGAATACAAACAATCAAAATAGCATATGTATACAACAAAAAGATAGTTACCAATCGATACCGTAGGTATAGAACTGATCACAAGCAGGCAATGCTGGTGGATCAATAGTTCTTCCGTTGACACCATAGACGATCTTTTGTCCCCAAAAGTAATTGCTCCTATAATAGACATTTTAGCATATTTTTAATTTTTTGCTTTGGGAAACCTAAGCTTACGTGATAGTCTGGTCACCGCCTGTTAAAATCTCGAAATCGATCTCATCACCATTATCAGCAATAAGAATGACAGCTGTGACAGCACCAGGAACATTAGCAGATTTGAGCTTTGCACTGAATTTACCGTATTGCATGTAAGAGGTAGCATTGAAAGTGAAGCCTTTGCCTTCATACTTGTTGTAAGGTACTATGATCATGAAGAATTATGAGAAAAAGGCGCATGCATTATTTTAAAATAACTTACAGTTTTCTATTGAAGAGTTATCAAACAAGCGTTGATGCTTTTCAGGAGCAGTGATCTTCATGACAAGTCCACCGTCAGGAGCAAACTCATAGTTATCTGCTGTAGAGCCTCGTTCCAAAATCCAGCCATCAAGAGAGTTTTGGAATTTGGAGTCGCTATTTGAACATTTTTGTAACTCTGCTCGACGCTGTAACTTGTCTGGAGCAATAAAATGAGCCTGAACAAGGGATGAAAAAATCGCAACTAAACCGATTGAAGTGAAGGGAATAAGCATACTGGGGAATAAAAAAAAAATAGAGTAATAAAAATATAATGATAAAAAAAAAAAAAGAATAGAGGAAAATAGTGCACCTTTTTATATAAAATTTTAATGTTTATTCTCAAAAAGGGAGGAAGGGGAGGGTTGAACAGAAGGAGTTCATTATTAACAATCATATTCAAGGAACAAAGGAAAAAAAAAAAAAAAAAAAAACTCTCTCTGCGTGTGTGTGTGCGTGTGCGTGTGCGCGCAAGTGATTAAATGTGTGTGTGTGTGTGTGTGTGTGTGTTTATGCCCCTCGCATCAAATTACTCTTTAAGTAATATCCCTTCTTTGTTACGCACACACGCACACACAATAACCAAATTAACCCTACAGAGTTAAAATAGGACCTCCTGAACCCGATTCTCGACCATAAAATGCATATCCAATTTCTACAAACTTTTTTATTATTTTCTGTGGCTCTTCAATTTGTGGGGGTGAAGAACGCGGGCTATTTAATTAATAATGAAGTGTTGAAGAATATGTTCCTAATATAAACATATTTATTCTTGTTCAGGCTCGGCAATAGCCCAGTAGCTACCAACAACGGGGATCTTGCTTAAAATATCTTTCTTTATCAAAGGGATGTCAGAACCCAAAAGTAGAACAGCAGAACCAGCAGCGGCACCCCAGGTGGCAAGGTTAGGAGCACTACAATAGTTTCTTATTTTTAGCTTTCTTTGTTTACTCTCTTTTTTTGTTGTTTTACTCGCAATATTAGCTTACACTTTGACAAGCTTCTCGGCAGTGATGAAGGAAATGTGGGGATTGGTGGCAATTCTGGCAACAGGCATTTTTAAAAATGTAAGAGAGAGAGAGAGAGAGAGTACTTAAAAGAGAAAAACAACACACACACACACACAAAACCCAGGACAAGAAAAAAAAAAAAAAAAAAAAAATGAAGTTTCCCCCGCCACCCCCAAAACGATGACGTCGATACTTTTTGTGTTTTATTTGTCATGTCCTGTCGTTTCAATGACAGATTTATTAAGTTGGACAATTTGTAGAGGATCGTTGAGACCAAATCTTGACCTTCTGGAAGGCATTGTTTTTGCCCTCTTGATATGATAATCTTTATTCCCGGAGAGATCAACAGAAACTGGCCTTGTATTTGTTGAAAAGACGGAATCTGTGGTGGTGGAGGTGGATGAAATGAAGGATTCTTGAGCTGCTGTCAAATCTAGCGATTTTTGATGTAATGTATGATGATAACTAAAAGAATGGCGAGCACTGGAAGACCCTTCTGGCCCTTCAACTGCTTCCGCTGTTGCTTCTTCTGTTGAGGATACTTCTTCATCTTGTTTTTGCGGTGGTACAACAGGAAATCTCGATGAATGAGGCATTTTGAAACAATGCTGGTGTTCCACCAAAAATTGAACTACTTTTTGTGAAGTCTTGTATTGGGCAGGATTCAGTGCGTGCTCAGGATCTAACAAGATACCAGGCGTAAATACTGACGCTAAATTAAACGTGTCCATTTTCGTAATGTGCACATTTTGACTGAAAAAAGACAGTAAATCTAGTAAATAAAAGAGCAAATATTGATGAGGTTCTGGTAATTGCTCAATTAGGTTTTGGAACTGTACAACTTTTTCTTCTTCAGAAATATTTAAAAGCACCACATTACGAAAGGGTTGGTAAAGGTGATTGACAATGACAGGTTCAGGTAAGTAATTCAGGAATCGTCGTAATACATTGGCAGCGTCGTGAATAGAATATCCTTTCCAGTCCAATTGTCGACCGTAATCGGGTGGTGTATTAAATATTTGCTGTAATTGTCCAATACGTTTAGCACTAATGGATGCGTTAGTTTAATTAATTCACCATGAAAATCAAAATTATACCTGCCACTCATGCGAAACACGCCCTCAGTATAAAGCCCTATAAAAAAGGCCAGTGTAAATATCAATTGCTCTAAATAGATCTAGTGTATGTCTACCTTGATCTTTAAGAAAAGAACCGCATTTGGCAACAATAACAGGAATAAAACCAAAGTATTGCACATCATTATCCACATAGGCGATCACTGCTCTTGCACATTTTAAGCTATTCAGTAGTGGTACACCAAATATTTGATCCTCTATTTTTAAACTTTTTTTTTCAATACATATCTATGTAGACTTTTTATTTTCTTCATTACCTTGCTTTTGATACACTGGTTTACTATTCGTATTATTGGTAACTTTCTTCCACCAGCTCTTGATAGGCGTATCTTTATTAGATTCAACATCCATTAGAAAAAATATGTATTTGAGAAAAGAAAAAAAAAAAAAAAGGAAAAAAGGGAAAAAAGGCAAAAATAGCCAAAAAAAAAAAAAAAAAAGTGTTTAAAAATAGCCAAAGCGGAATCCTAATATTTTCGCACGATCTTTACCACAGTGTATGCTTTTCTGATACTCACACAAGCCTGTTGAGTTTACGTCTAGGTAAGAAAACCCATTGTTAAAACCGAAAGATTAATAGAGAATGATGTAATCCTAAGGAGGAGAAATGAATTAATTTTAATTCGGGTGCTCAATTACTATCCAGCGTCATTATCTCCTGTAAACGAATCATTCACACATCAATTGGCAGTACAAAGATCAATCCATTATGTGTACATACCATTGGCTGCATAAATAATATTACCTTGTAAAGCCTTCAACTTTTTTTGACAGCGAAATATGTACATCAAACATTCCTTCTCTCTTAATTGGGGCAAGCGTCCGACTCATTTTAATTTGCTGTGCCATCGCGAAAAAAAGAATTCTCTCACAGCCACGCACACCTTTTCGGGCACCTCAAGAAATTTCGCACACGCATTAAAAAAAATAAATAATAGGTACGTCTGTGGGAAACTGTACTGGTTTCGTTTAGATGCATAATATTTTGTGCAATAGTATCATATCCTAGTATTTTTTTATATTAGATCCTCATTAGCATCTTTCAAGCCGGTCGTCATGGAAACGGCAGTTGAACAAAGATAGGGAGATATGGGAATATTTGCAATGATATCAAGTTCGTTATCGTCTTTGAGTAAATAGCATCTGATTAAACTTATATTTTCTTTGCGATTTTTTGAGGTTAAACTTCTAATTTGGGTGTGATATATACATTTTGGAAATGAGCAACAATACCAGAGTACCTACCATATATATACACCGTTCCAAAAAAAAGTTAGACTGCCATCAGACAATATGGCACCGGTCAGCAATTGTGAAATAAACAAACTGTCTAAAAAAAGAACGTTTTCTCCAGTGGCTGTTGAATATATCAAGTGATATGATTGTATCTTTAAATGGTAAAAGATGGCGATATATGCCTTTTCATGTGATGTCGTTCGAATTTTTTATTTACGTACTCAGCCAGTCGATTGAGTGATGGCGCCAAATAGACAGGAGCGTCAGGTTTGTATCCTCTGATCCTGACACTTAAAATGTGTTTAGGATGTAATGGGATAAGAGAGGTAACTTTAAGTCGACTATAGCAATATAAACACCAACTATAAGTTTAGAAATCACATAGAGTGAAATTTTTTTTTATTAAGTTATAATATACAGTTTCATATATGAGTCAACTACATGTAAGATCTAGATAAAAGAAATAAGTAAGAAGCACAGTATCAACCAAAAACACCAAATATTACCTTCTGTTCTCCTCTTCAATTGGTGTGACAGGATCAGCAAATGGATCCGCAAAAGGATCAAGATCATCTTGAGGCTTATCTTGAATCTGTAAGGTCAATCTATTAGGTGGTGGAGGAGGAGGAGCTCTGATTTGTTTAGGTGCTGGTAACGGAGGTAGTGCAGGTGGTGAGGTGTGTATATGATCATAGTAAGAAATGTTTTTCTGCTGAGCTTGCTGTGCTAATAACCAAGCAGCAGGTATCTCACCCACAAGCATCACATCATACATGTCCAGAGTCTTTAAGAGATCTTCATTTGTAGCTAATAATGTACCAATCCATTCCTCATTTTCAACTAATCTGGCATATCTCACGATCTTTTTCTTGGATTCCTCACATTTATCACGATATTCTTGTAGACGTTTATCATGCTGTAAGTCTATCTCCCACCTTTCTTCTGATGTGTTGATAAGCTTGAGTGCATTACTCAAATTGTTGGAATTTTGATTGGCTAGAGCGATTTCTTCAATGATTCTGGGTTTTGCCTTTTCGAAGTTGAATACACGCGTTACGTTACCCCCTGAACCAGAGGGAGATGAACCACCACTATTACTACCGGTAGCAACAGTGGTGGTAGCAGCAGCGGAACTATGACTACGTGGCTTATTTACAATCTTGGGTTGTTCAACCACAGCAGGTGTAACAGGTTTAGGAGCTGGTAATGATCTACGTTTATCTTGTGGAGAAGGTGTGCGAGGTGAAATGGGTGAATCGATGGTTCTAGAGGCAACTGTAGGTGACTGTACAACGGGTGTAGATCTAACAATGTCTGTATTTGCTCTTGGACGGGTCTAGACACATGATAAAGATTAACAATTTGATTCTCTTCTTTTATAAACAGAAACCTTACATGAGGTTTGTTTCTTCCCCTTTCGAACAATTCCGTGATGGCGCTCATACCCGCTTCACTTTTATATTTCATTGACCATGCACCTAGTAGTGATACAAGTTTATTTTTAACAGCTGGACTCTCGGTCTAGAATAAAGTCAGTTTTCTTTGTTTTATACATGTAATTTAAGAAAATTCCCATACCGAAGAGGTGATAATCAATTCAAATCGTTCTCTCAACTTTTCATTGGCCAGGAATTGTCCTAAAAAGAGAAAAAGTTAGATACATGTTTATTGTTTACATCTATTATTGCTTACTATGAAATTGTTGATTACTATTTTCCATTAATAGCTTGAGAATCTAAAATAGTAAAAGATTTAATGGGGATTGCCAATATATCATGGTACAAGTACTGACCTCTAAAACTCTTAATTTTTGCTGAGCACCACCGTGCTTAAGCTTCTTTCGAACGGTCTCTACTGCTTCTCGTGGTCCACTTTCTTGCATTTGAATGGACTCAGTCAATTGCTGCAGGAGGTACCAATCCACTTCCTCAAGATTAGAAAGTCTCTCTGTCATTTCCCCATTTAGGTTTAGAAAAAAAAAATTTCTCTTGTATGCATATGTTTCTTTGTTTACCTATATATAACGATACTGACGTCTTTTGAACTTCTTCAGCGAAAAATCCCATATTTTTTTTTAAAATAAATAAAAAAAAGTTAAGAAGAGAAAGAGAAAGTTTTAAAACGGCTTGGCGGGAAGAAATGATGTCAATAAAGTATTGGTGTAACACGCTGAATTTTTATTAATACATTTATTCTGAATCAGATAATAAAGCACTAAAGCCACCTTTCGTAATTAACAAGTTTTGTCTCTTTGGCACATTTCCAGGATCATATTCATCTTCTGAAGGATCGTCATCGTCTTCTGAATCCTCCTTCAAATCGGCTTCAATTACACGAAGTTTTTCATATTTGGATGAAGTAAAGAATCCAGGTGGTTTAAAAGATAACAGAATTCGACCATCCGCTGTTAGACGCAGAATTGTGTTGGCAGCTCTGTAAACATCAGGTCGTGCTGCTTTTGCTGTATGGAATCCTCTTTGCTCTGCAAACTCTTCACAGATAGACCATGCCGTCCATACATACTCTTCGCTCTTATCCCAATCCACTGGTGGTGTAATTGACAGCACCTTCTCCAACTGGATATGCTCGGCCTAACATTGTATCTAGTCAATATCTTGTGGAAAATATTATAAAATTGTACATACAAGGTATCTAATAGCACTGTATGGTTCCTGCACTTGTGCAATAGGATACATACCAGAAAGAATCTAAGGGGGTGGGGTGGAGACGTAAATAATGCATACATACAATAACAAAAGAACACGTTGCTATACCTGAAGTGCTCTAGGAATTAATGCAGGAAATACTAGACCGGGTGAATCACAAAGTCGAACATTTTCAGCAATATGAATAGTCTGAAAATGCTTTGTGTGACCAGGTGTACGACTTGCGCTAACCACAGTTCTTCTCATAATGCTATTGATGAGACTACTTTTACCAACATTAGGATGTCCGACCAGTCCAAGTGTCAAATAATCAGTATGGGGTTTGATCTCTCTGCCTGTAATTTCCAAGATCCTACTGAATTCGTCGTCTATGTTTTCGTAAATGTGAGCAATTTGAGATTTTTTCGAATTGTGCTACAGCGTACCTAATCCATCCATACTACCCGTGTCACTATCATCATCGCCATTATCGCTGTCGTCATTCATCTCGGGATTATCTTCATTGTATTGAGCAATAATATGTTTCCAATCCACATGTACTCCAGGCTTATTCACGGTATCACGACATACAGACAATATATTTTGTACACCTTGCGCATGAAAGTAACGTTTTCTAGGCCTCTTCATCTGAGTCTTGAGAGCATCTAAAATAAAGTGGTGAGTTGAAGGCTTTCCATACAAACAATTCATGTTTACATGTGGCTGTATCATCAATCAAATTGGGATCTCTGGGAAAGCAACTAAATGTGGCAATACGCAAGTTGGGAAATTCTTCTTCAAAATACTTTCTCCAAGCAAATACTGTAAATTCAGAAACAAGATCCACCTTGTTAAAAATACCAATAATCTTTCGCTTCAATTTATGTGTCACATATTTGTACAACGAGCGAGGAAAATGTAACATGGGATTTCGAATATCCATCACAATTAAAATGACATCACTGATCTCTAGAACTCTCCACCTTTAATAATCGTTAATCCGATTTGTATTTGTTACTTGCAATACATCATTAAAATACCACTTTACAATTGACGCCATACTTCCAGATTACGTTCAAACCAACTCAATTGTTCTCCACCATAGGTATCTTCCACAGCTCTGACCCAATTATTAAAACTCTCAATTTCTTGTTTTTCAACCTCTTCTTTTGTCATATCATAAGTCCAAGTGGGTCTCTTTGGGAATTCAATGAATTCACTATATTCATCTGGTTTAATTTCCATACAATCCTGTATACGTCATGCATTTCAATACTTGTCATTCTCTCATATATTCTTTGAATTTTTTTTCTATCGTACCTTGGGTAATCGTTTTAATGGTTGCATACTCTTTAATTTCTCTGTTTCGACTTCTTGACCTGATAATCTCTCAAAAACAGATACGAGCCTAAGAGGGACGTAAGAAGGACTGCATGTAAATGCGACTAGACACACTTACTTTTTATCATCACTCACAAGTTTTTGCTGAAAGTCCAATGTGGTCGTATTTTTTTTGACAGCTGAGACAAAGTTATCGGCTAAAGTCGTTCCAGGCTTTAAGTTCATATCACGTTGCAAATAATCAAATGAACTCGGGTCCACAAAAGTAGCTTTTTTTTTTTTTTTTTTTTTTTTTTTTTTAGTTTGGCGATCTTTTTTTTTTTTTTTGTCTTCACACTTACCCTTCTCGGCTTTTTTAGCATTCTTGTCGTGTAATTGCTGTTTCTTTTGCTTCCCACTGAAGGGCTTCTTGCGATGAGTTTTAGGAGGCATAATGAAAAGAGAAACAAGTAAATTTTTTATTTTTATTTTTTACTATTTTACAGAGTCACTTTTGTAAAGTGATAGGGAGCGGGGTAAAAAACCTTAATTGCATTGTCAAAATGATGTAATTTACTCAGTCATTTGTTCTTTTTCTCACGATTATGCTTATAAAATCAAGCAGATGTACACTGACTGTGCAAGCACTTATCCAAAACATTGATAGCAGCAGTGGTTGGGAAAGGATGGCTTAATAAAGTTGCAAATAAACAATTCGGCCGTTATTCTAAAACAACACAAGAACTAAGGTGGCCGTAGAGCGCACCTAGTGTCATTTAAACTGGGGATTATCAAAATGTAAAAAAATTAATCTCTTTAATAAATTCGATGATCTTATTAAAGCTAGCATGGACCTTTTTATAATAATGGGAGATTGATCTGGGTTGCGGATTGATAACGAGTTTCAAAGAGAAACGACTTATCGAGTCACTTGATAATTCTATATCTGCCATATGTTACTTTACTAAACGACGCCTACTTCTCAAAACCCTGCGATAATTCACTTGTTGTTTCTTATAGTTGGCTTCTAAGTGTTTATTACAACTCAATTATGGTCTTTGACAGCATAACCCATAGCAAAGGAGGATTTGGCAATAAGCATCAAAAAAATTCCCTTCATACACCGTAGGAGCCTAAAAGCTCAACCCTGCCACCAATGCAGTAATCTCACCAAGTTCTACATATTCTCGACTACTCCTACAGACGCAACGAAGAACCATTTTACAACAAACAAATTTTGGAACTACTTCAGTTAAGCATCCAATATAAAGCAATCCAATCAGCAACGACTAATTCAACAATATCATTAGGATCCTCCACTTCCGCACACCCTTCACTTAAACTATATTCTTAAAAGCACTACAATAACCATATTCTTTTTATTTTCTAGCAATTACATGATCAAAGTGTGTCACTCGATAGCGCACTTTTCAAATTAATTGGTAACTCGTATTCGGATTATATTGAATGGTTCTTTTAGTGAAGCAAGTTTCGAAAAATAGGATTATAGCTAAATGTAAAATCTGGTGATAATACCGAATACAACGAATTGATAAATCAGGAGATCTTTGCTCAGCATGTGATGGTGGGATTTGTTTAGCAAAGAGGAAGCATGGAGGTTAAAGGAGAAAAAAAAATCGGAACTATCAGTAAAGGAACCCGTGGAGTTTATTCTTAGAGGGAAAATACTTTCTTAAAAACCAGAGATAGCTTGTTGTAAAACCAACCTGAGGAACATGCGAGTATTATGCTTTTTATGTGCACTATATTTTTATATATCTTATTAAATGCTTATTTTTCCAGTATGTCCACTTGCTTATTTCGTGTCAATGGAATTCCATCGAATCCACTGATAAAGATTTCTACTAAAGCCTGCCCAAAGACGTGTTTTCAATGCTATCTCCAGAGTACAAACACCTCATCGAGCACTTTAGAAATTAAGAAGAGCTATCCGACATATATTATTTTATACTTCATAAACTCTGGGCCGTCTCTAAAATGCTGCTGCAGAATATTCATTTTAAACAATTGAGTCTTCTTTCATTTTTTTTTTTTCCATTTTTGTATACCAAGGACTTGCTCAAGTGACTCCCGTAACCTTGGTTTCTAGCTAGTCCTCATATAAAAACCAAAGAAAAAGTAACACAAGGAAGTATCGACTACCAGATGCTTAAGATTCGTATTTTTTTGTAACCATACGTCCTATTAAGGAATGTTCGAAAGGCAAGTGAAGAAGATTTGTTTGTACACCATGATGTATTTGTCGCACAATACCAGAAACTTTTGTTTGTTGTGTAAAGAAAAGAAATACAAATTTTATTAATTCTTTTTCAGATGATGAAGTATATACATGTATGTAAAGGGAGAAGTGAATGAGTAAAAAGAAATGGGTGTTAGTTTTCACATGATTGGTGTTGAAGGGTATCTTATAATCTTGTAGAATAGGTTGTGATGAATTCAACCATACCAGGTTTTAATTTTTCGGCTTGAGTTAATACAATAATAAAGTCGGACATGTGGTACAAAGTAAGTGCATTCATAACTCGAGTGATCAAATCGTTATCACTTAATTGACAAAGTATAACTGGACTGAACGTGTGTAAATAAATGAATAAGTGATGACACACACGAAAAAAAAAAAAAAAAGCCCTACGTTTCATCCTGTACAAACTTTATCATGGCCAAGGCTCGTCTTACTAGAGACCGTCTCCATTGCCGAACGTACGATTCTCTGATCCTGGAAGGTATTTTGCGTGTTTCGTCTAACAATGTTTGAACCATAGGAGCTATACAATCAGTTCTTTCAAATACTTGTTGTCGTTTGCTATTTATAAGTTTTAATAGCTTTTTCTTTTATATCTTCATCTCTCTTCCTACCTCCAATCATTTAATGTAGACCTAGTTCCGTCTGCGATATAGTTCGCTAAGTTTTCTTCGAGTTTAGTCGAAGCAGCACTATAGTACTGTGATTTTAATTGATCGTAGTGAGAATACAGAGGTGTTTTTCGAACAATGAGTCTAGTCATATCCACCAATGTTGTTGGTACTGTCGAATCTAGCACTGACAATTCGACTCTTATCTCCATCTCTTCTACATCCTTGATATGTTCATAAATACAAGTGCCTCTAAAGCCATATATCAACTTACATGTATCAATAAGCCTTGCAGGAATAAATCCGGCATGTAATGATGATGCTTCCTTGCATGGCTAGATCTGCTTCTTTCTTCCGGTGATAAAAATAGTGCCAACGTATTTATAACCTATTTTAATATGAGTATAGTTTAATCAACGTACCACCTCTAACTGCCAATTTACCATATTCATACTTGTTAAGGTATTACCCACAAGTAAAGTAGAGCCAAAAGTCTGCAGATGTGATGTGATTACCCTATGATTGTTCTTGAATAAGTCATGGTTGTACAGCACTGTGATTTTTTTTATATTTTACAAACTTGGCAATAAATGGGGAATCCAACATTTGTCTAGATTCGTTATCCAGGATAGTATGACTTGTCTATATTTGTCTGATTAATTATATGTGTGTGTGCGTGCGTGTGGGGTGGTGTGTGTGTGTATGTGGGATGATTTGCATGACCCTAATTTGATTTTTTTGAAACCTCACCTTTACACAATCAATCGGCAATGAAACAGATTCCAAATCCATCACAGATTTTACAAATGGCACTAGCTTATCTACAGTGAAAAAATTTAAAGCGTTCGACCAGGTCTACATTGTGAAAGAGATTAGATAAAAAAAAAGATTATCTTATCACTGATAAACCTACGATTGAGTGACGTTTATGAATTTTGCGTAACTTTAAAAGAGGATCAACTAATTGACTGGGTATACGATCACACAGTACATTGAAATACTGTGAGAAGTTCCTTAAATATCTTACGGGTACAACCAATACGAATGCACACAATGATTCTAAAGTAGGATCTTGGAACAAAAATGCAGTGCAGATAATGGCTTGTCGATGAAGTACGATCCATTTCGGCTCCACACCTTTTAAGGTTCTTCCCATTTCCCCGTTTAATACTTGCCTACCAATCATCATCTGTAATTTTTCTTCCATGGGCTCAACTGACCACACTTTTTCAACCTTGGGGCCCATAAGATTAGACCATTGAATCAAGAGTGCTGCAGAAAAAAATGATGATTCGAAAAGCTGGATTTCAGTTGAGGCTGATTTATTTTTTAGAGGTTTCTTATTTGTCGCTATTATAAAATGGTCAGCACAAGATACTTTGATAAAAGTAAAAATAAAAAAGGCTACCATTAGCAGCATCTTGAAGTGCAACTATTGCTTCTGAAGGGCCTTTTACGATCGGTGGTGGTAAGACAAGCTCAGCGGAAATAGGAGTTAGTGTGTCAACAATCTGCGGTGAAGGCAATGGGGAACTGAGAGTTGAATTTGCTTCAAATGCAGGAGACCGAATATGATGATAATGGTGATGGTGAGATTGTTTTCGTGTCAACTCTTCGGAGTCTTCAGTGGCAGTAGTTGTTGGAGGCGAAGGTGTTAAACTGTCATTATTTGTAGTTACCACAGCTGTCGTTGTTATTTCCAAGGTCTGTATAGCTGTTGTTGAAGCCGTGGCCTTTGACTTTGTAAGTCTTGTACGCTGAGGCGCCTGGTCAGTCATATCAGAACGGTGAGGTTGTGGAGAAAGAAAAAGAACTAACGGAAAAACCTGAAATGTTATTTTTTTTTTATGCCAGACTATTTAAGAGTCACATTGCACACACGAATGTTTGTGTGTCATCCAGTGGGCCTAACTCGACAAAATATAATCTATATCTAGTAATAATGCGGCAATTTTTTATTGTTATTATTGAGTGGTTTCTTTCAACACGACAAATGTATCAGTCTCTTCATCCCATGTCCAATTCGTCAATTCTACACCATAAGGTTTGGGTCGCAATTCGTAAACACTGATATAAAAAAAAAAAATGAGTTTTAAAGTCCATCATTCTGAATTTGTACGCTCACATACGTATGAATGGGTACTAGCATATGAGGCATTTGTGTTTGAGACCATTCTAGCAGATATCCAAGCAAGATTCGTAAAACAACTCTATGTGTAACAATTAAGCAGGATTGATTCATTCGTTCCAATTCTATAATCATAGATTGGAGTCTATGGATAACATCCAAATATGATTCACCTCCCATACCCGGGTAACGATAATAGAGCTTATTATCTTGACGAGCCTGAAATTCGGATGGATGTTGTGCTTTTATCTCTTCATATGTCATACCCTCTCTGCTCTAAAAAGAGAATAATTACATCAGCATTTTATTCCTCTTTTTTTTTTTTTTTTTTTTTTTTTTTTTGACTTACTCCAGAGTTAATCTCATTTAGAAAGCGGATATGTTTGATATCATACTCATCAGGATCAAATGATTCAGCAGTTTGCATACTTCTTTTCAACATACTAGTCCAAATCGTAAACTGTGAATTTGATATAGCCTCAGCCCTTGCCTTGACTTTTTTTTCGGTTCTAAACCTTTCTATGCCATCCTCATCCTCCTCATCCGACCCTTTCAACGGATCTTTTGATTCCTTTTCCTGTTTAATTTTTCTTCTGGCGAGATCTAAAGCAAACGCAATTCTTCTCTCTTTTACAAATCTAGCTAAACATTTACTAAACTTCCTACCCTTTGCAGACAGCTAGCAGTAGTGAAAAAAAGAAGTCAAGACCAGCATAAAAAAATAGGGGCATGTAGACTTACGGGAGCATCTCCGCCAATTCTACCTGATATGTTATCTTCACTTTCACCATGACGTGTGACAAATATTTGACGTTCTGTATTTGTTTAGATTAGTATAACAAAAACATCACAATGACCAAAACATACCAGCTAGATTGAAGTTCATCAAGTAAAATATACACTGGCCAGAGAGATAGCCTGATATGTTATGAGCAATGACTTTTTTACCCACATTAACCAGTTTACAATATTGAATATCATTTTCTTCTTCCCAATCCCCCACTGATTCATAAGCTCTCTCATAATTTGCTACACGATGTCTAAAATCAGATAATGCTTTCGCAGGATCCTTGTCTTTGTAATCAGGTCCGGATAATTTCAGCCTAAAGTTACGTTCCAGAACCTAAATAAATAAGTGAGAAGATTTTCCAAAAGACAACAAATAAAGAAAATCCTTCTTACAGCTTTGTCTGTACAAACAGATTCTAACAATAACACTTTGATTTCTGGTTCACGTTGAAGCCGATCAATTAATAATTTTCTAAACAGGTAATTTGAATATTTAAACATGCCATTTTTTTTTTCGTTGATGCCAAGTTACCTTCTTTGTACAGTGGAATTCGTTGCATCATGGATTGCCACGCGCCCTCCACTTTTGAGCCAATCGATTAATTCGTCTAATACCATTAAAGCTAAATCGTCACGAATTTTACTACCATCTTTATTATCAGGATCGAAAAATGTTGCGGATTGATCAAGTTGCTGTGAGTTTTTATTGACGCGACGCAAGTTACCCACATTAAATACTTTTGTTTCGTACTGCAACCAATTCAGATATCTTCTCAATTTCTTTACAATGTAACTCTTGCCTCTTGCGGGTAAACCAACTAGGATGTAACCGATTAGCGTATGAAAAACTTCTCTATCCAATTCAATTGTTTATCTTTTACCCATCACTACCACTAATTTACTATCCAATTGACGCTCCGTTTTTAGTTCTATAAAAAAAAGTGCTAAGTGACTACAAAAGTTACCAATGACGACTTTTTACTTACTTGGTGTCATAATAGTGTGTACAGCACCAGGAACGTCAAACCCGATACTATATCTGCTGAGGGAAGCTGTATCTTCAGCTTTAGGTCGTCTTGTTGCAGGATTGTCCAGAATGAAGGAATTATGTCGACTTGCTACTGTCGGTGATGCAGAAATGGCACTGTCAGGCTCATCTGTTACCTGGAATGAGGGTAGATCGATTGATAATCTAGCCAATCCTTCGGCCTCCAAATCCTTTTCTGTTTTGAGTACAGGTAATGTTCTATTTTTGCGGTTCCTGTAGTAGTGTGAAAGCATCATGAAGAAAAGAAATTGTGAAAAAAAAAAAAAAAAATGCGGAAAAGCTTTGATTTTTTATACGCAGGTGACACGGAGCTAGTGAGACTGAAGCATTTCATGTCGTAACTTGATGTAACATGGGAGTTGCATTATCTTGACACAAAAAAAAAAAAAAAATGTGTTAGTTACGTGTTTTATTGCACGCTACATTGAATCATAATCAGGTGCTGGAATATGAATCACCAAAAGAAGAAGTTTACCCCATGCTTCTTAATAACATATGATATTGCCGTATTTTAAAAATATTATTATTTCTCCATAGCTAGCCATTAAATCTAAGATATGATTTATCTACACATATTGAGTAACGATTGTAACCGTCTACTGCTATATGTGGTCGTGGAGCTCTGACGCCTCTAATATCACACTAAACACTGATTACATGTTTTCATGCCATAGTAATCCTTTTTTATATAAATATCTAATTTAAATATTCTTTAATACTAATCTGTTCAGATCCTTCATAAGTTAGCTAGATTTATGATGGACTTATTATCTCTCATTTATAATTTTAACTATTCAATAATGTATAATTAAGCTTCTTGCTTAATTATTCACTTTTGTTTGGTTTTAATTTGTGCAACAACTTTTATAGAATTAATGTTTTCATACATAGACAATTTTTTTTTTTTTTTTTTTATGATTTTCATCTTTTTATAGCGAATACATATTACTTAATATGTATGAACTATGCTCAAATACGGCAGTTTAATCTTGTAAAAGCCGAATATTTGCTTCATGAAAAACGTTCTGGTCTTTCCAAAAAATTACAACTTGATCCTTCTCTGCTGTCTGTTTTGTCTCCTTAGTTACAAATCGTGGAACAACAGTCAGCTTCCATTCAAAAGTATCATGTGGAAACACTTGCCTTACGTTCAGGTATTCGTTGGCGCGAGTAGGGTGAACTCTCCCCGGGCTATCTCAAGCGTACCGTTGCCTCTCGTACTACTCGTCAAATAATTCCTCCTCTTATTCATCCAGTAACTCAAGCTACCTGTACTACTTAAAAATAAGTGTTAGAAACTGCTTCGACCTTTTATCGTGATCTCTACACTCCTGATGATATTAATCAAGATGCTATTGATGAGCTGTTATCCTCTCTTCCTGAATCCCTTTGTTTGTCATCCTCTGATGCTGAATCACTTTTAGATCCCATTACTTTTGATGATTTACTACTTGCTCGCTCTACAGCTTCTCTTTTAAGTTCCAATGCGTATACTTTTAAAGTTGATAGAGAGTACCGTCTTCGCCCTCGAAACAACTTCGAGATTCGCACCCGTCCCAATCTAACTAAATCTTCTTTACGACAAGTTTCGAAAAATAAAATTACTTTGGTAAATACCTTTCTTTGTTCGTGCTTTCATTCCCGCTCGGTTTGCTCGATCTGGTTGTTTTCCTTTCTCTCAAATTACAGATCATCAAGTTGTTGACGTATCTCCATTCCTAAAGTAACTTGGTTTCCTACCAACTGCAGTTGTGGTTTTTAATCCTTTCATTACCAAGAAATTTTGTCGCATCTGTTCTCCTCCTTTCCTCTCCCGTTCTTCGTTACCGCCGCCTTATTCTCCAGCCTTTTGTTTCCCATGGATTGGATTCTAGAAATTAACCTCTTTCTCATTCATGTAGAAATATCTGGAACCGTCTTATTCATAAGAAATTTCCACACAAGTCGTTTCTAAACCGTGTCATGCCTAATTCTTTTCCAAATTCTGCATGTCCAATCTGTTCTGACCCAATAGAATCCTTTTCCCACTTTCTTTTCACCTGTCCACCCAAATTAGAAGTATGGCAACATATGTGGTGTACATATATCGACTCCTCTGGCGACATACCCTTCTCTATCCATGCTATTAATATGATTGTCCATACACTCTTTATTTCTATCTGCTTTCCTAGGTATAACCATTTTCCTTCTCTCTCTCTGCTGTAGCTGCTACTTTAGAAGCCATCTGGACATCTCATTGGGCATCTGTCTTTAATGACACACCATTTACTTCTACTACCACAATCAGTATTCTCACTTTTAAAGCCCTCCAAATGACCCAAGAGTCATTTTTGGTTAAAGGTATTCCTCATACTTTAATGCCAAAAACACAGTTGTGAATATCACTTAATAAATCATATATGATTTATTTGGACTTGTTATTTGGGTTTTTCAAACAGCACGCCCGTAACCCGACTCTGCCATCGGACTATGAAATATACGGGCGTTGCAAACTGACTGCCCACCAAAAATTCAATCCTCACCCCGTAATCCACTATGACAGCAACTCAACTTCGTAATTAGATAATACCACCAAAATATGTTGAATGAAGCAGTAACTGTTACGCGTGCTCATATATTGGATTAACTCTTTGTGGATTTTGACGAGGAGTTTTCCAAATTGACATGCGATAAATTAAAAATGATCAAGGATTCCCGCAAATTTCATTTCACTAATTATTATGAGTACAAAGAAGTGCAATATAAGCTTATTACCCGTTATACAGACGTACTTGATACGTACCATAGCCGTATTGCCACTATCACAATTATATTAGATTTTTTGCACTTGTTTATTCCTTCCAACGTCAAGAAGGATTACGATGCAAAGCATGTCGTGCCAATGCTTGTCGGTATTGATGTAGAAGATATGCCTGAGACATTAGCTGTAGGGGAACCAAACGAAAAGCACAAGGATGAATTAAAAAAATTCCTTTTCACAAAAAGTAACAACCTCGGAACATGCCGTAGAATCATAATAGCTAAGCTGATTATAAAGCTTCTTCATCGTTGTTTTGCTGCGAATGATTACACATACGCCAGTGTGAGATCAAATTGCATCTCTTTTCTTAGCCTCTTGGTTGAACCTTTAGTTCCTTCTCTAACTTCAAATACAGAATAAAAACTACTTTCTATCTTTTTTTTACCAAGTTGATTTCCACTTAATTTGTAAGACTTTTCGATTTCCAGTCAAGAACCCACTTAATTTCTAAGATTTTTCGATTCCCAGTCAGTCAGACACCCATCTAATTCGATTCCCAGGGCAGAAAAAAAAAAGACAAGTACTTCTCTGCCGCTTAATTTCTGATATTTGGAGCTTTTTAGTTTATGTTATGCGGCTCAGATACAAAATCCCAGTCTATATGGGTCTGCTATTAGCGCTTGAAAATTATGGGCGTGGAGATATTATGTACGGGCGTGGAGATTATTCTCAGCTACAAGAGTCGGGTCACGGGCGTGGAGATCCCAAAAAGGAAATTTTAACGGGCGTGCGTTAATGGCTTTGAAGAATTATTATATGGACCTAATTGAACATGTATGTGAGGGGTCTTACCACTTGTTGGTTTATTAAAAATAAGGATTGAAAAACCAAACAGAACGCTTTGCAATGATAGAAATAAAGAAAGTAAAAGAAGAAAAAGAATGAGGGACAAAATATATAAAAAAAAAGGATTGCGCTTTATAGAAATCACATCCTGAAACACAAGCATTTGATAGCTGGCCAAACACATACAAAAAAAGGGATAAAGTGACGTAACATAAATCAGAGACCCTGTCTCCTTATAAACAAAAAAAAAGTTACTCTTACAAAAAATAATCTTTTCAGGGTTTTTGCTTCCTAGAATAACAATGCCTTTATCCAAATCTGATAAAAAAGTCCTCGAACTGTTGACCATACAAGCCAATGATGAGAGAGAGGTGAAAATGCAATTAAACACTAACCAGCTCAGAAGAATAAAGAAGGTAAGAAACAAGTTTTCGTAATTGGTTGTTGTCATCACTCACCATAAGCAATTAGCATCTAGAGGAGGTATGCTCGTCAATTATAGTTCTAGCTTTATTTTCACTTACCAAAATTCTTAGAAAAACAACAAAAAAAGAAGCTCAATTTCTCAATCACGCAGACAAACATCAAGAGTAAAGGTAAACAAACCCCACAAGTAATAATTACCTAAAGCAGCAACAAGTCCTGACTAATACCGTGTCTATCTCTCAGTTAACTGCAAAAGATAGTATTACCATAGCTGGCCTTAGAGGCACTCTAGGAAGTAACTTGCTCAGGATTGGCGACGAGATTCCAATATCAAGCACGCGTTCAAAATGTTTTTCTTAGTAAGCTAATGCCTTAAGCCTGTACAACAGCTTGTCTAATGGTTTTCTTTGTAGTTTTTGCAAAAATGGAATTGTTGATATTAGCGATAACAGTAAGCAGAACTTACAGCTATGTTTACTTGGTTCTTATGTGGAAAATTTTTTAAAATCCACAAAGTATAAACATACAACTGATTGCGCCAATGATCCCAACATCAGGTGTTTGGAAAAAAGTTTTAAAAACGTAGGTTTGAAGTATAATTTGGTGTAGAATTAGATTCTGATTTTTCAGATGTTGTACTAGGTTAGGAATAAAAATACCGTCATGAGTGCCTATATGTCTGTTGAGAACTACCAGTGCCAGAATAACGAAGAAAGAAAAGTCAAGAAAATATACAGCCATATGTAAGTGAAAGGACAGAAATCTAACAAAACTTTTATTAAGCTTTTTTCACGAATATAGACTCAATCAGCACGCCTTCCGCCATCATATGTTTGATCCAAGCCTTCTAGTGACCTATTCAGAACAATCTTATATAGTAAAATTCTGGGGCTATCTGTTTGAAGAATACTTTGGTATAAGAAGCGATATTTATTTGCAATGGTAAAGTTGATGAAGCTTTTCATACATTTAGATATGTGATGACTAAAAAATACTTCTCAAAAAGGGGCGATACCACATCTAAAAGCTGTAAAGAGGCAGGCTTGGGTTTTCGTCTAGATCTTCGTATTATAGCATTCACTAGTAGCCAGAATGTTGATGTTTTAAATGGTGAAGTTGCAAAAATGACAGCAGCAAATGAAGACAAGTACTACTATGATAAGCGCAAGGCAGTCTTAGCAGCCAAGAACCACCTAAATCATCTTGTCGTAAACACAAAGTATCTACTTCCTAAAGATATTCATACCATTTATATGCCAATTGTTCAGATCATGGGCATGAGCTGTCACTTGTATGTGCTTTCCTTGATCGATAAAGGTCTTTATCTTCTTCAGCGAGTCTATACAATGTCCTATCCACAATCGAATCATGAGATCAGAACCGGCGCAATACAAAAAATTATCCGAGGCTTTGCCTTGATAGAAGTAAGTAAATTGGTTGTTTTCACTAACTATTTTACTAAGCTTTGATCTAGGACATATTACAAAACGCTCTTGATATCTATGATGAATACAGTAAAGACACACAAGATATCATTTTAAAGAAGATTATTAAAAAAAAAGGATGTCAGAAAGTTGATATTAATGACTGGATCTCGCTTGTAATTGAACCAGAAGATTATGAAGAAGACAGAGGAAATAATGAAGACGAAGACGAAGCCGAAGAAGCCGAAGAAGACGAAGTTGAAGAAGACGAAGCCGAAGACGATGAAGCAAGCAGTGAAAGTCAAATATAATTTACTAGTTCCTATCATTATATAGCTTTCCAAAACAATTTTTTTTTAAAATAAAATATAACAAGAGCTGAATGTCTTTTCATTGTGTTCTTACGAAACGATAGTAAAGAAGTCAAAGGATATAGAAGATGACGGTTAGTTATAAAGAAGTTAGAGAGGGAGTGAAGAATACTCATAGGTTTGGATGAAATGAAGCTTGAGGCTTTATTAGTATATTATTTTTACTCTTGTGGCAGAATGTGGCAAATATACAATATTATTTAATAATAAATTCTTGAGCGAATCATTCTTTTCATCTTTACAATTGCATGAGAATGGGATAAAGTGACGTAACATAAATCAGAGACCCTGTCTCCTTATAAACAAACAAAAAGTTGCTCTTACAAAAAATAATCTTTTCAAGGGTTTTTGCTTCCTAGAATAACAATGCCTTTATCCAAATCTGATAAAAAAGTCCTCGAACTGTTGACCATACAAGCCAATGATGAGAGAGAAGTGAAAATGCAATTAAACACTAACCAGCTCAGAAGAATAAAGAAGGTAGGAAACAAGTTTTCGTAATTGGTTGTTGTCATCACTCACCATAAACAATTAGCATCTAGAGGAGGTATGCTCGTCAATTATAGTTCTAGCTTTATTTTCACTTACCAAAATTCTTAGAAAAACAACAAAAAAAGAAGCACAATTTCTCAATCACGCAGACAAACATCAAGAGTAAAGGTAAACAAACCCCACAAGTAATAATTCCCTAAAGCAGCAACAAGTCCTGACTAATACCGTGTCTATCTCTCAGTTAACTGCAAAAGATAGTATTACCATAGCTGGCCTTAGAGGCACTCTAGGAAGTAACTTGCTCAGGATTGGCGACGAGATTCCAATATCAAGCACGCGTTCAAAATGTTTTTCTTAGTAAGCTAATGCCTTAAGCCTGTACAACAGCTTGTCTAATGGTTTTCTTTGTAGTTTTTGCAAAAATGGAATTGTTGATATTAGCGATAACAGTAAGCAGAACTTACAGCTATGTTTACTTGGTTCTTATGTGGAAAATTTTTTAAAATCCACAAAGTATAAACATACAACTGATTGCGCCAATGATCCCAACATCAGGTGTTTGGAAAAAAGTTTTAAAAACGTAGGTTTGAAGTATAATTTGGTGTAGAATTAGATTCTGATTTTTCAGATGTTGTACTAGGTTAGGAATAAAAATACCGTCATGAGTGCCTATATGTCTGTTGAGAACTACCAGTGCCAGAATAACGAAGAAAGAAAAGTCAAGAAAATATACAGCCATATGTAAGTGAAAGGACAGAAATCTAACAAAACTTTTATTAAGCTTTTTTCACGAATATAGACTCAATCAGCACGCCTTCCGCCATCATATGTTTGATCCAAGCCTTCTAGTGACCTATTCAGAACAATCTTATATAGTAAAATTCTGGGGCTATCTGTTTGAAGAATACTTTGGTATAAGAAGCGATATTTATTTGCAATGGTAAAGTTGATGAAGCTTTTCATACATTTAGATATGTGATGACTAAAAAATACTTCTCAAAAAGGGGCGATACCACATCTAAAAGCTGTAAAGAGGCAGGCTTGGGTTTTCGTCTAGATCTTCGTATTATAGCATTCACTAGTAGCCAGAATGTTGATGTTTTAAATGGTGAAGTTGCAAAAATGACAGCAGCAAATGAAGACAAGTACTACTATGATAAGCGCAAGGCAGTCTTAGCAGCCAAGAACCACCTAAATCATCTTGTCGTAAACACAAAGTATCTACTTCCTAAAGATATTCATACCATTTATATGCCAATTGTTCAGATCATGGGCATGAGCTGTCACTTGTATGTGCTTTCCTTGATCGATAAAGGTCTTTATCTTCTTCAGCGAGTCTATACAATGTCCTATCCACAATCGAATCATGAGATCAGAACTGGCGCAATACAAAAAATTATCCGAGGCTTTGCCTTGATAGAAGTAAGTAAATTGGTTGTTTTCACTAACTATTTTACTAAGCTTTGATCTAGGACATTTTACAAAATGCTCTTGATATCTATGATGAATACAGTAAAGACACACAAGATATCATTTTAAAGAAGATTATTAAAAAAAAAGGATGTCAGAAAGTTGATATTAATGACTGGATCTCGCTTGTAATTGAACCAGAAGATTATGAAGAAGACAGAGGAAATAATGAAGACGAAGACGAAGCCGAAGAAGCCGAAGAAGACGAAGTTGAAGAAGACGAAGCCGAAGACGATGAAGCAGAAGACGATGAAGCAGGATATAAAGAAGGTGAAGAAGCTGGAGGAGAAGAAGAAAAAGCAAGCAGTGAAATTGAAATATAATTTACTAGTTTTTATCAATATATAGCTTTCCAAAACCATTTTTTTTTTTTTTTAAATAAAATATAACAAGAGCTGAATGTCTTTTTATTGTGTTCTTACGAAACGATAGTAAAGAAGTCAAAGGATATAGAAGATGACGGTTAGTTATAAAGAAGTTAGAGAGGGAGTGAAGAATACTCATAGGTTTGGATGAAATGAAGCTTGAGGCTTTATTAGTATATTATTTTTACTCTTGTGGCAGAATGTGGCAAATATAACTACAATATTATTTAATAATAAATTCTTGAGCGAATCATTCTTTTCATCTCTAAAATTGCATGAGAATGGGTATGTTTTTTACTTTTTTTTTTCACTTTCAAAAAAACTAGATACGTACTGTCACTAAGAATAATGGAAAATGATGAGTGCAGAGGTAAAAGAAAGCTGCAGTGACTACCGCCTATATTTATACTGAAAAAAGCGATAACAACAAACTATACAGGTATCTAAATATAAACAAGGTAAATAAGTTTCTTATGAATTTGATATGATCATTAGCCTTGGGATACAAATCCACAAAACAGCGAAGATAAGATGCTAGTGAGGGTTGAACGACTTCTCTACTCTGTCCATAGCCCCATTCAAAAAATCTCCAATCAATAAGAAATAGTTGAAGCTATTAAAGTTCTTGAAGGTACTGATGGGAAGATAAAGAATCCTGAGGTTAATATCCGTTTATTGAAGCCCTCAGCTGACAATTTTAACTCAAAGGGTAGGAATACTGATAAGAGAGGTGTCAAGAAAGACACAGCAAGAATAAAGATCTTGCAAGACAAGTTTGAAGAAAGTCAAGAAAAGAAGCTTAGTGAGAAAAAGAAGGACGATAAGTTAAAAGAGGAACATGAGAAAAAGAAGCGTGCTTTAGAAATTGAAAAAGACATGCTGCTCTCGAGTATAAGAGAGAAAATACAGCCTTACGTGTTCGCGATGATAGTGGTATTATTGTCAACACCAAATGTCAGCCGAAGCTGAAACCAACGTCAAAGCCGAAGCTTGTACTTATATGTTTGACACATAAAATAATACTTCACCGGCTAAGAAAATAAGGAAGGAAACAATAATAATTTATTGACACTCATCTGATAAATATGCTCCACACATTTAACAAAGCCGACATAGACCATGTATTCCAGTATATGCATATACAATCTCTTAAGGCAGTCTTAGCTATCCTCAATGCAGTGGTTAATGGTAACTATAGCTTTCGTCCCCTAACTTTTAATTCATGCAACGACCGAACAAGATGGAGATGAGTAAAAGGTCAGATACTGGCAGCATACTTAAAGTATAAAAATACTCTATATGTAGCAGTTGCCGCATCTGAAGCCCTAATTGAATACGAAGAGCAGAGGATGGTCAGCAGACTGAAGTCTAAACGATGTCTCAACGACCTTAGCTTGTGATTTACTACCTTCTCTTGCCTGCAAATTGTATTCGATACCCATGAAGGACCAGTCCTTGTGTACTGCTAAGTCGACAACTATCTCAAATTTGTTAGCAAAAAAAAGTTCATCAGCTATCAATCCCGGATTTTTTTTTCTTTTAATTCATATGGAACTCACCACATTTAACAACACTATCACGCTCCTTTGTACATTATCTCATCTTTACTATGTTGAGCTTAATGTTACATCAGAGAGAAGACTGAGAAGGTTCGTTCCCAATGCCTGTTCTGAATTTGAATCATGCCAGAAGTTGATAATAATTCGAAGACCTATGCATCTATAACGACTAGCCTTCTTTATTTTGTTACATTTAACCATTTTATTTCTTTATCAAATAGATATTGTTCTTATGCCAACCCACTTTTCAAAATCAACTAATATCAAGCAGGAGTTTCTAATACCGACTGTCCCATTTAAAATAGTGGCTACAAAAATTTGGCGCGAGAGACATGTCTGGGGGACCAATCACTCGGAAATTGGAGTCACCGGATCAACCCGACCAACCGACGTAGCCAGACTGGCTTGTTGGTATTTTTTTGATAAGTCATACCTTTTAAACGAAATGATGTTAGAAGCTATTATCAAGCCCATAACAAACTGCTAAAATGCGGTCAGTAATTTAGGGTTTCACAGTAAAAGAGCAACCCGGATAGATGAGGACTATATGTCATTGGCATCATTAGGCTGCTAAGGGTAAATATACGACTATATATTATGCGAATCATTTCATCAATCAAAGATACTGGCTTGACACCTTCATTTGATGACCCGAATACAATACCTCCAACAAATGCTTCATCACCTTTTACGTTATCAGAATAAAGCGCAATTGTCATTTCATATCCATAATCACCTTTTGGCTATCTCATTTTCTGGTAGGAGTGTCTCTAATACTGAAAAGTTTCGTTTCTTTTCTTGTATACAGACAGAAAGCAAATATTCAGGTTTAATTGTATCATGATGAAGTACGTGAAGCTCGCGAAGTATCTTTTGAACTCTCTCTGAACCAACAGAGTTTCGAATGGAGGATTTCACAAGGTGTGCAAATACTTTTGACATTCTTCCTCTGTGAAAAAGAACGGCATAAACTCAACTTAAATTCAAGAGGGAGCTGTTCAATGATTTCTGGATCATGCGCATTATATGAAGCATCACATTTTGAGTCACAGCATCTATATTGCATTGATTTATAAAGCTAAAGCAACTAGCATTTCAAATAAAAGAAGGGGGGGGGGCGATTTAGCATACACAAGGTATAAAAAACCTTTTCCTGCAACACCTGAACATATCCACAATTCTTCGAGCGTGAGGCTTTTTATTGTAGCCTTTTGTTTCAAGCTTCCAGACAATTGTTTCTAAAACATCAGTCCTCCCAAACCTTTGCGGGTAATCCAAAGATATACTCGTGCTCTGCATAAATAATAATTATAATTTTTCTTCAGGAAAGAAAAAAAAACAACACCAGCCCTATCCAAAAAATACCATTGTTTTATTCAGAAGGATATCGTTCGTTTATTAAACTTTGAAAGATCTCCAAATACTCGATCAGGACACCGTTGCCAGCCATCTTCCCCCGGTTGAATCTTTAACTGAAACCTCAACCAGATTCTTGACTAAATCTTCAATCAATTCATCGACTGGTTCTTAGACCAAAATGTGACATTGACATTTTTAAGTTTTTTTAACTACGAACTATTCCATATTTCTCGAAAAATTAAGAGCACTTAGGCAACTGGATTTGTATTTCTGATTGCATCGTTTACTGCTGACAATTCTATTTAATGTTGTTTTTTTCTGTTAAATCGTTTCGCGGAAAAAAAACTTCGAGGCTTTGTTGGTTTTTTCAACTTTTTGCTTGGCCATTTAAAATTAAATGAGAGGAACCGACAACTAGTAAAAGTGTAAAACGCTTGGAGTTTTTCATGTAAAAGCCAGTAATTCCACAACCGACGATAATCTCAAACCCTATTGGCTCACTGTATCCAATTATATGGTTTTTTACTAGAGAAGCAGTCACCCCAGACATGTGTCTCACGCCAAAAATTTCTATTCAGTTCTTTTTCTGCATTGTATTTTTCATTATTTGGACTATATCAAGCTCTGTAATTTCGAGTGCACCTACAAGGAGCCTTTCATCTACCAGTGTGGGGCCCTTTAGGCGCGGGAACTAGCCTTAGCGTGATTTGTGTACACATGAAGGCACTCGTGTTGTTACTTTGCTTTGTAAGTACGGAACATTGTGCAAAACCTAAGCCAATAGTTGGTAGACTTGAAGGCGAACATTGCTAGAGATGATGCCCACTACGTGTTTATAGTGGTAAGGTTTTGCTGCTTTGGTGTTAGGAGTGGTAGTCGTTATTTACAGGTAACTACAAGTACAAATGCAAATCTAATGGGCCATTACTAACTTCTGCTTTTTTTAATTGACTCCTCTGCATTTTATATTTATTATTTGGACTATATCAAGCTCTGTAATTTCGAGTGCACCTACAAGGAGCCTTTCATCTACCAGTGTGGGGCCCTTTAGGCGCGGGAACTAGCCTTAGCGTGATTTGTGTACACATGAAGGCACTCGTGTTGTTACTTTGCTTTGCAAGTACGGAACATTGTGCAAAACCTAAGCCAATAGTTGGTAGACTTGAAGGCGAACATTGCTAGAGATGATGCCCACTACGTGTTTATAGTGGTAAGGTTTTGCTGCTTTGGTGTTAGGAGTGGTAGTCGTTATTTACAGGTAACTACAAGTACAAATGCAAATCTAATGGGCCATTACTAACTTCTGTTTTTTTTTAATTGACTCCTCTGCATTTTATATTTATTATTTGGACTATATCAAGCTCTGTAATTTCGAGTGCACCTACAAGGAGCCTTTCATCTACCAGTGTGGAGCCCTTTAGGCGCGGGAACTAGCCTTAGCGTGATTTGTGTACACATGAAGGCACTCGTGTTGTTACTTTGCTTTGTAAGTACAGAACATTGTGCAAAACCTAAGCCAATAGTTGGTAGACTTGAAGGCGAACATTGCTAGAGATGATGCCCACTACGTGTTTATAGTGGTAAGGTTTTGCTGCTTTGGTGTTAGGAGTGGTAGTCGTTATTTACAGGTAACTACAAGTACAAATGCAAATCTAATGGGCCATTACTAACTTCTGTTTTTTTTTAATTGACTCCTCTGCATTTTATATTTATTATTTGGACTATATCAAGCTCTGTAATTTCGAGTGCACCTACAAGGAGCCTTTCATCTACCAGTGTGGGGCCCTTTAGGCGCGGGAACTAGCCTTAGCGTGATTTGTGTACACATGAAGGCACTCGTGTTGTTACTTTGCTTTGTAAATACGGAACATTGTGCAAAACCTAAGCCAATAGTTGGTAGACTTGAAGGCGAACATTGCTAGAGATGATGCCCACTACGTGTTTATAGTGGTAAGGTTTTGTTGCTTTGATATTTTCTTGTCTCGCTGCTTAATAGCTACTGGATATACGGCATTTTTTTCGATTATCTATATTCACTGATTCGAATCTTGTTTTATATGGTTCAAATATAATTGGATATAATATAGTAAAAAGGAAATTAAGCGTCAGATGAATGAATTAGAACCAAGCAGAGGTCAAAGAAGATTGCTGTATTATTTTTTTTGGAAATGGTGTAAATAAAATCAATATTTCATTTTAGATTGTCGTTTTAGTTTTTATATTTTTGTTGCTATTTTGAAGTTAATATTTTATGATGCACCATCAATAGGATTTAGGGAAAAAATTATACTGTAAAGGTATAATAAATGTAAATAACAATTTTAGAAATCAGCACTTCAAAAGAACTTGCTAATCGAGTATTATGCACTTCGTGCATGTGCTTGACCATGTTTTTTATTAGACACAAGTTGGTTGTTATTTTTTTAACTTTAAAAAGATTGACGAAGACGACATTTTTCTTTCTTCTTCATTACTTTTCATCTTCCTGTTTATAGAATATACTACAGCTTTTAATTGGTCCAAGTATCTGTTGTGTCTTGGCGAATGTATGCTTCACTGCTCTAAAAAAAGAATACTGTTTCTCATACGTGCTATTGTAAGTGTGCTATCCACACAGTTATTTCCGTGGTTTATTGACTCCTCTTTATTATTTTATCTATGCTGACCATTGATTGTAGTAGTCTCTCACTTAGTTTACCTCTATCTTTGACTTATCTGGCCTCTGATTGCAAAAAAGTAACTATGACACTTTTATAGAATGTTCAAAAACCATTAGCGGTGGCCATTGATAATATTTTTAGACATGTTTATGATCAATACGTAAAAGATAAGTTTTTCTCATTAATATATATATATATATTGATAGATTATAAAGCTAATACTTTTATTTACTCATCGACATCCAATAGCACTTTTAAGATGATCTCTTACTTACAGAAATTATAATCAAAATATAATACTTACCATTTTTCTTTTTCTCTCGTAACTTAAGCAATTAGGTGGCTGTCTGTAAGAAAAAATGGCTTTCAAATAAAAGAAGATTGCGTAGGGATAATAAAGTTTACATCCAAATTAGTATTCCGCCATTTCTAATTATCTATACCAATCTCATTTTTCATATGTATTTTTTATTTATCATTTTCTTAGGACATAGTAACTTGCTCATTGAAACTATCTACAGTGTTTAGTGGATAATAGCTTTGATGGATTGGTACATAAATATAAATTTTATCGGTATATAATACATTCATACTAATACTAACTTTAATTTTTTTAAAATTGGACGCTACTGCCAAATTCAAGAGATTGAGGAACAAACGAGGAAACCCCTTTAATGGCAGCTTCGGTTTAAATTAAAGGTGAGAAAAATTTCGTGAAACATTATTTTTATTTACAACGAAGAAAGAGATGCTGAACGAACACTTCAGCTTCGTTGTGAGGTGGTAAGTAAATGGAAGGAAATCGGCGTCGATTTTAAAAAGAATTGCGTATTTGTAGATGAAGCAGGCTTTAATGCGCATATGATAAGAGGGCGAGCTTGGTCCAAAGTAGGAGAGCCAGCGAGTGTAACTGTTCACAAGCATTGCTTATTTTGGAACAGTCAATTTTTCAAAAGTCGAACCTTTAACAAAGGCAGATGCATCCCAATTCAAAAAACGCTCATCAGAAACCGGTATGTGCATACAACACTTATATTGCTCATAATAAACTATATATATTTAAGGTGAACATATTTTCTTTGTATAAATTATAAATGTCACTAAAGACAAAATATAAGCAATTTGTGTACACTTGTAAAAGATAAACATATGATTTGTGATTATAAATAAAATTCTGTTGAGTGAAGGTGAAACAAACCTTAAACAGTGGTCAGGTTTCCGCAAGCCAAACTAATGCAAACATGCATAAATTTATTGTAATAGAGTTTTTTTTCTCACACATATTTCTATTTTATTAATGTATCTTTACCTTTGTGATGCATCTTCTGACTAAGAGAAAGAGATATAGAGGTCTAAAGCAAATAAAACTGTACTGGAAACGGTGATGAAATTGAGAACTACCAACAATCAAATGTATAAACTTCACGACGACCTTGTTCAAGAAGTATGTAGCAACTAACACTACACAAAGTTAAATAATATAATGATACAAATTAACTGCATCCTAATAGATTACTAGGACGTCTTTTTTTTTTTTTTTTTTTTTTTTTTTTTTTTTTTTTTGGTATGCTTGGAAAGACAAGTAAATGCCAACAACTTCCGTAAAGATACCAGCGACTGTCCAAAAGACCCTTCGTTTTTTTTTTGCTAACATTGCTATAAACGGAAGGTAGTTAGGTGTCTCAAAGATATAATTTCAATATTTTTAGTCTTACTGGAAACGTTAAGTTTCTTAGAAAAAACTTTTCAGAAAACGATTCGCTTTTTACAAGCAGTTTCTTCAGAACAATGTACGAAAATACATTTTTTCACAGCAAGATAAGAATCAGCGACACTTGTCTCTAGTCGATGTTTTTGTTGGTTGTTGGGGTTTGTAAATTTGTTTGTGAATTTGAATGAATAAGAATTTGATTTTCTAGAGATGAACTAACACTTGATACTCAAGATGAATATATGGAAGGTATTGAACAAACATTCGTTGAAGCTACTACTTTGAATGAGCCCACGGATGAAGTTACCCCGATCAAGAACTTAGCTACTGGTGAACCTAAGCCTACTACAACTAGTGACAAGATTGAAAACATCATACGTACTGTTTCTTATATTCAAGAAGAAATTGCATCTCTTAACATGTATGTCGGTGCTGCTCCTGAAATTGATTCTCTCGTGAACAATCAGCGTACTTGTCTGAATCGTCGTAATTAAGACTTGAAATTGATGAGGAATAGTCCTGAATTCATGAAAGATACCATGAAAGACACTATTAAAGCGTCAAGAAAATCATCCGTAGTCCCTGTCAAATTGCCTATGTTTTGCTAGGAAGGTCATGATAATATACCTGGTGAACATATTTTTGAAGATATCAAAACCTGTTTGACTCGTTTCACAGATGTCATGAATTGCCACAATCTGGATTTGGATGCCAATTTCTTACATTTGCTTCCTCCCCAACTGACAACCAACACTCATGTCTTGTTTGAAGGCTATCTCAGCAAGTTCCGTTGTGTCTTCCAAATGGATCCAACATGGCTTCAATTCTCTGCTGCTTTCCAAGCTCGTTATGGTCTTAATGCCCAAGAGGAACGTAACAACTGCGCCAGAGAGTTGAACAACATCAGTATCCTTCGAGGTGAAACACTGGAGTCCTTTATTGATCGATTCAATAGTCTTCGTCGTTGTGTTGTCGATCAGGTCCTCCCAAAGTTCGTTCTGGCTGAAAAAAATCTTTTTGCGTTACGTGACAATCTTATGAATCAAGTTTCCATTGCCACTGCCACTTTGCCAATTTACAAGCAAAACGATGTAGATGTTCTCACTGGTCTTGTTCGTGGGTTACTCAACCGCCTGTCCAACGGTAAAATGAGCGCTTCTTCTTTGAATGTCCCTGCTCCTCGTGCCCCTAAGCGCTCAGCCATGGTAATGAATCAAAATGATGATGTCCATCAGTCTTCGCGTCTGTCTAAGCATGCTGTAACATCCCATCATAACATTCAAGAACGTGCATCCGGTTCACTGGTCCTTCTTGTTCGTCTTCTGCTGCGATTCAACACCAACCAAGACACCACCAATCAAGAAGTCCCTCTGGAAAATTTTGTTCTTTCCATCGTGTAACCACACACAACACTGTGGATTGCAATGCTGCTGCTGCTGGTGAAGTGCCCCGTAACAACTGTAAATGTCGTAAGTGCCACGCGGATAACTGGACTCCTCAACATGTATGGAATACCTCTCGTAATGGCCCCAACTGTGATGGCAATATTCATCTGAATGCTATCAGTTTTGCTCGTTCGTCTGGTAATCGCCGTAATGCCAACAACGTCCCGGTCAATCGTGTTCCTCCCAATACAGCCAGTACGTCTACTGGGTTGTGGAATGATTTTGCTAATAACACTAGCGATGCAACGCCTAGTGAGCCCAATGGCAGTCAAGATGATACCGAAATGACAGATGCCAGTATGGTAGCCCGCCAAGCACAACAATGTAAGTTTCATAACATTTTCAGTCATCCTCCGGCTAATAAATCTAACATGATCATCATTCCCATTATTATAGAAAACATCAAGACATATGCTATTGCAGATACTGGTGCTACAAATTCTATGGTACATCCTTCCTTTGTCAAGTATCTTGGTAATGCGATTCAAGTTTCACCTTCTTCTAGAACTGTTCAATTGGGTCATTTATCTTGTACAAAGCAACGCTTAGGAACCACTAGTTTAAAAACATTCTATAATAATAAATTGCTTTATCATCATTACGAAATTTTTGAATTCTATACTACTAAAAACAATGAAAATATTCCTATTTTAATCGGAATGGATATTTTTTCTACATTGAATATTGGACTTACTGGATTATCATTGTCACATTTCAATATCCAAGATAGTAATAACCCTTTTCCTCCAACTCCTGCTGATCCAATTTCCAAACCTAGCAATAGTCCATACGGAACCGAAGTAGAACGTGAAGCTATGAAAGCAATATTAGATCCGTTATCAAAAGAAAATGCTAACATTGATATGAAGAACACATACTGTAATTTACCAGGCGCTGTTATCCATTTAAATACAAAGCCAGGATGTATCGCTTTTAAGAAACAATACCCTTTACCATACGCATATGAGACTGCAGTTCGCAAACAAATTAATACATGGTTAGATGAAGGTGTCATTGAATTAGCTACATCTCATACCGGTTTTAATTCTCCATTATTAGTTGTTGCCAAAAAGAACGCTGATGGTATCTTCTCGTTTGACAAAATTCGTTTAGTCACGGACGTCCGAAATTTAAATTCTATCCTCACAGTCACTGACACTCAGAGTTATCCATTAATTCATGATATATTGGGTCGCATCGGTAATGCTGAGATGCATACAATTATTGATATCAAATCTTGCTTCAACAGTTTCCTTGTTGCTGCCGAAGATCGTCATAAATTGTCATGCACATGTCCTTATTCCAACCGTCAGTATCGTTTTGTCAAAATGTGCTTCGGTATCACTTTTGTCGGCAATTTAGTACAACAAGTGCCCAAGAACTTTTTTCTGATCTTCCTTACATCCAAGTATATGTTGATGATTTGACAATCAGTACAGCTGGACCTTTGACGTATCATACCGAATGTGTCTCTGAAGTATTGAGACGCTTAACAAAAGCTAACTTGGTTATTGCACCTGAAAAGATTATATTGGCTCAAACTAGTATTCATCTCTTGGGGTGGTCCATGGCGAAAGGCGGTGGATTAATGCCTGATCATCGAAAGGTCAATACGGTCACAGAATTTAAACTTCCCACAACAACGAAAAGGCTGCAATCTTATTTAGGTTACATGAATTTCTTCCGAGCCCACATTCCTATGTATGCACATATTAGTGATAACCTTGACAAATTACGTAACGTTAAAGATTTACCTGCTGTTTGGACGGATGAACACACAAAAGCTTTCAACAATATGAAACTTGCACTAGTGTCAGCTCCACTTATCCATTGTATCGATTACCAATATCCTTTGCATGTTGCTACTGACGCATCAAATACGGGTATTTCCGGGGTACTGTATATGCTCGTGAACACTGAAAAACAATTTGTGGCTATGGCTAGTCGAGCTTTAAACAAAGTTGAAACAAATTACAGTACAACACGTCGTGAATTATTAGCTATTCTTTTCTGCTTTGAGCGATTTAGTAAATGGTTAATTCAGAAGCACTTTACATTACATACCGACCACCGATCTCTTATTTATCTTCACAGTCAAGAGGTGCCGAACCACTTATTATTGACTTATTACGAGACACTATTCAGTTTATCATACGATGTTGTATATTTGCCGGGTCATTTAAACAACATTGCTGATGCTGGTAGCCGTTTATTCAAAGAGGATTTTCATTTGGAGGGGGGTTAATTAGTTGACAAAACAACGTCTTCTTTCACACCAAGCATAAGAATAAAAAAAAAATGGGGCTCCCCTTCGGGTCACTGATCCCATTTTTTAAAAGGCGTATTAGGCCAGTCCTCCGACCACATATTTTTTGACCTGCGCTTCGCTCCTGTAAAAATACGCGGTTCCCGGAGGACCCATCAGCAAACCCAAAGTTGATTTTATAATTATTGAAATATTCATATTTGTTTATTTATTTTTGCTTTTAAGTCAACATCCACAGAGGTTCATGGTAACTTGTGAATGAGATGTATCGTCCAGAAGAAATTACGTCTTGATTAGTGAAAATGTTGTCGATGAAAGTTTTTAACTTTGTAGTTGATTTTACGAAATCAGGAAGCGAGCTTTGGATACCATGTTGGCCCTGGAAAGAAACTATTGCCGTTCTTTCTGTGGAATCTTGATTGAAGTCAATGTTGAAGTCACCAGCAATTACGATGTTAATATATGGGTGTCTAATTTTAAATTCCAAAGCTTCGAGCAAAAGATCAGTGTTTTGTGTTGGACTAGGTGAAGCATAAATGCTACAATATATTGTGGAATCAATTGTTACTGTGGACACACTTACCGACGACGAGTTGACATTGCTACGAAAAATTTCGGAGGAAGAAGTCATACTCTCACAAATTACATTATCAGAGACGTAACAGTAATATCCTACAGGTTTACGTGTAGAGCTTGTACAATCTAAGGACGACACCAACTTAAATCCTGGTATGACGAAGTTTCGTTAAGAAGAATGATATCTGATGAAATATATACTGGATCATTTGTAATTTGATTTAAATGAGCCTGGAGACTCTGGACGTTGTGCGAGATAATTTGAAAGTGCTCTTTTTTCGTCAACTTTAAGAAAGTGGGGTTAAGCATGATTGTTGGTTGACGTTGCATTTCTAAGTATAAATCACTGCTTTTTTCAGATGATAAGGGTTTTGGCGGAACAAAAGTGTTGTTTTTGCACACAAGGGTCAAGCCATTAGCAGTTGTGGCTCTGGAACAAGCAACGTAAATTAAAGATCTTTGCATTTTATGCTTTCCTACATCATACACAACAACATTTTCGTAAGTACCGCCTTGAGATTTGTGGATTGTTAAGGCTTCTGCGGGAACGATTGGAAACTGTTTTCTGTTAACCCTCAAATTTGTTTTGCGGTTACTGGTTATTTGCAATGAAACTGGCTCAATCATAGTCCAGTTATCCAAGACCGAACGAGTTCTTGATCTTAAAGCAGTTTGTTTTTTTCTTAAAATTGCCCCGCTTGTCTCATCGTCAAACTTGATCCATATTCTTAATGGCTTCTTTTCGCCACCAGATGATCCCTTAAGCGTACCATAGTCAATCTGCTGTAAATAACCGGTGGTGCCATTTACAAGACCGTCCGATGTATCCAAGTTTGAAGTGATCATATACCTTGCTTCAATTTGTAATCTGAGGTGCTTCATCAATCCCAGATTTTTGACAGTGTGTACTGAATCAGTAGCCACAGAAGCAAGTATGTGCTTGACGGCAGCATCATTCGTACAATCTCCGAGAACCCGGTCAAAACCGACAGATACGGCACCTTCAGTTGCCATGTTCGCAAGGATAGCGCTATTCATATTACGAACCATATTGTTGGTGTGGAATAATCGAATAGGCCTTTCTTCTGAATTAGAGAGAGCACTGTTTCCTGAATGAGGAAACACGGCCTCATCATTTTTTAATCCATTAAATTCTTCTTCAGTGAGCCGTAAAACCCTGCTTTGAAACAATGCGACATCATTTTGAGTCATTTCTCCAACAGCCATGTTGTTGAGTGCAACAGCAAAATGAAAGTCATCTCTTTGTCTCATGATCTGTACCAGCCTATGAACTGCAAACTCCTTCCACAATCGTGTACCAAATGTCGCAAGATAAGGGTCTGACGGAGGTTTGGTAGAGTACAAAGGTGATGATGCTACTGGGGATAGCTGGTAGAAATCACCAAGGACTATAACTGATATACCTCCAAAAGGCAGCAAAGAATCGAAAATATCTCGTAGTCTTTTGTCGATCCAAGAAAAAATAACATCTCCAACCATGCTTATTTCATCGATAATAAGAACTTTTAAATCCTTCAATGCAATGCACATAGAATGGCTTACATCGGCTGATAATCTATTCACCTCGCCCTTTCCATACTGGCTTATTGGCAATTGAAAAGCACCATGGAGGGTTTGGCCGCGAATGTTAAAAGCAGCTTTTCCGGTAGGAGCTGTGAGCAGCACTGATGGGGTGTTGGTTTCAAGATCTCGGTCATCATCAAATTCAATGCTTATTGCTTCATACAATGCTTTTATCGACATACTTTTGCCGACACCTGCACCGCCAGTTACAAAATGATAAAATGGGGCAAATGTTTTAACTGATTCATTGCTACTACTAAACATG